ACATGTCTACAATATTTTTGCAATAACCTGGCTTGACCGATACACCATGTACACAGGCTAGCGCTGCATTACCACCTATCATGAAAACAAAATGCTAAACTTATAGTATGATAAGCAACAGCACAAATCCAAGAAAAAATGTTGAAAGCATGACCTCCTAGCCTGGCAATATGAAACAGGAAATTCTCACAAACAGGTTCAAATTCAGTATCGCAATACTTATCACAGGACTCAAGTATCGAGATGTGTATCAATATGCTAGGCGGGCCTATCATGACACCCCTAATCTGTGTTGTCATTTGGGGAATGTTACTACAGCCTCAGTGTGACCAACAAACAAACACAGCAAGGAGGAAAGGAGGCATTAAAAACAATCCTGTAGAACTAGAAGGTTCAGAAGCTTCTGGCATTCTTCGTACACTTTCTGCACAACAACCATGCACTGGAGAATCGGGATTCAACTTATACAATGCTATATTACAGCTTGTCAGAAATCATCTGAACAAAAAGAAGGAAAATATTTGTCCGGTGCCAATACATTTACTAATGATAATAGCAGTGTTCGAAATCAAGGGGATCTGAGGACCTTGAGGTGTGCTTCGACAGTACCGGTATTTGAATCTAGGGACCCCATAAATATTTACCTTGTAAGCTTAAGGTTACAGAGTTTTACAAACCTGGGATCCATTGGACACTCAATAATTAATTTCACGAGTCCTTACAGGAAATATAGGGATGGAGTAAAGTAATTAAATGGTGTTGTGCACTGTAAGATTTGATAATAATTTTAATTACAGGACTTTTATATTTCTTGTCAAAAATTCAGTACAAAGAATATTATTGTAAGATTTGATAATGATTTTAATTACAGGACTTTTATATTTCTTGTCAAAAATTCAGTACAAAGAATATTATTGTAAGATTTGATAATGATTTTAATTATACGACTTTGATATTTCTTGTCAAAAATTCAGTACCAAGAATATTATTGTAACATTTGATAATGATTTTAATTACAGGACTTTTATATTTTTGTCAAAAATTCAGTACAAAGAATATTACTGTTTGTCCCTGATGTGACATTTATTTTCTCTGCGTCCATTCTTTACATTTTTGCATACGGGATGCTAATTTCTGTGTCATGTAAAACCTGGAGGTATCAAAAGGACCCTGACTTTGATGCTTAATTTCGAACACTGAACACTAATGGGATGGACAATGAAGCATGATCCACATGCAATGCTCAAATTAAAGAGATTCAGGTCATAGACAACACTGACAAAAGATACCAAATAATGGGCCCCTGTGCACCATGTACAGCTGACGGAGATACACAAATAACAAGCAAAACAGAAGGTGATGCAAGAACAAGCAGGCAAAGTCAATAAGTAATAAAGACAAACTTAATAACAAGGATTTAACACTCTTTGGTTTACCATATTCCACATTGTATTGCCAAACTGCAACAGAACTGAATCATGATAAAAAAAGAAGAAAAATATAATACTACCAGCCCAGTGGGTACCTAAGAATACTTATGCTTTATTCCTAAGACTACTGCTATCATTAGTCAGGGATAACACTGAACAAATAAATCGAAACCCATTCGGTGGCATTTGATTGACTTTTTATAAACCAAAAATAAATTAAGCCATGCCACTCAGAAACTGCAGTTTCCTCATTGGTTGGAAACAGACTTTGTAGGACTTGTGTTGAATTATTATTGTGCTGATTTCGCACCGTAGTCCACATTTTTGTGTGTGTGTTAATCATTAAATAAGCAGTCTGTGAAGTAAGTATTAACTATATTTATTTATAAGAATTGCCTTCAACATTTTTTTGCGTTTATGGAGACATACACGTAAAAACCGGTGTGCACACTTTGCGTAAATTTGCTGTGCAGATTTACAGTTTGCACGCTGGATTTTACGTATATAACTCCATAAACGCAAAACATATTGAAGTCAATTCATAAGTGATTCAGCTGACATAAACATTCATCCCCATGTTCAGGCATATCACAAATATTCACACACTGTTAACACTCCTTCTACATTCATGAAGACACACATGGACTATTTAGTCTTAGTGAGTGAGTTGGGTTTAACGCCGCTTTTAACAGTATTCCAGTTATATCGCGGCGTGTCAGCTTAATGTGGGAAGAAAGCCCGAAGTGATGCAGGTCTTAGACGTTAACCACTTCGGTGAAACCCAAGAGCACGGGTATGGTGCTGACAATACTAGAAACATAATTGGGGCGAACCGGGATTCGAACCCACAATCATAAGTTTCTGGCGTGCCCAAGGGACGCAACTCTGAACAGCGAATCGCGGCGCCATTTAGTCTTAGTGTTTAGTCTCCTGTTCATATAATTTGTTTAAAGATTTACGTATGAATGGGATGACCTCCGTGGTAACCCTATTTCATGCATTGTGTTTTAAAATACATGCTTATACAAGTCTATGCTGTCAACCACCAAACCTAATTGTTGTGGAAGAGCGATGCCAAAAAAGTATTTCAGGTTAAGCCGCTTTTAACAGTATTCCAGTTATATCACGGTGTGTCAGCTTAAAGTGGGTGGAAAGCCCGAAGTGATGCAGGTCTCAGACGTTTACCACTTTGTGAAACCCACGAGCACGGGTATAGTGTTGACAAACCTAGAAACATAATAAGGGTGAACCGGGATTCGAACCACAATCATATGTTTCTGGTGTGCTCAAGGGACGCAACTCTGCACAGCGAATAGACGATGGGGCCTTAGACAACTGGGCCACCGTGCCCCCCATCAGTGTGAGAAGATTTGGCACAAAGTAAGATGAGATACATCTTATTTAAAACAGTTCTATTTTTAACTGCATACATGAGTACATGAGACTTATTATGAATAGCAACTTCTTTTATTCTGTCATGCGACAAAGAACAAAAGAAGTTGTTATCCATAAAAAGTCTCATGTATTCATGGTTTTCCAACTTCTAAATGCTCATCAAAGACTATACATGAGGTAAGACTTTTTTGTATTTTGTATTTTTTGCTCTAACTTTTATTTCAAATGGTTTGGATAAAAGTAATTAGTCTCAAATCAACCCTGACTTTGTGTGACCTTAATATTTTACATCAAGCATTTTAACACAATCCATTTAATGCAACATGTCAAGAAACTACACATCAATTTATTTTACCATAAAAACTACCAGGGGCTGTCTCTATCCATATTGTTCAGTGGTAAAGATACATACTCTGTATTCTTGAACATGAGGGTCGAGGCCAGGATGAATTTAAAGGATAATAAGGATATTGTTATTTAATGACAGTGACTTTGTTCAATAACTGATCCTGCCATCGCCCCTTGTCTGAATGAGTGAGTGAGTTTGGTTTTCCGCCGCTTTTAGCAATATTCCAGCAATATCACGGCAGGGGACACTAGAAATGGGCTTCACACATTGTACCAATGTCAGGAATCAAACCTGGGTCTTCGGCGTGACGAGCGAACGCTTTAACCACTAGGCTACCTGACCCCCCCACCCCTTGTCTGAGATCTGCCTGATGTTTTCAGATAGTTCAGGAGGGATGGGGAAAATCTATGCTGAGTATTCACAAGTATTTAACTAAACTTACTGCAAATCTCTGCAATACCCAAACATAACAAATTACACTTTTCCCCCAGACATAGTATATTTAGAAAAGCAATCACTTATAAAGTTTCTTAAACATTCCTCAGGTAATATGTGGAAAGCCAATAGATCCAAAAAAGGGGTTAATTTAAATAATAAAGTTCACGCCTAGATTTACAAGGCCACTGATTCAGCGATAGAAACTAACATTTTTAGTCCTTATATAATGATAACATATAGCAAAACCCTTCAAAATAGCAAATTTCTACTAGTCCTTATGATACCTTAACCATTGGGCAGTTTGGCAAGGACTACAGGACTAGTGCCAGTTTCTACCCCTCTGATTCCAAACACCACGTGAAGAAGCCTGGTTTCCCTACTGCCGCCATGGTGTTCTACAGGCTAACGAAACAAGTATCCGGAAACATCTCTAGACAGTCACTGGATACAGTTACCGGTATATCAATTTGTAACGCTAAGAACGAGCTTCTACCCCTGCAGTAGCTGATACCATTCAAAGGCAAGATAACTCTTCATATCTTTGACAATCTTTCCACATATCCAATTATGTCTCCCCAAATTATTATACTGTTCTCATTCCCTTTTTTAATTTAATTGTTGAATACAAAGAAATCAAAATGAATTCGCTGCTCAAGAAAATGTGTAACGTGTTAAAACATCTTAAAAATATACAAGTGAAAAAAAACCTCAAACCATTCAATATGCAAAGAGCTGTACCAGAGCTCATCAAAATGCTAGTGTAACTATATTCTCAAAGAAACAAACATTTCAAACACTTTCTCTTTTAAGCATTTATAATTCTTCACATATACATAAGGTTATCATGGTCACAAGAAGTTGATAGACTAGGGCTGACATTACTTGGACATTCCAGCATCAATATATCAACTGAAAAACATTGTGATATACATAAATATCAACACAACATGTACCATGTACAGTGATGTACACAGAGGAATGATACCAGAGAAGATTATAATAACAATTGAATCTATAGTAAAACTTTTCGGTTTGAGATTAAGCTTCTACAAACTCAAATTAGCGGAAATATTTTCATAATTATTATCAATGCCTTTCTTATTCTATCATGTCTTTACAAAAAAACTGTATTACTAGAATGAATGGTGCCACTTCAATACAGAAACATGGCTCAGGTTTAGGAAATACTTTCAAGCTATGAGTAAGTGAGTGAGTAAGTGAGTATGGGTTTACGCCGCTTTTAGCAATATTAAAGCAATATCACGTCAGGGGACACCAGAAATGGGCTTCACACATTGTACCCATGTCTGGAATCCAACCCGGGACTTTTGCCTGACGAGTGAACGCTTAAAACCACAAGGCTACCCAACCGCCCCTTCTAGCTATATCTGGAGCATATTTTTTTTATTGTGTATCAGCCTTTCTTAGGAGTGAGTGAGTGAGTGAGTATGGTTTTACGCCTCTTTTAGCAATATTTCAGCAATATCACGGCGGGGGACACCAGAAATGGGGCCTTTCTTAGGAGACATATTGCATCAATATTTCAAAAATCAGATGCTCAACGACAGAACTGACAGGACCAGATATTCCTTAACATTGTAGGATTGAGAGCAGCTCTCAGATCAGATCATTACAAATGATTTCCTTCCACACAACATTTCTGCAAGAGGCACATTTTGGGTAATGAATTCTCAAATATTCACGAGTGAATGTTACCAGTCTCAAAAACATAAACACAATGGATTCCTTCCAAGTCGTAACAAATCCCATAAAACAGACACTTACAATTTCATTTACAGCCACAAGCTAAAAAAATATATCACACAGGGTGAATGTCCATACCGTTCTCAAGTGCAACTAAAATACCATAAATGTGAAGATAGAATATATGTGGTATCCATGACGACTTTGTATAGCATCAGTGTTTGCTTGATCGGGAAGAAATGGGTCACATCTTCAACTAATATTTGTTGATACCAAACAGACGCACCCCGTGAAACATTGGCAGTTTGGGAATAATACTGAGTCCGAGGCAAGCTGCATTCATCATAAAATGATATCTGTCGTATCTTGTATAAAAACTTGCCAAGAAAAATCTGAAATAACAAAGAAATAATAATTAACTATGGTGTTAGTGAACCAAAAATACTTCCTGTTCAAGTGTAAGTCATGTGGATTATCTCTAACATCTTACTACTCATGATAATGTAAAGAGATGTGTCCTGTGTACATCTGGAGTATGATCCACAAACTGATTTGAGCACTTAGATGATTGTAACTCCCATACTTTAACATGGACTTCAGGAGTAGACACCATTGGTCAAATGCAACTAGTCTGCTGGTAATTTTGGACTAGTGGTTACGTAAAATAACTAGATTTGGGGATAAAACTAGTCGTTACTAGTCTTGGACTAACAGAATAATGGCCATGTCTATCACTGGACTTGCGACAATCCTAGCGCTAAGATCACTTAGTGGAACAGGTCCCTGGAGTTTACAATTAGAACTGCATCCATATTCTGCCAAGTCATCATTCAGCACCTGCACTTTTCTACCCTGGTGAACATTGAACATAATAATTTTGACAGCTTTGGATAATCATACCTTTAATTGACATTACTTTATCACACATGTACTAACCTTTGTGTAAGCACAGGTTACAGTATTGGCATTAAGACAGTCATGGTGCTAAGAGCACTTTATCAAATGAACACTGATCTCCAAATAATCATGGATTTACCTATATCTGTCTATTTTGAAGTCAATGGGACTCTAGGCATTACTTTTGGTGGGTTCAAGTTTATGAAAGCTTTGGCTCTACCCTTGCATCATAAGGCATTCTTCACTTGATTTTCAAGACGGTTATGGATCCCATGTCATTAAACATGCTCAGAATACTTTACAGCCTGTGCCAACAACTTTGGAGGCTACTACCCCAAAGTGTCTGTGCCAACAACTTTGGAGACTACTAGCCCAAAGTGTCTGTGCCAACAACTTTGGAGACTACTAGCCCAAAGTGTCTGTGCCAACAACTTTGGAAGACTACTAGCCCAAAGTGTCTGTGCCAACAACTTTGGAGACTACTAGCCCAAAGTGTCTGTGCCAACAACTTTGGAGACTACTAGCCCAAAGTGTCTGTGCCAACAACTTTGGAGACTACTAGCCCAAAGTGTCTGTGCCAACAACTTTGGAAGACTACTAGCCCAAAGTGTCTGTGCCAACTGGAGACTACTAGCCCAAAGTGTCTGTGCCAACAACTTTGGAGACTACTAGTCCAAAGTGTCTGTGCCAACAACTTTGGAGACTACTAGCCCAAAGTGTCTGTGCCAACAACTTTGGAGACTACTAGCCCAAAGTCGTACACTGACATTGAGCAGACTGTCTTGTAATCCTGACAGGAGTTATCTGAACAAACAGGTACTTACAATGCAATAGGAACCATAGTGAGAAATTTTTTAGTTGCTGTAAACTGCTTTCCATAGTCAATCTGCTCCCACTGGGTCTCCATCCGGGCATCTCCCTGGTCAGGCGTCTCCCACGGTGTGCCCTTCGTCACGTGCAGGATGCAGAACATAATCTGCAAGAAACAGAGAACCCTTCAGGGTTAGAAACTAACTCACATAACATATAGAAGTCACTGGTCATTACAAACATTACTATAGCCAAACATGTATTTTATTAGAGTAAAAATATCATTTATCCTGACTCATACTATTGTTTATCTCACCCCATTTGCAAAATGTAGTGGAAACTTCCTCAACTGTGTTCCCGGAGAACACAAAAGACAGGTCACCTGAACACTCATCTTGTCTGCTCATGTGCACTGAAAACATGTGACCAAGCCAATACCAGTACTCTTCACTGTCTTTTTACCTAATGCCCAAATCAGGGGAAGAGGGGCTGGCTGGATGGGCGCTATATAGCGTATGAGTCAAGGTAACAATAAATGATATTGTTACTCTAAAAATGCATATTTTACCTTATCCTGACTCATGCTATTGCTTGCTTCCCACAGAAGGTGGTGGGTCCACATGTGTGGGGTCCATATCAAAATCTGTTTTAATACCCCTTGGGAACGTGATATTCTTCTTAATTCTTCTATATCATTATGGGGTACCACCGCCTTCTTGTGAAAGAGAGAGGTAAATCTAATCTAAACACAACACAATCATTTTCAATCATACTCTGAATTATGTAGTAAAACATAGGAACATGGATTCTCGTCATGGGTTATGGGACAGTAACCTGACGTCAATAAGTCTGCATGATAATGGGTTAGTATTCTGTAGGAAGGTCTATCTTCAAGTAGGTACTGCAAGTTGTTGTGTGACCTCTACTGGTCCAAACTGGTGAATTCCAGCAACATCCTGTGTGGAACCGTCCATCATCATCAGAATGGAGCATGAAGCTCTAGGGTAGACGCTATGGTTCTCACTTTGTGAGATTGATATTCTGGAGTGATTGAGTTGGGTTTAATGCCGGGTTTAATGCCGATTTTAACAGTATTTCCAGTTATATCACAGCATGTCAGCTTAATGTGGGAGGAAAGCCCTAAGTGATGCAGGTCTCGGACGCTTAATACTTCGGTGAAACCCACGAGCACCGGTGAACATGGTGAACATGCACTGACCAGTGGGACTTTTACAATTCACTTGTGTATTTGGTGAATCGAACCGTATCCATTCATGAATTGAATTTGTTATTCGTGGCCACTAGAATTGAATATTTATGAATATGCAAGCATGTGCATTTACATAAAAATACCCATAGGAACATATTATATGCATAGATTTCTTCAAAAGACAACACTCTTATACTATTTACTTTGACAGTATTGTGGTAACTGGTCATTGTCGCATTTGAGCAGATCCTAGTACCTGGATAAGTGCAGTATATAAATGTATAATATATTAATAACTAACAAAACATGTCAAACACTATGAGGCGAATACGATTCATATCACCAATATAGGGTAAAGAATATGAATATTCATTCACGAATACAATAATAAGTCAGCAGTTGATGTATTACTTATTATCATGATTATATTCAGTGAAACAATGACAAAATAAATTATTTGACATGGTTTGTTGATTATTAATATATTATACATTTACATACTGTACTTATCCAGGTTCTAGTATCTGCTCAAAAGTGACAATGACCAGTGACCGCAATACTGTCAAATTAAATATTATAAGAGTGTTGTCTTTGAAATAAATCTATGCATATAATATATTCTTATGGATATTTTTAGGTACAGGGTATGTAAATACACATGACTGCATATTCATAAATATTCGATTCTAGTAGCCATGAATAACGAATTCAATTCATGAATGGATACGGTTCGATTCACCGAATATGTGAGTGAATCATAACAGCCCTAGTTATCACCTATCATCCTGAACTTTTAACAATTATTACCACTGTATACATATAGAATCTCATCCCAGTGCCATTTGATATCAAACATAGCAACACAGGATGACTAAATGTAGGAAAACTATGAAGGCTACTGAGGAAGTTATCTACTCTTATCAACCAGTGTTGACATATCTGATCTCAAAAGACTCAAGAAGAATATTTTATTTATCATCCAATATCAGAAACACTATTACCACTAATTTGAAAATCAAGTTAATGTTTGAGGCCATCTTAAAACTTATAAGGCAATGTTGGGATGATCATAATACAAGAAAAACTGCCATGCTTTTTTTTCTTTCAACTTTTGTATCCTACCCATCCTACTTTAATAGTTACATGTAGCAAATCTAAATGAAATCACAACCCATATTATGATAATCATGATGATGTAGTTTTTTCATGTGATCATAAGTAAAACTACAAAGAAGAACAAAATGTCTTTCTGTTGTGCAAAGTATATACTGAATGATAAAAAAATGTTTATTATTTACCAGTGAAGAGATCACCCGTTTAATAAACATACAGCTGTATTACACATTGTGTAATCCCAAAGTGTGTGCTTTGCCATGGCATTGTGTCGCCGGTGGATATTGCAATAAATACCACAAATTACGTCATAGGGTATTGTGACGTGAACGTAAACTTTGTGGTTCCACAAGGCGATTGTATTGTAGCGCAACGGCTGCCATAAGTTTCTGTTAAAGTACTTGAGTTACCTAATGATAACCTTAGCGCTAGTATAACTTTGTGAATTCTAAAGGTGGGCAGTTGTATGGTATTAAATTAATATTTGTCAACGTTTGAAGTATGATTCTGTTAAACTCAATTGGATTATGTTGTCGATCATGTAGCCTGTTCATACACACAACAGTGAAATTCTAAAAAAGTTATAAATGGCAAGTCATTAATAAAATACTAAACTCACCCACGTGTAATACCAATTTTAATAAACCTGTGAATAGTTCTGGTATCTGACTCGCTTGTGCTCATCAAATAAATAAAATTGGTATTGCACGGGAGCTCGTTTAGTATACTGTATGTAAGAGAGACAAACTTCCTATTTGATGTCACACTGTATCATTTCTAGGTAGAATATATAGACTTACACCTGCTCAGATTCCCAATAGCTAAACAGTCATATGTTTGACTGCACTGATTATGTTAACAAAACCTTCAAAATAATTTGTTTTCGAGTAGAAGGAATTATATACTAGAATCTGTGGAGTTAGATTTGAACATTTACATTTTATGTGAACGATTATCATTGTGTTCAGGATACCAATCAGGCAACCAATCAAAATTCAGGATAATACATCTCTAACCCTAGATATGAAGAAATATCCTACTGTGCACATCTGTAGAAACAAGTACTGGATAAATGAATATCAACAAAGCGTCGCAAATCACTATTGCAGCCGCCCAATTTTACCAGTGATTGTAACCATGGTAACCTACCACATCATGAAAGACATTGGTGAGAGTCCAGGCCACTGCTACTGAGAAGAAGGGGACACTGAGGATGAGTAGGTGAGCAGTGAAGATGATGATGATGTATGTGATCCATATCCCCTTGCTGTTGAGGTACGAGTGGGTGGGATTAGCGTCACTGTGAGCCACACCCACATTCATCTTCAGCTCTTGGTAATCTAAAAAGAAACCACAGCCATAAAATGGCGATAATACATGACAAAACGTGATCATGTCTGTGAAAGGGGTCATGATTTCTACTGATTCATTTACAAGTTATAAAATCTTCACTCAATACTTACCATTGATATTCACAGATAATAAATGTAAAAACTGAGGTATAAATTCATGCTTTCAACATGTTCAAATACAACTAAATAAAGTAAATTTGAACTTGATAATTATTATATAGCACAGTTATGGTCTACACAGAAATGCAAACTGTATTTGCAAGCTCACTTTTCAAAGCTAATATTGGCAATTGTTGACAAAACAATAGTAAGTGCATGGATTGAGAACAGTTTTAGGCTTCTTTTTTCTAGTTTATCATATTGTCCCAACAATATCACAATAGGGGGCACAAACACAGGCTTCACACATTGTAAACATTTGTGGAATCAATCTCAGGCCTTAAGCATACAAGTTAAATGGACAAAAGAATGAAGCAGTTATATGGACATTTGAATGTTGAGTAACAGAAGTATACAAATGCATTCAAAGATCCATGACAAAACCCAACCATTGATGTCACATAGCCACATGTCTGCTGCTTATCCAGTATCAGCCTTCCTATTCAAAATAATGGTTGGCAAGATGGTAGACAATTATTCACTATACATTCTGTATTATTTGGGTAACATATGCTTAATTATAAATTATGCTCAAGTAACTTCCTTAGTTACTTTCACACAAACGCTAAAGAATAGCTTTATATCTGAACCTGTTGGCATGAAAATTCTAATTATTTTCAGTAACGATAATGAGCAGCCATCAGTTTCAATAAATAATTATCAATCATAGTAAAGAATTATAAGAAAAGTTTGTAAACATCATGAACATAGAGTAATTTCATTTGCAGACACATATTCAGTCGGTGGCGAATAAGGACTTTCTTAATCTTAAGTCTAGTAAACATAACGCAAAATGTAATGAAAATAATGTCTTATTTGAAATGTAGGCCAAAAAAACCCCAAAAGGATATGTCACTGATATGCCACAATATATTCACCATGTATACAGATGGCAGTGCAATATTTTATTTTTTTTGGACATTACATACCGGCAAGTAGGCCTGTTTCTAAGGCAAAAACACGGCAACGATATTGAAAATTTCACACTTAATCAAACATGGTCTCAAATAGTGACAAGTGTGAGTGTTCTAATAACTAATACAGCGATACCATCACATAGTCGCAGCATGGCAGGGGTTTTCGTTCCGACATGTTTTGATTTGCATGAGCGTTTTGACGTCTGCACTGTCCTAAACAATGTCAAACACGATCAAATACTAAAACAGACACTACTACTATTGTCACCATTCAATAACAGTAACAGCTGTCTGTTGTTTGGGGATATCCATGGGTTAATTACCTGCACTGACACCAAAAATATGAACGGAAACTTTGTTTATTTCACTGCGAGACCGTAGATTTGTCAAACCGGATATGACAATCACTCCTCACAACTGCACATGCGTCAAACGTGGTTTCACGCAAAAGAATACTTCATGTATTTGTGGAATAGGATTTCCCAATATAACAATGCGTCAGGAATGAGTCATGGCAACAGTGATCGCCCTACGTGATATGTCGAACTTCATAGGTTGTTTGATATGTCGAACTGCATAGGTTGTTGATAAAAAATGGTTTATAATCAACAAGAATGTCTAGTAGAAATGAGCATACATAAAAACAGAAGATCTTATTATGGATTCAGAACACCTGTCTAAATCATTTCATTTTGTTCGTGTGGAAATGACAAATCACGTGGTTGCCTGGATAGTTTGATTACAAGTATTAAAAATAGGAGTACCAGTCATGAATTTGTTTGAATCATTGGAGTGCAAGGCCGTAGTTAACTAATATTTGTACATGTATCACTTGTCCCCAACTTGATTCAAATAAAACTGTTTTCTATAAAAAAAAAATCCGGGGGGGGGGGGCTCCGGCACTGGAGTGTAAATTAGAGATGGAAATATATTATTTAAATGATAGTTGATAGTTTGCTTGTTGACAGTGAGGTTGTATGTCGGCGTGTCAGCGTGATGTGGGAGGATGGAAATTGTGGACTGTTTATCCCAGTTCTGGTCGCTACAGACGTCAACTACTCATTCAACCCATGAGCACAAGGGAGTTGCTGTCAAACCTAGAAACGTGATCTAGGCGAATCTGTAATTCGAACTCATGGATATCGGATCCTGCACCAATAGGGGACACAACTCTGCACAGATAATTGCGGAGTCTTTAATAAAGAGACAAGGCAACCCAGTATCCCATGGAAAATCTACTGGACGCGACCGTGTGTAGGTTAAAGAAGAACGGGTATTGAACCAGTTGTAATATAGACTTAGCTGATGATTGCAAGGGTCGTTGCACATGACGTTTGACTCACTTTTTTGTGTGGTGAAATTCGATATTACATAGACCATCGTTCTGCTATGCTGACTACGGCGTTAAACAACATTCATTCATTCTCTCACTCACCCGTTATTATCACACCTGTTGCTGTCACGTGGTAATCGAATGATCGACTCGCACCAGAAAATGACGATAGTGAGTGAAGCGCACCACAAATATCTGTAAATGTTAGCTAATTTCTCCTCGCAGTCGGTGAGGTTGGTTTCTTTGTTTGTTTGCCTCTTTAATACGGAAGCGTTTCGGGCCATTTGTTTTTTATTTGTTGTCTTGAACTTTCAAGATACTCATTTGAAATTTCATGATACTAACTTGAAAATTCAAGATGTTATGTTGAAATTTCAAGACACAGATACTAACTTGAAATTTCAAGATACTAATTTAAGAGGCGACTAACGGGATCGGGTGGTCAGGCTCGCTGACTTGGTTGATGCATGTCATCGTATCCCAATTGCTTGGATCGATGCTCATGATGTCAATCACTGGATTATCTGGTCCAGACTCGACCATTTACAGACCGCCGTCTGTTGGAATATTTCTGAAAATCTTCAAAGAGAATGTATTTCAAGTTTTGTGGACAACACCAGGCAATCTAGGCCATTTTTGGACTCAACTTGGAACAAATTGCAACCGAATTTATTTCACCACAATGCATTTGGACAAGGTCCCGAAAACAACATACTAAAAGTGCCAAGCAATCCCAGTTTGGGAAATATGTCTAATTTGCATAATCCAATATGGCCACCAATTATCAATATATTTTCCATATATCAGATGAAGTTCAATGTTTTGATGAAAAAAAGGATATGTTGTATTGCGAAATAGCCGTATTATGTTTCTAAAAAGATATTCACAACTATACTGAACGTTATCGACTATTGACGAAATCTACAAACGTTCAAGATGGCCGCCAAATTCAAGATGGCTTCAAGTGTTTACACTGCTGAATCTTTTAACTCTAAAACAGTGTGCTAGGACTTTTATGCATATGACTTGGCACACTAACTCACTGAAGTATAGTTTACACTTTTAGTAGGCTCTAAAGTATTACGGTGTAAACAAACGGCGCCATATTTTGTTTAAAGGCTGTTGTCGGTGATTCCATAATTCAGATCGACAATTGGACTCAACCCATACCTCTCCACTCAATATATTTGCTGACACCAAAGAGTTCGCGTTTTATACAGTCATGGTAGAATGGAGATGAACATACTGTGTTTTCAGCGTAGAGCTGCCCGTTCGCTTCCAAATTCAATTAAGCACGGTTAAATCTATGTACAGGCAACTATAGCTAGCTCTTGAAAACACAGTATGTTTATCTCCTAATTGGTTCGTTTTAGATATAGTATTTTATTTTTTATTTCTCAAATCGTTTTTATCAAACCGCATGTGAAGAAGTTGTATTAAAGTGTGCACGCAATTGTGTCTAGCATCCTGTGCATTGTAGAAATGAACGGTTTAAATCGACCCAACAATACACACACACACGTACACACACGAACATAGCCCCAGCTGTTGAACGCCACACAACCTGCAAGATTGTGTGTGTGTATATTAAAGTGCCATTCTAACTGAATATTGAAAAGGTATTAATTCGGAATAAAAGTGTCAGGTCACATTTCCACGATTTTTAAAAAATTGACATTAGTTTCCCAATAGAGTGTTCGTAGATGAGGCACGTCTCGCCACTCTATGTTTACACATAGCGAAGACGCGGGTTAATGTCAACATGTCACCCGTGCTGGAATCAGAAACACACAAACACAGACTGTGTTGGATCGAAGGTGTCTTTGACCGTGAAATCGTAACATAACCAACACGTTATAATGTCTGTTTCGTAGAATTTGTTGTTTACTTTCCGTTTCGAAGATCTTGATGGAAGATGCACACTATGAGCAAGCCAGTGAGTGAGTGAGTGAGTGAGTGAGTGAGTGAGTTGGGTTTAACGCTGCTTTAGTATTCCAGTTATATCACGGCGTGTCAACTTAATGTAGGAGGAAAGCCCGAGGTTATGCAGGTCTCAGACGTTTACCACTTTGTGAAACCCACGAGCACGGGTATGGTGCTGACAAACCTAGAAACTTAATAAGGGTGAACCGGGATTCGAACCACAATCATATGTTTCTGGCGTGCTCAAGGGACGCAACTCTGCACAGCGAATATACGACCGGGCCACCTGTACCGCCTCGAGCTATGAATACTCCATTATTTACAATAATCCTTGATCATTCTGAAACATAGAGGCCATCTTTTCGAATTCAGTCCTTAATAACTCAAGTTGGTAAGCTGAATTAAAATCGTTCCTTAAAAAGGGAATATATGACTTGTCGTTTGGGACTTAAAGACGTATCCTTATTGTGAGTGAGTGAGTGAGTGAGTGAGTGCGTGCGTGCGTGCGTGCTTGCGTGCGTGCCTGAGTGAGTGAAGGAGTGAGTGAGGGAGTGAGTAAATATTGCTTTACGCTGCATCCTTACTGCGCACAATCACTGCCAGGCTGCCACCAGGACCACAGGCTATAGAAGCTGCAGACCCTGGCTAAACTCGTCAGGCCCTCGTTAAAGAAACTGTACCTGATTCTGAGAAATGAACCAACGGTAAATGTATTGCAGGCCATAAGGAACCGTACAAATTAGAAACTACGGGCCCGACTCAAGCTCCACGTGTCACGGGCCTACGGACAGGCGCTTATTTCGAACACATACATCTAACATCTGGAATTTCTATTAATTTGGTTTAAATAATCTCTTCCTGAAAATACTGGAAAAAATTAAATTTGCCCCAGATCAAAAATCATTCACCGAACTTGCTGGGTGTTCAAATTAAGCGTTCGCTGCTGAAATGGCGGACGGACATGATTTGATTCTCATTTCATACAGTAGCCACCCGATGTCGTATATATTGGCCATTCTCGTTATACTCATGAATGTTTGTTGAAAGGTGATCTTCCGTTGTGATGAAAGAATCAGTCAAGCATGTCCTGCTTGGCTGTGTGATTTTTCCATCACAAGGGATAAATATTTCAAGGTATCATCTATAAAGTATCTTCTTAAAGATGTTAGTTCTCATTTAATTATTGGCTTTTTAAAATAAATAGAATAAATTTGTTGATATGTTTTGTGTAAAATGATTGTCTTTTTAAAATTGGTAGAATATATTTATATCTGAGATGGTTAGTGGCTGTATTCTCGAAGGGGGTTAAAGTAGTGTAAAATTATTGTCCCCCCGAGAGTATATCGTAATTCCATGTCATTCAAAGAATATTTACACCGACTACGCTTTTAAACGTAGAATATATTCGTCATTTTAATTGTGGCTAAAATTACGTACAATCGCCAGCGACAGAAGAGATGGTGTAAATCCTGCCGGGGTCCATGCAGGTAGCAAAGGTACTGTTAGTCCCCATGGTCCCTGGTCTGGTGATCTACCTTCAGTGGCTGGCGATCTGTAGCCCTTTGTATCCTGTATTGTTACGTATGGTGACACTTTAATGGTTCTATACTAGTTTTAAATAAAACATGTGATAAGTCTGGTTATTTTAGTGCCCTTCGACGTTTTGTATACAGTCTAAATATATCTATTTGAATGTAGTACTTTCTCTCGTCACGATATTGCTGAAATGTTGCCGATGTGACGTTAAATTTAAACTCACTCACTCACTCACCAAGTCTTGCTCAAATTCCACAAGAAGAGGCGTAAAACCATACTAACTCATTCAATTAATAGTGACCCCATCCCTAGCCTTGCTCCAACACCGCAGGAAGCGCCGAAAAACATCAAAACAGAATACAAATCAAGGTGTGTTGATCAGTTTATTCAAACACATGAAACGTGTCTGGAAACTAAATCAGAACAGCACTTAACTCCCATATCCACCTGGAACACATATAAGATCCGGGTATAACGAACGACAGCGGATCTTTACAATCACCTCGTTATAACAGCAATGACACGTTTGGAAATAGAAATCGTTGCATTTGGATATACAGTAAACTACGTTTATAACGAACACGCTTATAACGAAAGGACGGATACAACGAACTGGTCTTTTAAGTCCGGGCCATTTGCTGTATACATACTGAATGTATGCTTATAACAAACTACGGTTATAACTAACTAAAATTAGTGGTCCCTTTGAGTTCGTTATAACCGTAGTTTACTTTATCCGACTGCGTTATAGGCGAATATTTCTGTCAGCACGGGATCTTGATCGGTTATGCAGTAGAGCTGGGCGGGTGTATTCAAATTGAAGATAAGTCGGCGGGAAAGGAAGCCTAACGCTGAGACAGAGGCCACAGAAAAATGAGGGGCAAAAGAAAGTATACTAATTTTATTTTTTATGTTATTGAAAATTGAAAGTATTGTTGTCAAATTTGATTACGTCCTTTAAACCATCACTCATTCCTGCAATGTTTTGTAAACATTACTATTATCTGTGGCTGGGTAATTTGTGTAAAATATAGATTGATCCAGTGAGTGAGTGAGTGACTTGGGTTTAACGCCGCTTTTAACAATATTCCAGTTATATCACGGCGTGTCAGTTTAATGTGGGAGGAAAGCCTGAAGTGATGCAGGTCTTAGATGTTTACCACTTCGGTGAAACCCATGAGCACGGGTAGGGTGCTGACAAACCTAGAAACATAATCGGGGCGAACCGGTATTCGAACCCACAGTCATAGGTTTCTGGCGTGCCCAAGGGACGCAACTCTGCACGGCGAATCGCGGCGCCTCAGACGACTGGGCCACCCATGCCCCCTGATCCAATAAAGACTGGGGTAAGAAATTATTTTGCAACCACATGCCCCCTACCATGTTGGAAATGTTGGAAATTATTGATCTTCAAAAATAAGATGTCTAAGATACCCATCAGCAGTTGTGTATTATGCGATTATTACTTTTTAATTAAAAGTTTTAATCAAATGATAATTTTTTAAAACACGTAAAGTATTCTTTGAGTGCGGACTAAGCTTATGTACAGTTCATTTTTTTAAATATAATATCGCTAACTATTTAAGGATATTTTCATTTGAAAATCGACCATATGATAAAATCAACTGTGAATATATTCTTTTGCGACCCAGTTTACATACGGGTATACAGCCTCGAGCTGAAGTTAATACAGAACAATTACGTAATGGTCGAAATTGCACCGGGAAAAAAGAAAATGTTTCTCTTTCGTGAGTGAGTATGGTTTTACGCCGCTTTTAGCAATATTCCAGCAATATCACGGCGTGGGACACCAGAAATGCGCTTCACACATTGTGCCCATGTCGGAAATCGAAACGGGTCTTCGGTGTGACGAGCGAACGCGTTAACCACGAGGCTACCCGACCGCCCCTTGTTTTGTGATGTTTGTCAAATAAGAAGCAGATTCCTGAGAACCCTGCCAATAAGCTAGAACTCAAGCGTTCATCAGCGTCATGCGTTCACAAACGTGTGTTAGTCTTATTCGGCTACTTTTAAAATAAACTACTGTTTTAGTTCTCGCCCACTCTGCCCTACCTCTATGCACTAATTCTGTACCCTAGTAGAAAGATCTGGGATGATATTGGTCTTAAACACCAACCAACCAAACACAATTATGTACTCAGCCTGTCTGGGCAAGGCCGTAGTTAACTTTTTTTGACGGGGGGGGGGGGGGGGGGGGGGGGGGGGGGGGGCGGCAAATATTTGTACAAGTATCACTTGTCCCCAACTTGATTCAAATAAAACTGTTTTCTATAAAAAATCTAGGGGGGGCAACTGCCCTCCCTGCCCCCCGGCTGGTTTGACGGTAATAGATAAATTAAAAGATAGCACTGTATACTTACTTGTATATCACGTCTATCCACAAGGCTAAACAAGTGTTGTAAATATGACATTTACAAGGATAAACATACATATACATTAAAGATATCTTTAAATGTACACCTATTTTCGTTGGAAAATATACACGTATTATTATAAATTTACTTCTAAATATCCAACATTGTAAATTTTGAAAGGGTAAGGTCCACTATGGACACCCTTGATGAGAAACAAGACGTTTATTTTATGTGCATGACCATAGCATTTTAAAGAATAAGGTTGAGAAACGAGATATGGTTTTGTCAAATTGGGTTTTCAAGGGGAAACTAGTAATAAAACGTGGTCGATGCCTTATATGGTAGTCTATGGAGAGTAGGGACGAATAACAGGCACATTTGGCACATGTAAAGGATGCGTTATTGTATCAGACGCAGAATATCAGAGAGAGAAACACAACGGTAAGCGAGGCCAGACTTCTTTTTTGGTTCACTCATTTTTTGTCCAAACATTCAGGTCGGTAGGTCAATTTCTTTTCTTTTAAAAAAAAATTAAAATTTGAAATATTTCTCTTGATTTCCTCTCGCGATTCATCATATTTGTAGTGATTTTAAGTTTTTAAGTCAAACTGGTTTTATCATAGTACTGCAAATTATTTATTTACATTGATAGCGACAGTAAATGTTTTGTTTTTAACATTTTACAATTTACTGGTCTGCGGAATGAAAAATCCAACTGCTTATATTGAAATTTTTAATATTTCACATTTCGATGTTTTGGAGTAAACCCAACTCAAAAAAACGTCTGACCCGGCGCCATCCGTCAGTGTTGACCGCGGACCTCATGAAGATAAAACTGGTAGTTCATTGACCTCTTCTATTTCTTATCCACACAGATGCCGACCTGAACGGCGTAGTGAGCCGACAAGGGCTCTCCCCTGTAACTCTCAAGTGTCCGCTGAAATCAGAACAACAACTCTATAGAACATGTTCACAAACCCTTTTTATTACTTGCCCGTGGAGAGATCACCCGTTTAATAAACATACAGCTTTATTACACATTGTGAAATACCAAAACGCGTGCTTATGTACTCTCGGAACACGTTTCACGAACAAATATTGAAAGCTCTCAACATCCCTTGGCGTATTCAACGACATTGTGTGTGGAGATGATAGATCACTGGGAGGAGCTTATGCACACTCGATGACCCCAGCAACCTTGTTGCTAGGCTGACGTCACATGGCATTGTTTCGCCGATGGATCTTGCAACAAAATTCAACAAATTACGTCATCGGGTATTGTGACGTCATTGTAAACTTTGAGCTGCAAGGCCCCGTTCCACAAGGCGATCCTACTCTAGCGCAACGAGAGTCTTTAGTCTAAGTTAACTTATGTGAGTTGTGATAGCCTTAGCACTACGATAATTTTGTGGGACGAACGCCTGAATTCTAAAGATGGACCATTGTATGATATTAAATTCATACGTTTCAACTTTTGACGTGTTTGAAGTATTATTCTGTTAAACTCAATTGGATTATGCCATGGATCGTGTAGGTGTCAGCCTATTTACACTCAACAGTATAATTCTAAAAACATTATAAATGACAAGTAATAAATAAAATACTAAACTCGCTCTCGTGTAAAACCAATTTTATGAAACTCGTTAATAGTTGTGGTATCTGACTCGCTTTCGCTCGTCAGATACATGAACTATTCACTCGTTTCATAAAATTGGTATTACACGGGAGATCGTTTAGTATTCTATATATACGTATATCAAATGGCATCTTCCCGAGGTAAGGGAGTTAACTGGCTGTAAAACTCCAGCCTGGTTCCCTGGGTATGCTGCGCTGACGCTGTGTAGCGCCAGCGCAGCATACCAAGGAAACCTGGCTGGTAAAAGTCCAGTTTCCCGAGGCAGGGGAGTAGTCCAGTTTCCACCCTTGCCGAAATAGGCTGCAATTATGGAGTCATATTTTGGCTGGAAACTAGACTTTTATAGTCAGTTGTATCACTGTTAAGTAATCCGTACTCGTGAAAAGTAAAACGTATACTGATCGAAAAAAGTAAGGGAACGGTCATAAATGGGCGCATCAGTTTGGTAAGGAATTGTGAATCTGAGATCGTTTGACAGGGTGACCACATCAGATGCTATCATGTCCTCGGTGACGTATTTTATAATATGAAACATAATGGGGATCGAATGGTCGGGCTTTGTGTATTGACTGGTTGTGTGTCATCTTACCCCGAGTGGTATGGTCTCGACTCTAATAGGTATTTAATGTAGCTTTTGTTGATTGCGGTGTTAAACGACAATCACTCAAGACAAAACAGTATTAAGGTAATATGTCGCTGTGCTAAGTTGTGTCCCTTGAGCAAACCAGGAACCTATGATCGTGGGTTCGAATCCCGCTTAGCCCCGAATGTTTCTAGGTTTGGCAGCACCATACGCTGCTCGTGGGTTTCGCCGAAGTTGTAAACCAGAGACCTGCATCAGTTCGGGCTTTCCTCCCACATGAAGCTGACACGCCGTGATATAACTGGAATACTGCTCAAAGCTAACCCAACTGACTCATTCGTTCACTAAGACAATATTTGTAATTGAACCCTTACTTGTTCCAATCAGTATACGTCAGGTTGACCCTTACGCTTATATATTAACTCACCTTGGCGCTGTACGGTACGAACCCCTTGGTCAGTACATGGTCAAGTATATGGCTCTTGTTGTAGCCCATGCTGCGGACGAGTCTGTTGTCTGCGCAGTAGCTGCAGTGGCCAATGTGTTCCACATACGGAATAGAGAAACCGGCATAGATGAGGGCGGCGTAACTCGCCCCAAACAACGGCGTTATGTTCCACGGGAGCTGTGGGCTGGTATTCAAGTCTCCCATAATCACGTGGTTTTTCGTGTCCCCCGACGACATGATATTATACACCCCCATGAGATTGTCATAGGCGCGGTTAGGATTAGCGTCCTTCTCGCCGCAATCTGAAAAGAATGTTTGAAAACGTTTAAAATTCTGTCAACACCTTGATCAAAACACTGTAAATGATCACAAATGATTTATGTTCAGTAACAGCGCGAAAATACCCGATTTTTTTCTTAATCGATGACTTTACTTAATCTGTTATGTCGTGTTGTCAAATATCTTTTGAGTAATATATATCGAGTCTCTTCCTAACATGTGTAAACGACCTGTGAAGATCCCAGTTAGAATTGGTCTTTAGCAACCCGTGCTTGTCGTAAGAGCGACTAACGGGATCGGGTGGTCAGGCTCGCTGATTTGGTTGATGCATGTCTTCATATCCCCGTTGCGTCGATCGTTGCTCATGATGTCAATCCCTGGATTGTCTGGTCCAGACTCGATTATTTACAGACCGCCGTAACATAGATGGAATATTGCTGAGTGCGGCGTTAAACAAAAAAACAAACAAACGGAACATGTGTATATTGTACAATGTGCCAGTGGCGGACCTAGGATCGGGGGGATGGGTTGGGGTGGGTGGAAGTTGCAGGGGGTGTGCATCACCGCTTTGTTTAGATGCCCCAAGTGTAAACCTCTGAGGTGTTTTTTATGGTGACTTGGGTATATTGTGCCCCACCCACCCTTGATGTGCCCCACCCATCCCTATTGAGCCCCACCCACCCTTGATGTGCCCGACCCATCCCTATTAAGCCCCACCCACCCTTGATGTGCCCCACCCATCCCTATTAAGCCCCACCCACCCTTGATGTGCCCGACCCATCCCTATTAAGCCCCACCCACCCTTGATGTGCCCCATCGATCCCTATTGAGCCCCACCCACCCTTGATGTGCCCCACCCATCCCTATTGAGCCCCACCCACCCTTGATGTGCCCCACCCATCCCTATTGAGCCCCACCCTCCCCTGATGTGCCCCACCCATCCCTATTGAGCCCCACGCACCCTTGATGTGCCCCACCCATCCCTATTGAGCCCCACCCACCCCTTATGGTTTTTTTAAAAATCATACGACGATTGCTCAAAACTTGTTGGATGAGGGGTACAGCGTTCAAGGCCTTAGTGAAGCTTTCAAAACGCTGTATGGTAGACACGTGGAGGACATTTCCACATTTGGCCAAAGTGACCAAAATGGATGTCCTCCACTTGTCTACCACAAAACATTTTGAAAGCTTTACTGAGGCCCTGCACGTTGTAACCCTGATCACACCAGGCATATCGACTTGAAGAACAGGTCACCCAACAAGGGCCCCATTTAGATGATATGTACAAAGTTCATACACCATACACCTGAAGTGTTTATCATGTCCAAACCATATTTTCATGGTTTGACCTTGAGATGTAATTTGAACTTTGATAAATGGGTTTGACCTTTGAGTCAATATGACTTTTGACATATGTAGTAGATGTGACAGGCACACCACCGAGGGTAAAGAAACAGACGCATGAATAGTGGTTTCAAACACCAAGAACCGACATTTGTACATCACCAGCCTACCTTCTACGGCCGGAAGTTGATCACTGGCGTGTAGATGCGCACAAATAACACTACCGACATCCTGTATCTAAAAACAAAACAAAAACTCAACCATTTTGTAAGATACCATATACTCAAATTGATTACACACATATATCAGCTGCAACGTAAAATACGGCATCGTTGGTAAGAACTGCAGATACGAATAGTAAATGGCGAAAAGAAACCCCATGAAAATAAATATGGTCGGGTACAAAATTATGCAAACTGTTTCGGTTGTATAAGGTCATTGATGGTCCTTTGTTCTTAGAATTTGTCTCTCTAAAATTTGAAATCCACAATTTGATTACGAGAGGAATCCTTATGTATGAATGTTACGAACAGAAAATTGAGCCAGAGTAGGATGGCCCAGCGGTCGTCGCGTTCGTTATGCATGAAGCCTCCCTTATGAGTTTGCCTCCCTATGTATGGGTATTCCTACTCGACATCTCAGTTGGATCTCAACCACGTACCTACCTACTCGTCTGCCCAACTCATTTACCCACCACCCATCAACTCACTCACTCACTCACCCAGAAATTCCCACCCACTCACTCACTCACCCACCGCCCAACTCTCACTCACTCACTCGCCCACGCCCCTTTAAATTCCGACCCACTATCTCACCTCCGGAAGTATTCTCACACCCGTCAACCTATTCACATTCTCCACATTGTCTATAACTCACTCAATCCAATACTCGCCAACTCACCAAGCCACTCTCTCACCCATTCACTCTCCAGGCATGTACCTGGAATATATAACAGTGCCAATGGTAGGCAAACAGTTCTGTGTGCTTATTTCTGAATGTTTAAGATGTTTAACATTGTATTGCAACAATCTCAAGCTAATTCTTGTTACAGGCCAACTATCAGTGTATATTTGCCGAACATCGGCCTCTGAGAACGCATACACTCATTCCTCTTTACTCGCCACTGATTCACTAAACCATTCACTCTACCACTCGCCAATACAATTACTCAATGACTAGCTCACACATATCCTGCGTCCACAGACACCAACATGGACTTAATTCGAACAAAATGATCCCAGAAACGCCATTTTAATACCTCAATCTTCAAAAATCCATGATTCCCCGTCTGCTGCCGCACCATGGTCGTCCCCGTGATGTTCAACTTGCTCAGCATCAGAAGCCCATGACTGTTCCTTCTCCCCGACATCCCCGGAAACGCTACAGCTTCACCACACTCGGCCTCGTACTTGGCATTGTTCGGTCGCCGAACTATACACGCGATACACGCGGCGCTGATCTCGTTCATGTAGCGGGCACAGTTGGACGCCATACACTTCATGAGTTCAGTCCCGAACAGACCTTGACAGCTGAACAGCAGACAGTACCCCATGGGGACGGCTTCCATCACCTTGCAGGGTTCGGCTCTCAGCATGGGGAAGTACTTCTCCAGCCAGGTCCAGATCACCATCTTCTTCACCTCCGACTCCGACTCGCCCACGGTGTAGTGGACGTTGCTGAAGGAGTGGGGGAAGACGCCCTTCACGGCTGTCGAGATATGGTCCACGTCAGAACCCTTCCTGAAAGCAATGGGGGACGCATTTGGTTATTTTAGTGCATTGGTGATCAGGACCAAAATGGCGACCGTGGTCATAACTCCAAATACTTGGGTGAGTGAGTATTGGTTTTACGCCGCTTTTAGCAATATTCCAGTGATATGACGGCGGGGGACACCACAAATGGACTTCACTCATTGTGCCCATGTCGAGAATCGAACCCGAGTCTTCGGCGTGACGAGCGAACGCTTTAACCCCTAGGCTACCCGACCGCCCCCCAAATACTTTAACTAACACATATACATACAACAGTCGCAGCGCTACGAACACTTTGTGGATCATGGATCTGAGCCCCGTCCAACAAAGCGATTGTAGCGCTACGACTTTCGTAAGTCCATGTTAAAGTATGGGACTTAGCGCATCTTAGCGCTACGGTCGCTTTGTGGATCATGGATCTGAGGCCTCTTAGCGCTACGACTTTTGTAAGTCTATGTTAAAGTATGGGACTTAGCGCATCTTAGCGCTACGGTCGCTTTGTGGATCATGGATCTGAGGCCTCTTAGCGCTACGACTTTCGTAAGTCTATGTTAAAGTATGGGACTTAGCGCATCTTAGCGCTACGGTCGCTTTGTGGATCATGTATCTGAGGCCTCTTAGCGCTACGACTGTCGTAAGTCTATGCTAAAGTATCGGTGTTATGATCTTCTTAGCGATAAAATCGCTTTGTGGAAGGGAGCCCTAGATCAGTTCTTCACCTGCATTGGACAGTCTGTCAGAAAATATAGGACCCGTGAAGATCCGGGGTTGAATAGGTCTTCAGTAACCCATGCTTGCCGTAAAAGACGACTATGCTTGTCGTAAGAGGCGACTAACGGGGTTCGTTGAGCTGGTGGATGCATGTCGTATCCCAATTGCAAGGATCGATGCTCATGGTGTCAATCACTGGATTGTCTGGTGCAGACTCGATTATTTACAGACCGCCGTCATATAGTTGGAATATTGCTGAGAGCGGCGTTAAACAACAAACAAACAAACAAAAGAAAATATAGACGCATATATTTTGGTGAAATACAATTAGTAAGGATAGGCAAAATACAACACTCTTTGTCTCCTGTTGAGATGGGCACTACGTGGGAAGTGAGTATTGTGTGGGAAGTGTAGGAGTGAGCGAGTATGATTTTACACCGCTGTCCGCAATATTCCCGCAATATCACGGCGGGGGACACCAGATATGGGCTTCACACATGTCGGGAATGGAACCTGGGTTTTCGGCGTGACGAGCGAACGCTTTAACCACAAGGCCACCACCCCGGGAAGAGAATTGAGAGTTAAGAGTAAAACCATATAGATTAGTACAAGGAAGAAAAGAGTAAGAAAAACATACGGATAGTTGATAAAACAATGCACGAAACAGAAGGATATATATTCAGGCAAACTGAAAGGTGAACTGGTAATGTAGGTAGACTGAAGAAATATCGAACTACGTCGTCAGGGTGTGATAGCACACTAAGTCAGCCAGGTCTATTTTAGACAATTTAGATTTTCTTTAAGAGTCCATGAAACATTGGTTACTCCATGGTGATGTATTTGATACATTTAACATAGCTGTGTTTGCAATGTTGCGACTGTTTTCAGCCTAGACACGTTTTATTAAAAAGATATCAAATGCAGGTTTTAAGTGTATACTTTTTTGGACCCAGTTATTATGTCATTATTTCATTATTTTAGCAACGATCTCAACTAGTCGTCTTGACTAGTCCCATGATTTATTTAATCCTATGGTTTGCCTGCTCCAGGAGCGGTTATATGTCTGAACGATTTGAGATACAGGCAAACACCATTGAGGTGAGGTGAAATGGGGTTAAACGTCGCGTCCAATGCACTTATATAGCGACGTGCATGTACGTGTGTGTGTGGCTGCTTGTACTAGTCCGGACTGATGCCGATTTATAGTGCGAGCTCACTGAGATAGCATGCCGCAGTTTAACATGAATATCCCACTCAGACACAGTATACTGACTCCGGGCCGACCAGTCCTAATGCCCAGCGCCAGACAGGGTAACAACAAATACCATCTTTTAACGTCTTTTGGTATGACGCGGTCGGGGATCGAACCCTGGACCTTCCGCTCTCCGGGCGGACGCTCTACCACTAGACCACGGAGGCGGTCTCAAACACCATTGAAGGGACCTACGTAAGTACGAGTTATCCGAGGTTGGTCGGATGAACTGGGCATTCTTTTAACGATTGACACTAAGAGTGAGGATCACGACACATATGCAACAAACAAACAACGAGAAAATGAAATAGATGTCCAACATTACTTGAAAGAAATGACTTCGGGACAACTGTAACTTCGTCACATCCGATTCAACACACCAGAAGCTAAATAATGATGAATAAAGAAGGAATACGCAGGGACCAAGCTTTTCTTCGAGACAACCGTAAGTTCGACACATCAAAGTTCGACACAAAGGTGTTGACTGTACAAGTAATGCTTCCATATAAAAGTCAATTCATTCACTCACTAACTCACCATATCCCCTGGAGACAGACGACGTCAGCATTTGTCTCCGCGAGAGCCAATGGGATCAGCTCTTTCCGTTGCTTATAATGTGGGACCAGTTGACTTAGGTCAGCGTTGAAGGTCATCAGTTGGACCTTATGGCGGCAGACGGCCCGAGCAGACGACACTGTCAGCGTCCCGAGGAATGTCAGGAGACCGAGGAGGAAGGGTCGATGTCGGCCTCGCATGGTTACTGAAATGAAAAGAAGTCAAGCATTTCACAGGGTAAACATTGTCAGTAGGAATCGGTTTTTTTCTGCTCGACACATATACAAACGGAAAAAAAGTAACTGTGCTTCATAAAAAAGATAACAACATAATATTTGTTCATTCGTCTGATCAATGTTTTATCATAACAAATTCATTGAGAAAGGCCATACCTGGTAACAAAGAGACAGATCGACACGCCCTAGACAATGCCAATATCGGGTGTGACCGCCATTTATGTTGATACAGGCGAGGCAGCGGCGGCGCATTGATCAAACCAGATTGAAACATTTGGATGTTGTTCCAAATGTCAACCAAAGGTTGGCCCGACTGTGCTAGCATCACCAGCTGGTTCTGGTCCTGTCGTAGCCATCCTTCCATCGCATCCCAGACATGTACTATGGGGGAGAGGTCTGGAGACACAGCCGGCAATGGCATTACAGCAAGGTTATGATGCCTTAAAAGTCAGTTACAACCCGTGTGGGCGGGCATTATCCTTCTGCAAAGTGACGTTAAGTCCTTGCATTTTCCGACAGCGTACGCCATTCAAATTGCTATTGAAACAATGAATTGTGTTCTCCCATAAGTTGTGATGCTGCCCCATAACATTACACTGCCACCCCCAAACTGACGACGTTGAGTAATGCAAGCGTTGCTAAAACGTTCTCCAGGACGCCCGTAGGCCCCTGCACGACCACAAGAGCTGCCTCATCTGAGAACACATCTGTGAACTCCTCTGTGGACAGTATACTGTCCCAATCTTGTCTTCTGACCATCAGATGCTGTCTACACCAAGGTAGGTGTGCCTGACGGTGACGTGGAAGCAAATAATGGGGGTAAATATCCTGTGTGTGGAATAAACGTTGTATTTACGGAGCCTTGCCGAGCTAAATACATGGTGCTAAATACCCTGAGTTTGGAATAAACGTTGTATTTATGAAGCCTTGGCAAGGTAAATACATACTGGTAAATATCCTGTTTTAGGAATAAACGTATTAATTGAATCTTGGCGAGCTAAATATATAGTGGTGAATATCCTGTTTTAGGTATAAACGTTGTATTTATGGAGCTTTGGCTAGGAAAATAAATGGTGGTAAATATCCTGTACTTGGAATAAACCATGGCTCATTCTGAGGTCGATTCGATTGTCACGACTGTAAGAAAAGCTGTCCAATCAAATAATTATCATAAGCGAGAGAAACCCTGTGCTCAATAACAGATAGGAGAGATGGAGATGGTGACGTCACTTCCGGAAAGAAGCTGTGGTGGTGAATGGGGCCAGGGTTTTATCAAAAAAAAGATATAATATCACTGGATATATTAATAACACACATGACAGACACAGACAGACCTGAGCCCATTCCTACCCATACATGTTGTGTCTGTCCAATTATTACTGTAATAATACGCCCATTACTTACTCCTGCGTGAAAGCCTCGCGTCCAAAAGACACCAACATTAAACTATGTTTGTTATTCTTTAAAACAATAAATCATAATTCCATCCGACACATAATCTATAGAGATAGCCCACAGTATGTCCAACCACGACATGGTATAACGGGCTGTTATACAACAGATAGTGGTCAGGTTACATGCGGCCTTGGTGATAGCACTGTCAGCGGTTGTTGGTGGCACTCAATTGCAGCACACGTTTGTATCGCTCTTAAACCTATACTCTATACAGTGAATGCAGTGTACAAGCCAGAAGTTATTTCTAAATTACTTTACTGTCTCTTACAGGGTGACGGTGGGTTTGACGGCGTGGGTGAAGGTGAGTGTGTGGGTGAGGGTGAGTGTGTGGGTGAAGGTGAGTGTGTGGGTAAGGGTAAGGGTGTGGGTATGGGTAAAGGATGTGGGTTTGGGTGAGTGAGTGAGTGTGAGTGTGAGGGTAAGAGTAAGGGTGTGTGTATGGGCGTGGGAAAGGGTAAAGGATGGGGGTTTGGGTGAGTGAGTGGGTAAGTGTGTGGTGAGTGTGTGGGTGAGGGTGAAGGATGAGGTTTTGGGTTAGTGTGTGGGTGAGGGTGAGTGTGTGGTTGAGTGTGTGAGTGTGTGTGAGTGTGTGGGCGAGGGTGAAGGATGAGGGTTTGGGTTAGTGTGTGGGTGAGTGTGAGTGTGTGTGGGGGTGGGGGGTGGGGGTGGGGGGGGTAAGTGTGAGTGTGTGGGTGAGGGTGAAGGATGAGGGTTTGGGTTAGTGTGTGGGTGAGTGTGAGTGTGTGTGTGTGTGGGTGAGAGTGAGTGTGTGGGTGAGGGTGAAGGATGAGGGTTTGGGTTAATGTGTGGGTGAGTGTGAGTGTGTGTGGGGGTGGGGGGTGGGGGGGGGTAAGTGTGAGTGTGTGGGTGAGGGTGAAGGATGAGGGTTTGAGTTAGTGTGTGGGTGAGTGTGAGTGTGTGTGTGTGTGTGGGGGGGTGAGAGTGAGTGTGTGGGTGAGGGTGAAGGATGAGGGTTTGGGTTAATGTGTGGGTGAGTGTGTGGTTGAGTGTGTGGTTGAGGATGAGGGTTTGGGTGAGTGTGTGGTTGAGGATGAGGGTTTGGGTTAATGTGTGGGTGAGTGTGTGGTTGAGGATGAGGGTTTGGGTTAATGTGTGGGTGAGTGTGTGGTTGAGGATGAGGGTTTGGGTTAATGTGTGGGTGAGTGTGTGGTTGAGGATGAGGGTTTGAGTTAGTGTGTGGGTGAGTGTGTGGTTGAGGATGAGGGTTTGGGTTAATGTGTGGGTGAGTGTGTGGTTGAGGATGAGGGTTTGGGTTAATGTGTGGGTGAGTGGGTGGTTGAGGATGAGGGTTTGGGTGAGTGTGTGGTTGAGGATGAGGGTGTGGGTAAGGGTGTCGGTGAGGGTGAAGGATGCTGGTTTGGGTGCGTGTGAGTGTGTGGTTGGGGTTGAGTGTGTGGGTGCGTGTGAGTGTGTGGATGAGGGTGAATGTGGGGGTAAGGGTGAAGGAAGGGGGTAAGGGTGAAGGAAGGGTGTTTTGGTGAGTGTGTGGGTGTGGGTGAGTGTGTGAGTGAGGGTGTGGAAGTGGGTGTGGGTGAGAATTATAGGGAAGTTTTGCCTAATGTAAATACACGTTAAGTGCAATGAATGATGTTATCTGTGGTCTGTCATTGTAGTCGTGTGGACAGGGCAGCTGTAATTCAAGCATCCCATGCATCTGTCTGGTGACCTATTTCTAAGTTGTTTCACACAGTTAATGATAAGGTATTAGCACGTACTCAGTTTGTACCACTTTACCTGTGTGATTAAAACGCAAAATGGACAGGCCAATGACCATTGGGATGTACGGGGTACAGAGGAAATATTAGTGTACATGCAGTTCTCATATACAAGCAGCGTTGCGTCCTCAATTACCTAGTCTCTCTCTCTCTCTCTCTCTCACACACACACACACACACACACATCGACACACACACACACACACACACACACACACACACACACATCGACAGACACACACAGACAGACAGACGAGTTAAGTACGAGGTAGACACTGCATGAAACGCAATGTTAATTACAAAAGACACCATTCAAGTATTACCGATAGATTCTCCTTTAATAGTCTATCATGTGAATAATGGCAGGTAAAACCAATATAGTTGGTATTTGTCTTCCAGAACCTATATCCACGAAAAGGCCGACCATTTGAGACCCTGAAGTGGAATAATGCCGTACTGTTGAACAACTAGTACTTTGTACTCAGGTGTAATATACTTTGTAAAATACATTTTGTACACTAGACATGCTAGATGTTCTGAAATACAGTGTGTTGTAGGTGCAAAATACGTTGTTTGGCTTCACTTTTCAGAGAAAAACTATGTACGTCTTGAAGGCCCGGCAGGAATTCAGCATCAGGCAAAATCCAACCCCTTTTCCTCAACCCAGAATAGGAAATCATCGGCCTCTAACAATATGAAAGGACTCTAATTTCGATATTAAGACCACAAACAACAACCTATTTTAGAGAATGAAAACGTTTTAATCAGTTTAATAATCGTTACTTTCTTTCACATTATCAATTAATATATGGAACCTACACAAATATATGAACAAACGTTCAAACGAAGTTTTCGTCCTGTTTCAGTTGTCGAAAACCTTGTAGAAAACTCACACATACCTGCAGTGAAAATACAAATAAAACATCCCCATTGTAGTCAAATATCACCTTTGTGTTATGATCATCTAATAATGGTAATATACTACTCAAAGGAAGTTAAGAACATCCGATTTTTTAAATATAGTTAATATTTCATGGCATGACTTACCAACTGTAGTCATATTAAAAAATCGGATGATGTTTAACTTCTTTTGCGTACTATATATATTGCAATCATGGGTATATGCTAAATAACAATTCGTGATACGATGTATTTAATAAGTACTTTCAGGGTGTAAAGTACGATGAATATACACGACTATGTAATGTGACAAAGATGCCTCACCTTGAGTCGTCGTTCACTTTCTCAGACGGCGTACCTCCATCTTGCCACACATTGTCCGTCTACACGCCCGTGAATGAGTCGCTCTATTGACAAACCAAGCGTTAATGTCAGACACTTGCTCGATCGCTTTATGCAATGAAGTTATTGTTGAGTTTAAATGGTAGTACCTGACAGATGGCCTCTGTATACAGCCAGGTATACGGTATTTACGACTCTGTGGGGAGCGGTCGATGTGTATTCCAGAATGATAACAAGTGCAGCAGCCTTCTGGCATGGAACGTTTACAAAGCGTTATTGATTTAAGTACTTTCATCCCGATGGTGGCATGACATAAAAAAATAATTGATATTAACAGTTAATTCTTTTATATCAGTAAAAAAGGATTCGGCATGATAGTAAACATGGAAGTTTTTATTATGTGTCATTTTTATGTGTCCTTAATGGCGCAACAGTTATCTTGGTTGAAATTGTTTTTCGAACACCTTGCTGTTAAGATCTTTTATGGAATCCACTGTATGCAGTTTTGTTTGTTTGTTGTTTGTTTTTGTTTAACCCTGTAGTCAGCAATATTGCAGCTGTATGACAGCGGTCTGTAAATCGTGTCTGGACCAGAGAATCCAGTGATTGACATCATGACCATCGATCCACTCATTTGGGATACGATGACATGCATCAATCAAGTCAGCGAGCCTGACCATCCAATCCTTAATTGCCTCTTACGACTCTTTGCCTTTTACAGCAAGCATGGGTTGCTGAAGACCTATTCTATCCGGACCTTCACGGGTATGCAGTTTTGTACATACTTTGTACCATGAGATTCATTGGCACAGAATATTCATAATCGTTTTTACTTTTAAAAAAAGCCCTGGCCAAGAGACTTCACGTGTTAGAAAGATGTCAAATGAGTGAGTGAGTTGGGTTTAACTCCGCTTTTAACAGTTTTATATCCCGGCGTGTCAGCTTAATGTGGGAGGAATGCCCGAAGTGATGCAGGTCTCAGACGTTTACCACTTCGGTGAAACCCACGAGCACGGGTTTGGTGCTGACAAACTTAGAAACATAATTGGGGCGAATTGGGAATCGAATCCACAATCATAGGTTTCTGGCGTGCCCAAGGGACGCAACTCTGCACAGCGAATCGCGGCTCCTTAGACGACTGTGCCACCCATGCCCCCAGTGAGCGAAATAGATAAGAGAATGTTTTTTCAGTAGACAGCAATCTCTCATCTTTATGGTGGGGCAGCCTTGGGGTTAAAGCTTCGCATGTCATGCTGAAGACCCGGCTTCAATTCTCCTCTTGCGTACCGATGTGAATACTATTTCTGTGTCCATGCTGCGATATTGCTGGATTATTGCTAAATGCGGCATAAAATAATACTCACTCACCCCCTCACTCACTTTCAAAAGCTCTATTGACATGATATGGTGAGCTAATAATACAGAACACATATATGTAGTGGAACATTTTATACACATTTACATCGACATACATCATGCAGTCTACAACTAATAGATGTTTCACAGTTGATTTCAGTACAATGTACAAAAAATTGACATTAAGGACACTGGGAGTATAAAAAAGGCGTACCAACTATTGATGCCAGTGCTGCACAGCTGGCTTGGCAATATGGATCCAAGAGAGGCTCATTTAAACTTTATTTGCAGAAGATATATAATATGAACAAGGAAATCAGATACAATTGCTGTTTATATACAAAATAGTTCTTGAAACAGTTACGACCTCTGTGGTAAAGTGTCAGAGTGTCTGTCCGGAGAGCGGAAGGCTGGGGTTCGATCACCGGCCGCGTCATACCAAAAGACGTGAAAAGATGGTACTTGATGTTACCCTGTCTGGCGCTCTGCATGAAGGGGTCAAAACAAGGACTGGTCAGCTCTGAGTCAGTATACTGTGTTAAACTGCGGCATGGTATCTCAGTGGGCTAGCACTATAAATCGGCATCAGTCCGGACTAGTACATGCAGCCACACACATGCATGCACGTTGCCAAATAAGTGCAATAATCTTGGATGTGGCGTTAAACCTCATTTCACCTCAGCTCATCTTGAAAGAGATATTTGGGTTGATATGCAAAGTTTTACTATCACCCTACTTCAAAGCTTGGCTGTCAAATACTGGCTGACATCGCCAGTGGAACTGGAAGTGATACATCTAGAAAAAAATAGGAGATCTTCTACCCTGTGTATAGGGCGATCCCCATTCAACTCTTTCGTGAAGTTGTTTGATTTTCGATCACAAACATTGATACTACCTAATGTCCAAGGTAATTTTAAGTTGTTAAAGACGGTAACTGTTGGTAATAGTTGTGTTGCGTAATCGGAAGGTAGCAATTCGTGTACCTCTTCACCTGAACTACGGCAATCCCCTCGTTCTTGGTGCTGACAGTCTGGGATGTGCGAAAGGTACAATGTCAGTACCTGAGGGCCATGGACCTATTACCAACAAGCACAAAGAGTGATCTTCGTTTAACAGCTTTTATTCCCACTTTGTGTTGTCGGTCAACCCACTCTATTTTTTACTTAAATACGAGACTTCGGCCGCAAAGCTTCAGTCTCAGTCGAAATGCAGGTGCCTAAGTTTGGTTTCTGGTTCGAAAGATTGTGACAACAAGCCGAGAGCGGAGCACCAGTCCAATTGTGTCTCCCAAGCCACTCTCCCATCTGGGTTTTTTGCCCCTTTTTAAACCGGTACCTACGTCACAGTTCTACTCATTTTTCCATCTATGATTGGTCAACCACCTTTCCCCCCTACACTAGATCATTCTAACCCACTCTTGTATAATAACAAGATCCTTATTAGGACTTGTTGTAATGTGAACTCCTCGACTCCCCGAATCTGAACTATTCCCCCCCAATACCATATATGTACCTGAGGTCAAGCTCATCTATGTTTCTTCTCTTATCTATTCTATTTCTGATAACTTGTATGTTCCTTCTGATGTTACCCTTATCGTCCTGCTCTGATATTACAACCCTCGACCTACTACCGTCACCCCCGGGCATTCAGTGGCCAAGTATATTCCAGCTGGTACTTAGCTCCAAATATTGCTTGTTCGTAATATATTTCCCGACGTGTAGTTTTCCCTTATATCTATGTCTTACTGTTTTAACCCCTCTAATTGTTCAATTATGTATTTACCATATGTGTCTTAATGAGTTGATAATTGCCTACAATACTAATTTCTTTTATCCGACAAACTTGTTGAAACAAGTATTTGTCACAGAGTGACGAAATATCCCCCGCCATATACACCATAGTACCAAATATGAAGACAATCCAGCGATTAGTTCTTGAGATATTGTGGCAACACCGTTTTCCAACTCCAAAAACAGATTTGCCTGCTGTGACCTTGAAAATGGGGTCAAGGTCACCAAATCTGACAGGTGTATGCGGTGTCTGTATATACACTATAGTTCCAAATATGAAGACAATCGAGAGGTTTAGTTCTTGAGATATCGCGGCAACACCGTTTTCCAACTCTAAAAGCAGATTTGCCTGCTGTGACCTTGAAAATGGGATCAAGGTCACCAAAACCGACTGGTGTCTGCATATACACTATAGTTCCAAATATGAAGACAATCTAGTGTTTAGTTCTTGAGATATCGCGGCAACACCGTTTTCCAACTCCAAAAGCAGATTTGCCTGCTGTGACCTTGAAAATGGGGTCAAGGTCACCAAAACCGACTGGTGTCTGCGGAGTCTGTATATACACCATAGTTCCAAATATGAAGACAATCCAGTGTTTAGTTCTTGAGATATCGCGGCAACAAACAGGTGGGACGTACGGACGGGGGATAACAACATAGATATATGCAACCAACCATGCTGGATTAACGGGACTTGACTGTATATACAATATACAGAACATAAGTATATATTCACACGCTCTAAACCCCAGGGGTTCTGGGTGAGAACAGTTTCCTAGAACGTTACTGCTAGTGGTAGAGACGACTACACAGAGTCAGGCACAGCCTCCTGACTGGTTCATTGAATGTCATGTACAAGACGATGTGAGAGTTACTCATAACGTCAACACTCAGCTTAGACTATTCTAATAAATATATATCGACTGCTTAGAGGCAGAACAAGATTTATCTTACCTCAATGTCAGAATGTCCAGATCTGATTGGTTCATGTTACGTATATTACGTATCCCATCTGGGAGGGAACTTAAAGTCTGAGCAGGACAATAAATCTCTCGCGCAGTGTTTACAAGTCACTGAAAGTCACCTGACACAGCACAAGTTAACCCCAGCTTCATTGAACAGCTGTTTTCTATCAATTTTCAATTTGTTTTAATTGTTTTACAATGGCAAATTGAAACATGTGGTTTTATGTGTCCCTTGCTAGGCTTCATATCACTGGCCTCCAGCTCATGGTATAAAACCTAATGTGCGATAAATAAAACCCAACCTACCCCGATGCTACAACTTATATTGTCAATTTTTTGTGATTTTAACTTTTTAGGATATTCTTGTCCGTTCCTTAATGAAAAAATTGCAAAAAAAAAGTTTCATATAAAAAAGATACACAGGAATTATAAAATGGAACATTTTCAATGTAGTCAGTAGTTTACATTCAAAATCATACATTTATCGAGGATGTGTTTAGCAAACACACAATTATGACAAGTGTACCATCACAAGCTGCCCACATCAAACACCTGGTGTCAGTCCTGTCTGGTCTTGGTAAGTGTATCATCACAAGCTATAGGTGCACTGCCCACATCAAACACATGGTGTCAGTCCTGACTAGCCTGGGTAAGAGTACCATCACAAGCTATAGGTACACTGCCCACATCAAACACCTGGTGTACCATCACAAGCTATAGGTACACTGCCCACATCAAACACCTGGTGTCAATCCTGACTAGCCTGGGTAAGTGTATCATCACAAGCTACAGGTACACTGCCCACATCAAACACCTGGTGTATCATCACAAGCTACAGGTACGCTGCCCACATCAAACACCTGGTGTCAGTCCTGACTGGCCTGGGTAAGTGTATCATCACAAGCTACAGGTACACTGCCCACATCAAACACCTGGTGTCAGTCCTGACTAGCCTGGGTAAGTGTATCATCACAAGCTACAGGTACACTGCCCACATCAAACACCTGGTGGAAGAAGGTCTTGTCGTGCAGACATGTACAGCAGCCTTCGGGGAGATCCGCCTCCATCTGATGCAGTAGCTCCAGGAGATCGTCCCGACCTCGTTCAGCCGAGCTCTGTCGCATCATTCTCACCGCCTCACCCTAGACAATAAAAAATACCGACAATAATAAACACATCACCCATGGTTCCCCCATACATAATAAAGTCTGACATTTCTCATCGAGTCAGTGAGTTTGGTTTTACTCTGCTTTGAATACTATATCACAGTGTTTCTCCTTGAAGTGGAAGGAAAGACCAAACAGATGGTGGTATTAAACTACAAGCACGGTATTCGAAATACTGATCACAGGATTCTGGTATGCCTAAGGGATGCAACTCTGCACATCTAATTGTGGTGCCTGGAGACAACTGGACCACCCGTGATCCCTCTGGGTCATATTACAGTTGTCCAAGTGCATATTTCTTCAAGCCTTCAAGTAGCAGTGAGTCAGTGTTGTCACGCATGCACACACACATGCACACACGCATGCACACACGCATGCACACACACATGCACACACGCATGCACACACGCATGCACACACACATGCACACACACACATGCACACACGCATGCACACACACACAAAGAAACATGAAGGGAAACAGGCTAACCTTGAGAAAGTTGATGACCTTGAGAGGTCGTGCCTTCTTGAGGGTGTTGGCATCAGTGTTAGTGATGAGGTCCAGAACTTCAGACAGGTCTGCCACGCTGTACATGGGAATGTTGGTTGCCAGGCCAACCAGCTCGGCATTGAACTGTCCATCGACATCTGTAATACAATCTTACATTGTAGCCAGACTGATGGTAGCCACATGAAGGACCTCTACTGCCACATCTTACATGAAATCTGCCCTCTGAGAACACAGTATCGACAATCCTGACCACAATATTTCCTCACATGGAACTAAAAATGTCCACATCATCACTGGAAAATAAGGCAACTTGGGTTGGTTGGTTGGTTTGTTGTTTGACGTCGCACTCAGCAATATTCAAGCTATATGACGGCGGTCTGTAAATAATTGAGTCTGGACCAGACAATCCAGTGACTGACATCATGAGCATCGATCCACACAATTGGGATCAATGACATGCATAAAACAAGTCAGCGAGCCTGACCACCCAATCCCGTTAGTCGCCTCCTACGACAAGCATAGTCACCTTTTACGGCAAGCAGGGTTTGCTGATTACCTATTCACGGGTCAAGGCAACTTGGGACACCATAGGAATCCAAAGAAACAACTCGGCCATTCACAGGCATCTACCTACTCAGCGTGTACTCAATACCCCCACAGACACCTTGATTGCTGTTGTTACATTGTCATAGTGTTACCCTCGTCAGTCTTTCGTTACATGCATGCACATCGCAATATATATGCAATAAACCCCATTTCACCTCATCTCGCCTCACCTCACCTATCGATATAGTCCAATTATAGGACAAACAATTTCAATACATCCGACAGTCCACGAACCTTTCCGACATCTGACACGGAAGCCATTTGCCGTTATCCTCTCATCCCTGACGTCAACATATGGTCCAGGAGTCCAGTTCTCATTGGCCAAACTCTCAAGGGTCGTCAGCAGACTCTCGTCGCCGAGGCTCCTAAAATAAAAAAAACCCATTCACATACATCCTGATAAATATTTAAACACAGACATGCTGATCAGAACCCTCAAGTCCTTGACAGCGAGATGCCGCCAGTCTAAACCCCCTCAATCTGGTAACCCTGATTTCCGGTTGATTACTGTCTGGAACTTCCATCTATTCTCCTTAAAAAAGTAAACGGTCACCAGATTCTTTCATATTACTATGGTTGGTTGGTTGGTTTGTTGTTTAACGCCGCACTCAGCAATATTCCAGCTATATGACGGCGGTCTGTAAATAATCGAGTCTGGACCAGACAATCCAGTGACTGATATCATGAGCATCAATCCACGCAATTAGGATCAATGACATGTATTAACCAAGTCAGCAAGCCTGACCACCCGATCCCGTTAGTCGCCTTTTACGACAAGCATAGTTGCATTTTACGGCAAGCATGGGTTGCTGAAGACCTATTCTACCCCGGAATCTTCACGGGTCTCATATTACTATGGGGGCGGTCGGGTAGACTTGTGGTTAAAGCATTGGCTCGTCACGCCGAAGACCCGGGTTCAATTCCCGACATGGGTACAATGTGTGAAACCCATTTCTGGTGTCCCCCGCCGTGATATTGCTGGAATATTGCTAAAAGCGGCGTTACACCATACTCACTCACTCACTCACTCACTCATATTACTATGGTAAATCTATCATAGCATGACATTAACTATGGTAATATGAAAAGATTTGGTCCTTAACTGGTTGTGAGTAGTACATGTAAATATGTGATAAAGGGACATTACTCCGGATAATTCCTAGAATAATGTGTTTCACTGTAGTTAAGCCATCCTAGATTATCAACATGATTTGGATACTACATCTTACTCTATTCAAATGAGATTTGAAACGAATGAATGAAAGCACAACACCTACATTAGATAGTACAACAGCTTTGGAAATTCCATCTTCCCGAGGCAAGCGTGTCCACCAGCTTATATCAAAACCTAGTTTCTACCCTTGCCACATCAAGGCCACTTTTCTTGGCTCGACCCTGGCGCCGCCTCGCGTAGATCACACGTTGTGCCCCTTGTAATGAAAACGCGATATCCAATCAGATCGCTGTTCTTATCTCGTATAGCTTCCCAAAGATGGCGATCACCAAAGTCGACGATTTAGTCGATCAGATAATGAAAACATTTACGATTTCATCCCTGACACAAAAACATGGGCAATCGTTGGGGGGTTTAAAAGATGAGAAAGATATATCCGTGTCAACAAAGACAGGCAGCGGTAAATCACTTTCATACGAAGATGTTGATTTTGTGAAATGTTCTCTGACTGGACTATTGATATTGATAGTCCAATCATAATTAGCACAGGAAAGTGGGCTTGATGTGGTAAGGGTGGAAAAAAGACTTTGATAATAAGGCTAGTGGACGCTCTTGCCTCGGGAAGATGTGGAAATTCATACTAGCCTAAGACAATTAACTTGTGCCGAGGATAAGCAAAGATCTAATGATGGTAGGTCTCACTGACTGCAAGCATTAAAAAGCTGAAATTCTGAACCAGCTCTCATTGCTCGATTTTTGCTACAAATTGGAACTGAAAAAACCCATTTTGTCTTAATCATGCAGGACTAGCTTCATACTCAGAGGGGCGGTCGGGTAGCCTAGTGGTTAAAGCATTCGCTCATCACGCCGAAGACCCAGGTTCGATTCCCAACATGGGTACAATGTGTGAAGCCCATTTCTGGTGTCCCCAGCCGTGATATTGCTGAAATATTGCTAAAAGCGGCGTAAAACAATACTCACTCACTCACTCACTCATACTCTGAGGACAAGTGAAATAAGGTTCCACTATTCCTCTGGACTAGACTTTAAAAACCAACTGAATTTCTAAGTGTAAGGTTGGCATCATCAACACCAAGATGAGTGAGTGAATGTTGTGCTACACCAGTCTGCGGTGTTCTCACTTCTTCACTGTCCCTAAGTGAACAAGGGCCAGGGTTCCTGTAGGTTACTTATATCCTAACAAATGGACCCGAGAAGGTCCGGGGTAGAACAGGTCTTCAGCAAACCCTGCTTGCCGTAAAAAGTGACTATGCTTGTCGTAAGAGGCGACTAACGGAATCGGGTGGTCAGGCTCGCTGACTTGGTTGATGCATCCCAATTGTGTGGATCGATGATCATGATTTCAATCACTGGACTGTCTGGTCCAGACTCGATTATTTACAGACTGCTATCATATAGATGGAATATTGCTGAGTGCAGTGTTAATAAAAAATATTTAAAAAAGGCCTCAGTCCAGACTTTTTTATATAACTTTGGTTTACAGATTTGTGTGTAAACGTTTTAAGTTGGCTGATGGAAAAAAAATGTTTTTCAGATGATTCTACTCTTGGACACTATCTGTGGTCTCATCAGTCTCGAATTTTCTTTAGCTCACAAAATATAAGTATGTTTGCATTTAGCAAATATTTTACAGATAATTTTTTATTTAAAAAAAAAGTTTTTCGGGGCTGTGGATCCCTAAAGAATTAAAAATGAGTATGGACTTAGCACATAAAAAAAGAGTTCTCTCTTATTGCATTACAGTTGTCGGGTGAGAAATATAGACAGCCATACCTGGCTGTCAGCGGCACGGGCTTGTCCAGGGGCTGCGGCGCCAGCTGATGTTGAGTCAGAAGTCTGTGATATAGGATAGTTTCAGCCAATCGGTGAGGGTTTGCCAGTAGAATCTTGTTGCCACGGCTACACACCCAGGACCCACATGATTTCAGAGGACCAATCAGGGTTAGCTTGGAAGTGTGAGAAACTTGACTCTGACTGAAACAATTTCATCATAAAGATTGAGAACATATCACTGGTGTCACAATATGCTAAAACCACATATTGATACGCTTTTCAGGAAATATCTATTTATTAGTAATAATCATCATCATCAAGTTTTTTAATCTAGTACTAGGTCAATAATGAAGATGTTTCTTGCTAGCAAAATGGATGTTTCTTGAAAAGCTCACTTAATTTTTTTTGTCATTACTCTAAGGTAACATTCCTTATTGCCAGAATGGCTTTTTTCACTTTATAAGTATCAGGGACCTGTTCCACAAAGTGAAGTAAGTCTGTGTTCAAGACAATCGTATTGTGGAACAAGGACACATGTAGCTATATTTGTGAATAATAAATACCATATTCTGTGATTATATTTCAAGTGGTGAGGGTAATAGTTATGTCAAGAAAACTGTTAAATTTGATTTCTATTCAAATTAATATTATCGCTTTTGTTCGAGATCTACATTTCAACAAATAATTGTTTATGAGTGAATATTGTTTTATTACATCAGCCTGCAACAATACGTCTAGACAAGCCCCCCCCCCCCCACACACACACCACTGAATCCTCATCTAAGTTGGCTCTGATCACAAGCATACATGGAACCTATCCTGTCTTGATATCTCCATGGAGAGATGAGGGTACAGGGGACCTATCCTGCCTTGATCCCTATCCTGTCTTGATATCTGTGGAGAGACAAGGGTACAAGGGACCTATCCTGTCTTGATATCCTTGTGGAGAGAAAAGGGTACAGGGGACCTATCCTGTCTTCATATCTGTGGAGAGACAAGGGTACAAGGGACCTATCCTGTCTTGATATCCCCGTGGAGAGACAAGGGTACAGGGGACCTATCCTGTCTTGATATCTGTGGAGAGACAAGGGTACAGGGGACCTATCCTGTCTTGATATCCCCGTGGAGAGACAAGGGTACAGGGGACCTATCCTGCCTTGATATCCCTGTGGAGAGACAAGGGTACAGGGGATCTATCCTGCCTTGATATCCCTGTGGAGAGACAAGGGTACAGGGGACCTATCCTGTCTTGATATCCCCGTGGAGAGACAAGGGTACAGGGGACCTATCCTGTCTTGATATCCCTGTGGAGAGACAAGGGTACAGGGGACCTATCCTGTCTTGATATCTGTGGAGAGACAAGGGTACAAGGGACCTATCCTGTCTTGATATCTGTGGAGAGACAAGGGTACAGGGGACCTATCCTGTCTTGATATCTGTGGAGAGACAAGGGTACAGGGGACCTATCCTGTCTTGATATCCCCGTGGAGAGACAAGGGTACAGGGGACCTATCCTGCCTTGATATCTGTGGAGAGACAAGGGTACAAGGGACCTATCCTGTCTTGATATCCCTGTGGAGAGACAAGGGTACATGGAACCTATCCTGCCTTGATATCCCTGTGGAGAGACAGGGGTACAGGGGACCTATCCTGTCTTGATATCTGTGGAGAGACAAGGGTACAAGGGACCTATCCTGTCTTGATATCCCTGTGGAGAGAAAAGGGTACAGGGGACCTATCCTGTCTTGATATCCCTGTTGGGAGACAAAGGTACAGGGGACCTATCCTGCCTTGATATCCCCGTGGAGAGACAAGGGTACAGGGGACCTATCCTGCCTTGATATCCCTGTGGAGAGACAAGGGTACAGGGAACCTATCCTGTCTTGATATCCCCTTGGGGAGACAAGGGTACAGGGGACCTATCCTGTCTTGATATCCCCTTGGGGAGACAAGGGTACAGGGGACCTATCCTGTCTTGATATCCCCTTGGGGAGACAAGGGTACAGGGGACCTATCCTGTCTTGATATCCCAGTGGAGAGACAAGGGTACAGGGGACCTATCCTGTCTTGATATCTCTGTTGGGAGACAACCAACCGTGGAATGCCCATCGGGAGACCTGCATCACATACCTTTCTCTGAAATCTCTGGTGTATTTGCTTTTGAGGTCTTCCAGGTTGAAGGTCAAATCTCTGACCTTACTGTTCTCCTTTCGATTGTTGGATTTCTTAACATTTTTCGATGAAGAAACAAGGTTATCCCTCACAGAGCTGCGTCCCTGGAACAGAGAGTACAGCATTCACTCACCTTGGATCAGTGGTCAAGTGGGGTTTAACATAACTTTAAGGAGTGAGGTTTTTGATTCACGTTTACTGCATTTGTCTCGTAGATCAGTGACCTTGTAGAATCCATCTGTCACGGAATCCCCACAGGCACAGATGTGACAAGTGAGAGGGCGCTAGTCGCTCATCACACACATCTATCCGTACTTACTTTATCCACTTTCTTCCTGACTCTGGTTGATAAGTCCTTCTCTCTTTCTTCTTTCTTGTACCTGCACAAGGAGAAAGCCTAGAAGTTGAGAGCAGGAAGAGGAGGAAGAGAATTTATGGATGTTAACTTCTTTATTATGAGGAACACAATGTTTCAGAGTACCGGTATATGCTTACTCCTTCATCAGGCGAATGAAGGAGTAAGTATATACTCCGTAATGTTGTGTTCCTCATAGTAAAGAAGTTGACATCCACAAATTTCTCTTCCTAATATGTATCCCTTCTATATGCCTTTCAAAGGAAGATGAGGTTTTTACATAGAGTCACCAACATGCTTTTTCACTTGACTATCTCTTGCCACAAAACAGTATGCCTCTTTTATACCAAAGAGGCATGATATTCTGAGCAATCTGACAGTAAAGATTCACCAAAGTGTCTGTACATATCCTTGTTAGTTTGATATTATTGGGAACATCAAAACATATTTATATTTATATAACATATTTGTTACTATGGAAATCATTCACCTAGACGATACCAGGAATGCTACAGTCTGGATTAGACTAACATCTAGTCTCTGAAATGAACATATCTTACATAAAAAGACAGTGGTTAAATTATCTTTAAAAAATAGAATAAAAAAGGAACCCTGAAACTCATCATTTTCAGATACAGTGATCTAGACTTGCTCCCTTTTAGAGTGAAGATCCGGGGTAGAATAGGTCTTCAGGAACCCATGTTTGCCGTAAAAGGCGACTATGCTTGTCGTAAGAGACGACTAACGGAATCGGGTGGTCAGGCTTGCTGACTTGGTTGATGCATGTCATCGATCCCAATTGCATGGATCGATGATCATGATATCAATCACTGGATTGTCTGGTCCAGACTCAATTTTTTTACAGACCACCGTCATATAGCTGGAATATTGCTGAGTGCAAGGTTAAACAACAAACCAACCAACAACTATTATAGACCTGCATGGGCTGTTTTGGATATATTTGTTTCAGGGTCTTACGACAGACTAAGTCTGGATGAAATCATAACATCTTAATTCTGTCTATTTCCTCGGCATCCTACTTGTAAATAATGATGATAACAGTAAATGAAATCGCAAAACGCTTAACTCTCAATGTCCGACCTTCAACAGCTCTACCCCTCACTCTGTACTCACATGTCCCACACAGACGTCCTGTACTTCTGTTTCCGGGACTCCGGCATCGTGCTCCAACTTTCTTTCAAAATGGCAGCAATTTCCTCCTCATCAGCATCTGGGTGATCTTCAGCAACTTGTGGGAGAAAGGTGACAGAGGTTGAAGCCATGTTGCCATGGTTACAGTGAGTGGTGAATCATTAGTCTAGAATTACTGAGGGAAAACAGTCCAGAGTTCCTGTTCCTGGACTGTGAACATTGTAAAGATGTGGGGTTTACCTTACTTTTCACAGAATATCCTTTATATCATGGCAGTAGAGTTGCGATAGTAGTAAATCAACTTTAAGGTATAATAATTATATTAATCAATGTGTCAGAAATGAATAAAGAATTGCTGATAATATCAAAGACGTCATTTTCTTCTCTGAAAGTTGTTTGTTTGTTTGTTGTTTACCCCGCACCCAGCAATATTCCAACTATATAATGGCAGTCTATAAATAATCGCGTCTAGATCCAACAATTCAGTGATTCAGCATCGATATACAAAATTGGGATACAATGACATTCATTAACCGAGTCACCGCGCCTGACCACCCGACCCTTTTAGTCGCCTCTTACAACAAGCGTGGGTTGCTTAAGATCCATTTTGACCTTGTCCTTCACGGGTCCCAAAGGAAAGTAACTCTGATTTGAAGTTATCATAATCCTTAATAATCAACCACACACGTAGGTTTGAAATTCACATAATATATCTATTATTTAGAAGTAATTGCAACTATTGAAACTATTAATAGTTAGAGATACTATAAACGAAACTAGTGGCATTTTTAAATTACTTTTAAATTCCTTTTAAACAATTGCAATATTTTCAGTGTTTGTATTGGTCCCCAAAATAATGGGGTCCCCTGGATGCGTTAGGTGCAAGCTGTGCAAGCGGCGCAGGCCCAAAGCTATCTAGCGGGGTCTGGGTGCATGCCCCCACCCATGTAATTTTTTCATATGTAAACCTGAAGTGGTGTATTTTAAGCCATTCTGGATTTTGGGAGGCAAGAGAAACTCGAAACAAAAGAACTCAAGTAAAATATTTTCATAATGAAAACGCATAAGGGGACGCGTGTAGTTCTTTTTAAGCATCCCAGTTTTTTTCAGAGCTTATTTTTGTGCATGGGATGTCATAAACGCAAACACTGAGTTTGATTTATGGTGACTCCTACCTATAACAGCGTGTCAGCTTAAAGTGGGAGGAAAATCCAAAAATGACACGGGTCATTGATCTTCACCACTTTGGCGAAATGAAGAACTGCTTCTGTTAAACCAAGGATCATAGTGGGGACATTAACACACTACCAGTGCATACCAAGCTAAGGGAGGCCACTCTGCACTGAAAATATATCTGAAGAAGATATTACGTCCTACCATCATGTGTTCTGTCCTTCACAAACAACTGGAAAGCTGACTGCCGCTTGACGGGTTCATTGTCTACCAGGTCGTACAGAGTTGTCTGCCCTTGAAGCATCGTCTGGAACAGCATTTACAAAATACTGAATCCTGCCTTTGCCACTGAAGACAGTGTTTAGAAATCCAACAATCCTCCCATACCCTTGAATGTGGGCTGAATTTGCCGGGATTTCTTGATTATTCAAAACAAAAGACAGGCCTTTGGTTTATCGTGGGCATAATCATACTCTGTTAAATGAAAAACAGACTTTTTGTAAACCTTTTTGTCAAACTCATATTCCATTGGAAGTAGAAAGAGTAATTTTGGACCATAATGTTCCATTCAATACCTCAAAACTAATATGCCTTTTCACACAAAAAACCTTACATATGAAAAAATTGTTTTACCGACAGCATATGCATCGATGCATGTAACAATGGACGCCAATAACCACTTATAATTGTATACGTTTGATATCAGAACAGCTATCAAACATGATGAAATCTGTTTCATAACCCACACAATGAGTGAGTGAGTGAGTTTGATTTTACGCCACTTTTAGCAATATTCCAGCAATATCACAGCGGGGGACACCAGAAATGGGCTTCACACATTGTACCCATGTCGGGAATCGAACCCGGGTCTTCGGCGTGACGAGTGAACGCTTTAACCACTGGGCTACCCGACCAGGGCCACACAAGCACAAACATTGAGCTGTCTCCCTTTAATCTTAAAATAAGAGGTATCTAATCTACAGTTAGACTACCTCAAACTTCAAAACACAGTAGGTGTATCACCTCGCTCTACAGCTGCTCATCTCACCTTCTCCCCAACAGCTCTCCTCTTCTCGGGAGGTCCCAACTGTTTGATGAATGATGCATCGTGGGAAGGCGATAGTGGACGTTTTCCTGGTGTGTGATTGGTTGTCGGTGGCAGCAGCGTCACGGGCTGTACACACACACAAGTCAGCTTCATGAAAACTCCTTCATAACAAAGCTACATGGTGCTAACCGACTAAAGAAACACCCTAGATGGTTGGTTTGTTGTTGTTTAACGCTGCACTCAGCAATATTCCAGCTATATGACCGCGGTCTGTAAATAATCGAGTCTGGACCAGACAATCCAGTGATTGATATCATGAGCATCGATCTACGCAATTGGGATATGACGAAATGCGTCAACCAAGTCAGCGAGCCTGATCACCCGATCCCGATAGTCGCCCCTTTACAACAAGCATAGTCGCCTCTTACGGCAAGCATGGGTTGCTCAGGACCACGGGTAACCCTGAATGGATTCATCCCAATTTGGGAGGACAATACATCTTGCCATGATATAAGTATTGTCTTGATAGGTCCTAGGTCAATACAAACTTTACTGTCAAAAGGCCGCACATTTTTTATTTTTCGTTTCACAGGGCCCGCAGCCCCTAGTGAAAAGCAGTCGGTCTAAACAATAAAGTAAACATTAAATATTAATTTTATTACATCTCACGCTAGTAATATAGATCCTCTTATACAACATAAAATGTTATCATATTATATAAGTTCCATGTCTACTATGAGGGATTCAAAAGAACACCTGCAGTTATAACAGAATGACTACCATATCTATAAATAAATAATTAATATTTTTACGTTTTCTTGTATCGACCGACCTTGCCAAACTGAACCAAAAAAAAGTCAGGGATCATTAATTTTGGGAGACATTTTTATGAAATTGTGTGCTTGGTCTTCATGGAAAAATCATATCTCCAAAAATATTCATGAGCCATAACTTTTTTTGTTCTGTATATTTCTGAACATAAATACAAGACATCAGCAATTCAAAGACAAAACCAAGCTGACTTCATGTGATTTGGTATGTCTTGAGTGAATGAATAGCAGGGTTAGACATATCACCTTGTCCAAAACTTGTGGAAACTTTGCGACAAGTAGTTTTTGTTTTTTTATTTTTTATTTCCCAAACCTTAGCAGCTTAAAGTAAGACAAGTTCTATGGATGAACAACTTCTTTATTACAATTAGTGCGATGTTTCGGTGTAGATCCTAACACCTTTATCCCCAGAAACACCCTCACTTGCTTGATAAAGGTGTTAGGATCTACACCAAAATGTCGCACTAATTGTAAGAAAGAAGTTGTTCATCCATAGAACTTGTCTTACTTCATCACACCAACTTCTAAATGCCACTGAAAGAAGTCTTAGCAGCTTAGTTTAGGCATATTGTCAAACTTCAACAAACTGCAGACTACTTGTAGTTTCAATAATCGTATGGTGTCTAATTCTGTTTTGATAATCTCACTGCCTAGGCTGGTCAAAATCTTAAAAATGTGATCCATTTCATGGTTGATAGGCAAAAACAGGTTACTTCCCTATGAGAAATGTGAATATTGTCCTACTCCTGGGCATCATGTGGCTAACGTAGACATTAAGAGGGCAAACCCATTTACCTGAACAGGCCGTCCACTGGTTGACGCCAACCCTCTACCTCTACTCCACAACTCCACAGAAACACCCTCCTCTGTCAGGTCAATGTCAAGGTCATTACCTGGGTCAGGTGGCACACCATCACCAGTTTTCTTTGTAGACGTATCTGAGGGACGATGGTTGCCTCTGTTCTTCTGTTGTGTTGGTGAGAATGTATCGTCTAACACATCATCACTGATGCTGAATTCCCCAACACCGAGGGGTGCCACATCTTCGCTGATGTTCAAACAGGATTCAGACCCGACCTGACCTAAAGCACCCTCTGTAGGGTGTTCAGAAACGACTACATCCTGTTCCCCATCTGTAGGGTGTTCAGAAACGACTACATCTTGTTCCCCATCTGTAGGATGTTCAGAACCGACTACATCTTTCACAGATGCATCTGAAACAGGGTGAGACACATCTAAGGCATGTTGTGCCGTACGTTCAACCTCAGCATGTACAGAGGAAGGATGTGAAGCAGATCTTGAATCACCTGGATCAAAAGCAGGAAGTTGCTTTTCTTTTGAGACACTATCATCACCATACTCCATGAAAGATGTTTCAAAGTCACTGTCAGAGAAACCATTCTTATCTTCATTGTTATTGTTCAGATATTTGTCATGGGATGGAGCATCTTTGATTTCATTCTCATCAGAATCAGGAATATTCTCAATATCTACCACATCCTCTTTGCTCAGCTTTTGTGAAATGTACTTTGTGACCTTTTCCTTGACCTCTGATTCTTCGACCTCATCAGTGCCCTTGACCTTTGGATCTGGATCTCTGTACTTCCAAGATGGCTGATTGTCTAGGGGACCATACACATAGAGAAGCTCGGTTTCGATGCACTTCTTGACAACATCCTGTAATTGAAAACATGTCACATAAACTTAAGCATGTAGAGTTTCAGGTAAAATACCCTAAACAGATACATAGTGAGGAAGGAAAAGAATTTATGGATGAACAACTTCTTTATTACAATTAAGAGCAACGTTTCGGTGTAGGATTAATTGTAATAAAGAAGTTGTTCATCCATAAATTCTCTTCCTTACTTAGTACTCCGACTTCTACATAGGCATAGCGTTAGGGAGATAAAAAATAATACAATTAGTCTCGATGAGATTTCTTGATGAATAATTTTTCAGATGTGGCGACAATTTCTGAATCCCAATTGAAATGAGTCTGCTGAGACACAGTGTGTATTGCATTTAAATAAAATAAAAATATATTAAGAATTTGTACAGCGCATTTACCAATTAACAACTGCTCAAATGCATTTAGACCATGATTGATCTAATCAAAGGCTCTCTTGAAGAGACAGGTTTGGAGTGTCTTTTTAAAGTTTGTCAGAATTTCTGTTTCACAGATTTTTTGTAGCAGATTGTTCCATAGCAATGGGCCTGCAGTGTTAGAAATTGGCACTAGTCCTGTAGTCCTTGCCAAACTGCCCAATAGTAAAGGTATCCTAAGGACTTTTTGACATTTTTAAAGGTTTTGCTATATGCTATCATTATAAGGACTAGTGGACTGAAACTGTTAGCTTCTACCGCTGGCCTGCATGTTGAAATGACCTATCGCCATATGTTTTGACTAAATTAGGACATGACTTCAATGACAACCTCTAGAAAACTGCAGCAAATCTAGTTTGACAAATCCTTTTGAAAAGCAAAATACTCTAACGGAATAAAAATATTGCTAAATCCAATTGGAACCAGATTAAATAACTTCCTTAAACATGTAAACTCAAGTGAGTGAGTGAGTTGGGATAAACGCCACAACAGTATTCAAGTTATATTGCGGCATGTCAGCGAAATGTGGGAGGAAAGCCTGAAGTGATGCAGGTCTCAGACGTTTACCACTTTGGTGAAACCCACGAGCACGGGTATGGTGCTGTCAAACCTAGAAAAATAATCGGAGCGAACTGGGATTCGAACCCACAATCATAGGTTTCTGGCATGCCCAAGGGACGCAACTCTGCACAGTGAATCGCTGCTCCTTAGACGACTGGGCCACCCGTGGCCCCTGTTAAATCAAGACAAATGAGTAAATATTTAATTTCACATCACATTGAAAAACATCTACAAACAGCCATTGCTCCTACCATATGCTGCAGCATCACTTTGGTTTTATTGGGGTCGATGTTGACGTCCACCTGGCTGGGAGGTATGTTGACGGCGATGTAGTAAATGGGGTGACGCGGTGTGTCGACACTGTGGCAGGTGCAGTAGTACTGACGGACAAGCTGCACAAACAACATGAGAATTGATAGTCAAACAGGGCTGTGGGGTTGCCGGGTTAGAATTGCTCCCCAGCACCCTGTCACAAGAGGCTGCATAAAGGTCGGGTTGGTCACTGTGACCCCAGTGGCCTGGATCAATGTCAGCCATTGGATTGTCTTGTCCAGACTCGATTATTTCAAGGCCAATATGATATAGCTGGAATATTGCTGCGTGTGGCGTTAAAAACAAGCACACACAAATACAGTTGCAATGGTCATAACTGCCTTTTATATACTACTCAAAAGAAGTGAAAGAACACCCAATTTTTTCTTATGACAATAGTATATCTGTCATGGCTGTAGTATAACTTGGATATGGATGATTGCTGAGTTAAAAAAAATAAAATAAAATAATAGCTTCACCACTGTGTTACCTTATGTATTTCCTTGACATCTACAGGTCTTGCATTGACGGCCATGAAACACCTGTCTGTGGACGTCCTGCTCATCACCTGGACATCCGAGCCGGGGGAGGGGATGTACATCACAACGTCTACCTGAACAACAATAAACATCTACCTGAACAACAATAAACATATACCTGAACAACAATCTACACCCTCCTGAACAACAATCAACATCTACCTGAACAACAATCAACACCTACCTGAACAACAATCTACACCCTCCTGAACAGCAATCTACACCCTCCTGAACAGCAATCAACACCTACCTGAACAACAATAAACATCTACCTGAACAACAATCTACACCCTCCTAAACAGCAATCAACACCTACCTGAACAACAATAAACATCTACCTGAACAACAATCTACACCCTCCTGAACAACAATCAATATCTACCTGAACAAACAATCTACATCTACCTGAACAACAATCTACACCCTCCTGAACAGCAATCAACACCTACCTGAACAACAATCAACATCTACCTGAACAGCAATCTACACCCTCCTGAACAGCAATCAACACCTACCTGAACAACAATAAACATCTACCTGAACAACAATCTACACCCTCCTGAACAACAATCAACATCTACCTAAACAAACAATCTACATCTACCTGAACAACAATCTACACCCTCCTGAACAGCAATCAACATCTACCTGAACAGCAATTAACACCTACATGAACAACAATCAACATCTACTTGAACAACATTAACATCTACTTGAACAACAATCAACACCCATCTGAACAACAATCAACATCTACCTGAACAACAAATATTTCCCTCACAATGATCAGCATCTACCTGAACAACAATCTACGTCCACCTGAACAAACAATCTACATCTACCTGAACAACAATCTACACCCTCCTGAACAGCAATCAACACCTACCTGAACAACAATCAACACCTACCTGAACAACAATCAACACCTACCTGAACAACAATCAACACCTACCTGAACAACAATCAACACCTACCTGAACAACAATCTACATCCACCTGAACAAACCACCACATCTTGCATTATACAGTCTTTCTCCCCAAATTATGATATTTACAATCAGGAAACACACTTTCTACTAATCTCTCCACACAATATGACAATGATTCCGATGTTTCCTTTACCACAGGATCTGTGTCGTGGCATTCCTTCCTGATGATGCTATTCATCACACTTCTTCCCAACACGCTCAGCAGCACAGCCTTGGGGTCGGGCAGCACGTTCTTCTGCCACACTGTCTCCTTGTTGTGTCGGAGGGAGAGTCGGACATCAGGGCGAATCACCCCGTATGAGATGAACAGGTCTTCAATTTTCTTTAACTCTTCCTTCTTCTTCCTGGCCGTGCTGTGGTACTGTTTCCTGACTGGGAGGTTCCGGAACAGCTGGCTGGCTGTCACCGTGGTGCCTGTGGCCGGAGGAGTGATCGTTTTATAAACATTTGTCTGTTTGTTGTTTAACATCATACTCTGCACTATGTCAGCTATATGATATGTCAGCTACCGGGTACCCGGTAGGATGAGATGGTAATGTGGTTGTTAACCTTCTGTTAATACTCCCCATGGAGCTGAGAACGATTCTTGAGTGCACAATGATCTAGTGACCAGGGTAATAATAGCGCTTTGAGCATGTCCCAGAGTGGTGTGGAAATATGAGCAATATAAATAGCCTATTATTATTATTATTATTATTATTATTATTATGGCAGCTTGTAAATAATGAAGTCTTGACCAGACAATTCAGTGATTGACATCGATCCATGCCATTGGGGTATGATGACACACATCAACCAAGTCCAACCTGTCCGCTCGATTTTATTAGTCACTTCTTTTGACAAGCATACTTTGCTGGAGACCAATTCTAACCCGGATCTTCACAGGTTGGTAGGCGGCAGGGCTGTTCAAATACTAACATTTTCTACTTACCCAAAAGCAAGTAAACCTTAAAATTCTTCTTGCCTAACCTGATTTTCAACTTATTCTGCTAAATCAGAGAAAAGAAGAAAACTTTAATTCTAACAATAAAAACTTTATTAACAGAAGCAAGAGCCAATCATCTCCCTGATGCAGGAGAGTTAACTGACTTCAAAAGTCCTGTTTCCACCCTTGCCGAACAATGCTGGAATTCCTGGGCTCGATCGTAGCGCAACCAGTGGCTATTACGAGTTATGTCCCTTCTAAGCCTCTCCTATGGACCAATCATATTCCTCCTCTCGTATCACTTGCATTTGCTTCAAACAAAATGACGGCGCCCAGTCAAGACAATCTGATCGATAATCAAGATATATATTGTGATAAAACGGGTCTTACATTGCGAAGTGCATCAAATCATGTAAGCACCTTGATTAAAACATGAAAATTTGGAAAATATCTGTTGACGAGTTGGCAGTGCACATGCTTTGTAAATCCTGCAATCGACCGAGATCTGCATGATAGTTTACGAACCAGATGTCGATTTCGTTGCGTGATTTTGATTATACTATGCATAGACTTGTTAGTCCAACCATAATGTAACTCCATAATACCAGCCTAGTTCGGCAAGGGTGGAAACTGGATTTTTATAGTCAGTTGCCTCCCTTGCCTCCGGAAGATGGAGCCAACAGATGTGTAGGACAGAAAAACGACTAATCAGGTACTTCATCTTCTGTTGACAAACACACAATGCATCATCTTAGTTTCAAAGTTAACACCAACAATCCTCATACATGACTGGGGACAACTAATTATATTTTCCCACATGCCCGGCACTTTATTTTCATGGACTAGGCAAGTCGGCATACTAATTGAACAGCCGCAATAGTGGGGAGAGATGATCGTTTTACAAGCATCTGTTTGTTTATTTTTTGTTAAATGCTACGCTCAGCAATATTCCAGCTATATGAGCCTGGACAAGACAATCCAGTGATTGATATTATGGACAAGGATCCGAGTCGGGGTACGAGGGCATGCTATCAACAAAGTCTGACCACCCAATACTTGTTCGACTCTTACAACCAGCAGAGGTTACTCGGGACCAAGTGTAACCTGGAATTCCCATGGGTGATTTATATACAAGTAATGATAAACACATAAACATGCTAAGAGAACTGGAATGGATATCAAGGCAGTTGCTAGAACGCCAACGCACAAAGGGTAGATGTGGCGTCTCTATTGAAAATCTTTGGGACAAATTGGTTTGTTTTTTATCACTGATGGGAACAGGTATGTGAGGTTTCATCTTTATTTGTCATTAGTGGTTTCAGAGAAGATGTGTCAGACAGATGCCGGACAAACAGGCCTTGACTCAAGCTCACTTGACTTTCAGCCAGGTGAGGTAAAAAGTCAACTATTTGACAATATGTATCAACAGTTGACTTGACATTGCTATACCTTGTCCAAGGTGGGATGGCTTCTTATCAGAGATCTGTCCCTGGTTGGTCAGACTGTAGGTCATACTGACATCATCATCAGCACTCTTGGTTGTCACGGAAACCTCGGATACAGCACACAGAGAGGCTGAAAAGATCAGTGAGTGAGTGAGTGCTGTATGATGGCTGCCGGGAAAGAATCTGGGCCAGACATAGTGAGTGTGTGAGTGAGTGAGTGAGTGAGTGAGGTATGATGGACACCTTGAAACAATCTGGGGCAGACAAGCATAGTTCAGTGAGTGGATATTTGGGGGAGTGTGTGTGTGCGTGTGTGTGCGCGTGTGTGAGTAAGTGTGAGTGCATGTGAGCAAGTGAGTGAGGGGTTGGATGTATGAGTAGGTAGAAGTGAGTGAGACTGAGTGTGTAGTTGGGTGAGTGAGAGTGAGTGAGTTAGTGAATGAGTGAGTGACTCATACTGATTGAGTGATTGATATTGCAAATATTGTTACATTAATTTGTGTTGAAATGAAGAACTTAACATGATAAACAGTGTTAAAAAATAAGATCACAGGTTTGAGGTTTGCTCCTATAGTATTTGAATCCAGAGACCCCATCAATCTTTAACATTTAGCATGTTTAGCATAACTTGAGGTCAATGACAAGGGCCCCTTGACTATGTTCTTAATTTCAAACACTGTCAACATGTGGTTACAATCCCTAATGTATCTTTGACTGTTTCAAGGTGAATTTAATACAACACATTGAATCTAGTTGCATATAGAATTATTATTTAGATCAGATAGTTCACAACGACATCTCTGATTGATATTGAGATTTCTTTTCTCACTGGAAGTTTTAGCATGAGAAAAACTCATCCTTAAAAATTCATCCTTTAAAACCATTTCCCTAATCCTCAGAGTTTGTCGCTAGTTCTGTTTGGTCGAGACAAAAATGTTGCTATGAATGCAGTTCCAATGTGAAGCAAAGATAAAACATTGAGAACTGGTTCAGAATTCTAGCCCTCGAATACAGCTAGTCAAAGATGACTACCATCATAATGATGTTGGATTTTTACAGCACAATTAAGTAGTCTTGGGCTACCAGACCAGCGTGAATTTCAAAGGCTGAAAACTTAAGATGCTAGTTACCTAGAGCCTCCCCTCTGAAGCCGTAAGTTGTAAGAGCCTCCAGATCAGCGTGGCAGGATATCTTGGATGTGTAGTGTCTCTGAGCCATAAACTCCACATCTTGTAGTTTAATCCCGCTCCCGTTATCTCGTATTTCAATCTTGTCAAGACCATAATTTTCCTGAAAATCAGGATCAACTTGGTTAATTGCCTCAATTAGGCGTGTTTGTACTGAAACAGAGGATTCGGAGTTTGAAAAAGGATGATAGAAGCAGGCAAGACAACATTGCATAATGACATCACTCTGGGAGGCTGAGTCTGGAGACTTTCCTTGAGCGAGCTTTACTTTAATGAGCATACTATATGAACTTCCATAACAGAGATGCAGGAGTGCATTTGATTTCATCAAGTATTTTTTCTAAATTTTGCATCCCACCTTTCGAAAGAGCTGTATGACTTTAAGTCTAAAAATCATGATAACCATTAGATTCAATTTCCATTTGTGTTCATGCATCATTATCTTAATTTTTAGGAGCTCAGTTATTTTTCCACCATTTCCAGCTAAATTAAAAACAAACCTCACCCTCACAAACTGTGTTCTTTGGACACATTCATATAAATTTGCAAGACAATGGCACATAATGTTTTTTTTCCTACAATGCGAGGCACATGTATTTTCTTCAGTAAAATGGGCTTGAATATGTATTTAGAAAAAAATCTGGCCCCATGAAAATCAAATGGTTCCTGGCTTAGATACATTTGTTTGTTGTTTAACGTCGCACTCTGCAATATTCAAGATATATGACGGTGGTTTGTAAATAATCGAGTCTGGATCAGACGATCCAGTGATTGACATCATAAGCATCGATCTACGCGGGATACGATAACATGCATTATCAACCAAGTCAGCGAGCCTGACAACCCGTTCCCGTTAGTCGCCTCTAACGACAGACATGGGTTGTTGAAGACTTATTCTAGCCCGAATCTTCACGGATCTAGATACACGTATGTACCCCACTAAATAAACATTGTTCAGATGACGGGACACAGATCAGTGAGCGGGTGAGCGAAGGGCTAATGGAAAGCATTATACCAATTTGACTTCGATACTTGTTGATCCAGCATCATAAGAATTCTCGAGTAGTTCTTTGATGACGCTGAAAACAGATGTTATCACTTGTGTACTTCCAATGAGGCGGACAGTACTTGCAGGGAGGGCTGAGAGAGTGCCCGTTCCCGCCATCTTGTTTCGGAACCGGAAATCAATTACGGTTAAAATCCGGAACAATCCTTCAAGCAACTCCTTAATTTTCTTACCTGGTTTGTTTACACCAGAGACCATATAATATCTATTATATGGTCTCTGTTTACACGTGTTCCTTCTACAAGAATAAAATTCAGTAAAGTAAGATTCTATATAAGTCTTACATAGATACTCTGGTATAAAGCAGTGACGATAAAACGGTTCCGAAATGTACTGTACTGCAAAAGGCCATCATGATAGTTTGTTCTGCTGTGGTGAGTGAGTGAGTGGCCTTGATTTGTGAGATAAGAGCTTATCCTTGTGTTGAGACTTGTGAAGCTAATTTGGAACCTACCGCGTTAGCATGAGGGATAACGGATATATTCAAGGAACAGGAACAGGTATAATGAGGATCTGAATCAAGATTGAGAAGGAATTGATTTTTTTATCCTTGTTTTGAGATCTCTAAATCAAATTTGGAACCGAACGTGTTAGCACGGGAGATTAATGGATAGTACGGAATGTGTGTTCGTGTTTTCTGCTTAAAATTTAAAGTAGGCCTTCTGACAAGTAGATCTAGATAGGGACCACAACATGGTATAATGAGGATCTGAAACAGGATGGAGAAGGAAATATTTGGTCACGAATGCAGCCATGTTGATTGTTCTTTCAGTGCGTCAAAAGACGCAAAACTTGTTTGATCAGGTTAGATCTTAAATATTCAAGGCCTCGGTACAGCTTTCAAAACGTTTTATGGTAGACATTTACAAATTACATTCACTGCATCAGTGACCAAAATGATGTCCGATGCAGTTCCCTATTTTGACTTACATAATTATGTTCCCGTGTTTTTTTTCAGATGAACAATTACCTTGCTTTTGCATGTGTTGTGACGGGTGTCACCTTTTCTCGAACACCTGGTATCATAACTATTTGATAGTGATTCCTAAAGACATGCATATAATACATTCGGAATTGTAAATGGTCTGCTTTTAGTAGAGATTTATGATGATTATGGAATTGTTTTGCCGTTTGTATATACATCAGTCAGGAGCTATAATACAACCTGTACATAATCGAGCCTGTCCACAGCATGATCTAAACTATGGTACACGATATCCATATCTGTTTATGTTTATATCAGTGGTTTCTTCTGTTGTTGAGTGTGTCGTGATTACAGTTATACCTTGGCGGTTAGTAAATAAACGAATCTATTCGTCGGCAAAACAGTGACTGACATCTCAGGAGCAAAATAAAACGTTCCACGACAGAATGTTTTCGCATCTTCCCGAGGCAAGGGTGTTCTCTAGCCTAAATGTCGAAGTCTAGTTATCACAAGGCTTTGATAAAGGCTAAAAGGGACACTTTTGCCTTGGGAAGATGGTTCGGCGACATACGAATATCCGGAATCAAGGAGATAAAACAAAAACAAAAATAAAGTAGTTATCGCGTTATTGTTACTATAATTAGTGAGACGTGCTTAAATGCCTTTTACAGACCTCCCTGTGGGTTCCAGGTCAGACTAGATCATCAGTAACTCTGGCCTGTTGTTAGAACCAACTATAAAATGCTTGCTTGGCCAACCGTTCCTGTTAGTTACCTCTTACGGCAAGTAATTGTTGCTGAAGACCAATTCTAACCCATTCACTGGCCCAATTGCGTGGATCAATGATCAAGTTGTTCATCCATAGAACTCGTCTCACTTTATCACTCCAACTTCTAAATGCCACTCAAAGAAGTTACTGGGGACTTTTTCTGTCCCCGAATCCCAATGGGTGAGCTCTAACAAGTACTGGGTACTGGGGACCTATTCTGTCCCTGAACCCCACTGATTGAGTTCTAACAAATATTTGATACTGGGGACCTATTCTGTCCCTGAACCCCACTGATTGAGTTCTAACAAATATTTGATACTGGGGACCTATTCTGTCCCTGAACCCCACTGATTGAGTTCTAACAAGTACTGGGTACTGGGGACCTATTCTGTCCCTGAACCCCACTGATTGAGTTGTAACAAGTATTTGATACTGGGGACCTATTCTGTCCCTGAACCCCACTGATTGAGTTCTAACAAGTATTTGATACTGGGGACCTATTCTGTCCCTGAACCCCACTGATTGAGTTCTAACAAGTATTGGGTACTGGGGACCTATTCTGTCCCTGAACCCCACTGATTGAGTTCTAACAAGTATTGAGTACTGGGGACCTATTCTGTCCCTGAATCCCACTGAGTGAATTCTAACAAGCATTGGGTACTGGGGACCTATTCTGTCCCTGAACCCCACCGAGTGAGTTCTAACAAGTATTGGGTACTGGGGACCTATTCTGTCCCCGAATCCCAATGGGTGAGCTCTAACAAGTACTGGGTACTGGGTACCTATTCTGTCCCTGAACCCCACTGATTGAGTTGTAACAAGTATTTGATACTGGGGACCTATTCTGTCCCTGAATCCCACTGAGTGAATTCTAACAAGCATTGGGTACTGGGGACCTATTCTGTCCCTGAATCCCACCAAGTGAGTTCTAACAAGTATTGGGTACTGGGGACCTATTCTGTCCCCGAATCCCAATGGGTGAGCTCTAACAAGTACTGGGTACTGGGTACTGGGTACCTATTCTGTCCCTGAACCCCACTGATTGAGTTCTAACAAGTATTTGATACTGGGGACCTATTCTGTCCCTGAATCCCACTGATTGAGTTGTAACAAGTATTTGATACTGGGGACCTATTCTGTCCCTGAACCCCACTGATTGAGTTGTAACAAGTATTGGGTACTGGGGACCTATTCTGTACCTGATCCCACTGAGTGAGTTCTAACAAGCATTGGGTACTGGGGACCTATTCTGTCCCTGAATTCCACTGTGTGAGTTATAACAAGTATTGGGTACTGGGGACTGGTTTCACCCTGAATCTCCATGAAGTAAAGTGTGTGTTTACTTTTACTTTGCCACCTACTGACTTGAAGTTTAGGGCAAAAAATATAAATCTGGCCAAAGCACTTTTAAAAAAAAAGAGTACAAATGAGTGATTATTTTTGCATCAGTTTATTTCAGTATTTTGATAAAATGACCTGAAAACTTGCACAACAACATAAGAGACATACATACATAAATAAAAACATATACTCTGTTGAGGAGCTGTGGCTCCTATAACAAACAAGTATAGCAAATCAACGACTGTCTGGCAACAGTAATAACAAGCAAGCCCTCAGGGTCCACAGCGGTCTAACACTAATGGTAAGGGATAAAATATCATCATTTCCTCTTCGTGGAATTATTGCCAAATACTGTACATATTAATTCCCACAAGTAACAGCAAACTTTGTCCTTTGTTTCAAATTTTATAATAATATGTCCAATAATACTCATATTGTCTGACTTATTTTTCAATAGTAAAATAAGGTTTAATTTCAGATTCATATGAATTAATCAAACTGTACATAAGACCTATCTTTATGCATTGTAATAGAATAGTATTTCCTAAATTGCCCTTCCAATTTTGTTTTACATTTTGAAATAAAGTACCCGTGAAGTGCCCTCAGTCACTTACATAAATTATAACAAGCTCTGATGAATCTACATGTAGAAGTGATGATTGAACTGCCTCTACGACTTGTGATGGTACAATGAGTGAGTGAGTGAGTATGGTTTTACGCCGCTTTTAGCAATATTCCAGCAACATCACGGCGGGGTACACCAGAAATGGGCTTCACACATTGTACCCATGTCGGGAATCGAACCCGGGTCTTCAGCGTGACGAGCGAATGCTTTAACCACTAGGCTACCTGACCGCCCCGATGGTACAATGATGTGACAGTATGCACAGGTAGCTATTATGTTGATTTAGGCTAACCTATACTACTCAAATCAAGTTAAGGACCACCTGATGCTTTCATATTACCATAGTTAATCTGTCATATTTTTTCTTCCAGGGAGAGGCATGAAAAGAATGTACAAGGGTCATAAAAAAATATGAGCATTGGTAAGGGTAATTATTTTCAATACATTAATGCATCAAAACATTCTTACACATCCATAATAAATGACCCTTCCCTAAGAACATATTCCTACTGTTCCTTTCCAATAGAGTTACCTGACCTTGAATGATTTGTTGTTTTGAAGACAGCACAGGCAATTTTTTATTTCTTAGAGATATTCAAGGCTTAATCTATCTGTGGCTACCCACATGGCAGATTTACTATAGTAATATGAAGGAGTTGGCCCTTGGCTTTTTTTGAGTAGTATATGATGAAATATAACATTTATTTCCTTTTAGCAAAAGTTTCTGTCAAAACCAGTTGATATCACTGAATTCAATGTAGGAATTCAAAATACTAATTTTTCCAAAATAAGTTTTCTCCACAATTATTAATACAAGCACTGATTCTCACGTGTCTGTTTCCTAAAACAAAATAAATGTTACAATTCACGTCACCAAATCTGTAGAGATACTATGATGTTTTTCCCAATCTGATCACCGAACCTTTGGTCATCAGGTTTTTTCATTCTTCAGAACAATTCACTTCTACTTGGCAGCATGATTTGTACAATGGATGATAGCCAGCGAAACATACACACAGTCATATATGCAAATATACACAAAATGTACAGTCATGGCAATACCTGGAATGTAGATGTAGGTGGATTGTCACTGGAAATAACTACAGACGAGGCATAATCATCCTGAGTACTCCACTATCAACATCATGTTGCCATGGTTACAGAAAGTTGAAATATACAGAATTTCTATTTAATTTCATGACTCAGAGTTTAATATGTAAGTGAATGAATTCCCTGATCACTAAAGTTAATCATTGAATAAACACAGGTTAAATATCTAGGTTATCTATGAATGCATCATGATAAATGAATTTGCTGGCACTGAAGAATCAAGCACCATAAAGTCATTTCCAGATAAACAATTTTACTATCTGATGATAATTAGTTTTTCAAAATGAAAACAACTTTAAAAAGATGTAACTGCTGAAAATGAAACATTCTTTGCCAAAATTTGTGAGAGTAAATCTGAGGATGATAATTAATTTTAACGTTTTGATGCAGCAAGATTATCAAAGAAGAGGGAAGATGAGAAGTCAGGTTTCAGTAGGACTTATCAGAACCTTCTTGTACAGGTTTGTTGAAAGGACGAAGATAACCCAGGCATGCAGTGTGATGAAGGAAGTGAACTCTCCTATAGTGAATGAATAGGACAATTGGAACACTGAGAGGATAAAGATTAGGTAATTTATGTTGTTTGGTGTGGTGTGGTGACATGGTAATTGTTTCACTTGTTAACTGTTTCAGGCCTGCTTCACATGTTAATTGTTTAACTGCATCATATGTTAATTGTTTCACATATAAACTGCTTCACATGTTAATTGTTTAACTGCATCATATGTTAACTGTTTCACATATAAACTGCTTCACATGTTAACTGTTTAACTGCATCATATGTTAATTGTTTCACATATAAACTGCTTCACATGTTAATTGTTTCACATTTTAACTGTTTTACTGTATAACTGCATCATATGTTAATTGTTTCACATGTTAATTGTTTTACTTTTAACTGTTTCACATGTTAATTGGTCCACATGCTAACTGTTTCAAGTATGTGTCACTTGTATTCTGTCATCTGTTTTTAATGTAATACTTCACATAATGTTTACATGTTACCGGACTTATGTTAAGTGTTCACATTTCACAATATTTGTGTTTCACATGTTAACCCTATGTTCTAGCAACTGCTGGAGGATATTTCCATCACTGACACCGACACACACAGGGTGAAAAAACTCAGCTGAAAGTGCCATACATATCTGCTCTTCAACAGAATCTATGACTTGCATTATTACAGTTAAAAGCATGTTCTTGCCAGTACTTAACCAAACAAATTGATACTTCATGCTATTCTAATCTGTTTCATGCATAGATTATTCCAAAGGTAGAAATGCAGAGAGAGCGTTAACTGGGAACATCTACAATTCATCTCACCCAATACAATTGGTCCAAGAAACATACAGCAAAGTAACAGTAGGAGAAATATTGATGTGAAAATCCTAAAACAATTTAATTTTAAAAATAATTGCATTTCTGCAGATATGAACAAATAAAAGCATGTACCTGAGAAAAAACAGAAGAACACTGATAATTTAACGGTCCATCCATATTTCAATGTCACCACTCAGATGCCCTAGATGATCTGTACAGCATGAATGCATTCACTACAGTGCAAGTCCAATAAGGAAAGGCTGCAGTGCAAATCTTGGTCCGCCAAAGATGGTCATTAATATGCGTATCACACCACCCTATAGATTCTGCCTGATATGATGGGTACATTGAGTTGTGTTTACTTGGGACAACCCACTGGATATTCTGTAGGAGTGGGGTGCATTGATTAAGAATAAAGCATTCTATGGTAAATGAAATTTTTATATTTTGCCCATGTTTGAAAAAATATTGTGTGCTGGATATGTTGGATGTCCTGAAAATTATGATGTTTTTGGAAGCAATATACTATTACTTGCACAACTTATTATGGACAGTTGACACTGAAAAGGCCTTCTGTTGAAAATACAAGTATATGGCACTGATATAATAGAGGGTTTTGTATTTGAAAGAAGTTTGTATGTTTTGAAACTGTGATATATCAGGTCTTTTTAACAAAAATCCCAGGCTCCTTTTCAGATTATAAATATTGAATCCCTATACAGAGCTTGTGGATTGTTAGGAGCCACGTGCTCAGGCCCATCATGATGGGACCAGCTTGCACGCAAGTCAATAAATTCAAAACAGCCTCCGAGTCATGAATACTTTCTGTTCACTGCATTATCATCATAAAAGGAAACAATACCACGTTTAACCTCGTTTCATATAGACATTGTCAATATTGAATTGATGCTATGAAAGAATATACAACGTTTTGTGATTATTTCAGATCAACTAACACAGCAGAGTGTTTAATGCAACCTGCACAACACTGCAAAATAATTCTTACAGTACTTAAAACTATTCATTGGTAATGTTAAGAATTAGGTTCCAAAATGATCACTAGAATAATCCTAATAAACTCTGCAATTTTCAGCATTAAAGAGAACTCTTAAAGGAATCACAAAGTGCTGTTAATTTAATATCCGAGTTGTCCTCAGGTCCTTTGACCAACAAGTCACAGGGTACAACCGTTGGCATGACATCCAGGTTGCTGAGGTACAAGCAGACATAGTTAGAGCTACACACTGGTTGCTAAGTTACAAGCAGACATAGTTAGAGCTACACACTTGTTGCTAAGGTAACATACAACATCAAGCTACCATGGACGGAGCATATAAGCTTAATGATACTCGTAACTGTTCAATAATATTAACAAATCCTAAGAAACAATAAATAAAGCTGACTTCTCTATACAAATTTATAATTTGTGCAAATTAATAAATACTTTGTGCATTTATTTTGATATAAGATATTTACACATAATACCCTAAAATAAGACAATTATGTTCGAAAATAAGGTGATACATAGCCATGGCTATGTCATCTGCCTTATGTCACTTTCAAGTAATTGGTGTTTTTCGTACAATTCATTATATCTTTCTTCTTTTCACTAAAAAAAAAATTATCCAAAACAATTTTTACAGATATTTCAAACATTCAAACTTTGCAAATTCAGATAAAGCCGGACAGTCAAAGCAAAGCACATCTGAAAGGACAGCAGGTCATTGCTTATCCTTAAAACAGTCACACTGATGGCAGTTGATGTAAGATGGACTTAATGTCACTTTGAACAGTATTTCAGTTATATCAGGGTATGTCTGTTTGATTTGGGATGAAAACCTGAAGTGGGAAAGATCGTAAACGTTTAGCATTTACAGCTAAATGATATTTATCGAAGATCAAAGTCGTATTACAATCCTCAAAGCATGAACATTTAGAAACTGAACGTTATGATGTTAGAATACTGTTATAACACAGAGTTGTAAGTAGGTCAAGCTGCTCCATTTAGTGGACGATGATTCTGGTTGAGATAAATGTGCTGACTGTGCAATATACCCAGGAAAGATCTTGACAGGGTGGACATATTGGTATCGAAACCACTCTTTGGATTTGTACCCAAACCTTTAATACATAGTTGAAAGGTAAAGATAAGATGATATATATAGCAAAGACGACCTTGCCCTTGGGGAATATGTATCCATAATCTAGTGTTATAAATAGGTAGGATAAAAATAGGAATAAACATATGTTAAAAAAAAAAGAAAGAATTATGTAGAAAAAACAGTCTGACTTTTGGACTAGCTGACATGTTTTTGCAAGGTCTAGTCACACTTTCAAACACAGGCTGAATCTGGTCAGGTTTATTGTGGTATAGTTTTTTTTAACATCACACTCTGCAACAGTCCAGCTATATGACGGCAGCCTGCAAATAATTGAATCTGGACCAGACACAGTGATTGATATTATGAGCATCGATCCAAGCTGGTTGGGTACAGTGAAACTCATTCAAACATCAGTAACTGAGCCTGACCACAAGATCCATTAAGTTGCCTCTTTCAACAAAAATAGATTGCCAGGGGCCATTTCTAACTGAGAATCCCTAAGGATATTTTGGCTTAGTAAGCGTAACTAATAACAGACAATATGTTAAATATCAAAATTTGAAATAGTTTCACTGCTGGATGAGTATGTGAGTGAATTGGTTTAACTATTATATTCAATATAGCAATATTTCAGACGTATCATTCGGACTGGTCACTTCCAGTCTGATTGGTATATGGTGCCCTTAAGTACTAAACAAACTTTACGGGGGGCACGGGTGGCCCAGTCGTCTATGGCGCCGCGTTTCGCTGTGCAGAGTTGCGTCCCTTGGGCACGCCAGAAATCTATGATTGTGTGTTCGAATCCCGGTTCGCCCCGATTATGTTTCTAGGTTTGTCAGCACCGTACCCGTGCTCGTGGGTTTCACCGAAGTATTAAACGTCTGAGACCTGCATCACTTCGGGCTTTCCTCCCACATTATGCTGACACGCCGTGATATAACTGGAATAATGTTAAAAGCAGCGTTAAACCCAACTCACTTACTCACTCACTAACAAACTTTACAATTAGTCTCTCACAGAGGCAACAATGTTAAGTACAAGTATCAAATAGAAGATAGAAGAAAAGACAAGAGGTGTACTTGAAAGGTGAAAATAAGGTGAAAAATCACACAAAGAAAATGATGAATGTGCAAACAACATACACTGAACACAGGAGAAAATATCACAACTCATTTCCCTTGACCCTATTCCCTCACATTCAACGTGGAATAGCCCATGACAATGCTTGGAAGATTCCTCTTTGTGAGTATAGGTATATTTTACAGTGTCACACATATATTCATGATTATCACTCGCAGACAGGTCTGTCAGCTTCACCATTCTGTGTCAAATACGGAGAGTATTTGCCGGTCTATGTACAGGGCTTGAATTTCTCAAGCAGCCATCAACTGAATGGCCATATTGTCTTGATATATCTACAATGAATAAATTAATGTATACATGGAAATAAATATCTTCAGTATGCCTCACAACACTGCAGATAGGAACGAGCGCAGTGTGTACATCCTCGCTAGGCAGGGATATCATCTGCCACACTGCTTCTCGGTGACTGAAAGGAAAACCTTGAATTAAATGGCATGTAAAATCTTCATCTCAACCAAAATTTTTATCAGCAATTTTCATCAGTTTTCCCATGGAACCCTTCGGAACACAAAACACCTCAGTTAATGAACTGACAGCCATGTAGTTGCCCTCTGACCTTTAAAATAAAATCTATTTAACAATATGACTTGCCTCCAGGGCAACAGCAATTTATCTGTGGAGGGTTGGACTAGTTAGATATCCCTTTTCCTTTTTGCTGAGTGCTGACTCGGCTATCGAACCACACAAAACTATCATTGAGAGAATGTTGTCAGAAGAATTCATAATGCCAAGTTCTGTAACAAATTAGAGTTATCTGCCCTTGCTGAGTGGTTCAGGAGAAGTAAAACATGTGTCTAGAAACTACTGCACGGTCGCTACTGTATAGTATTTAGAAGCTACTATTTAGTTGTCTGAGAACTTGAACTCATTATCAACATTTCAGGAATATACTTGAAATGGTGGAATGGTATCTGTAAAGTTCTAAGGCTGAATGATTTGGATAAAATCCGATATCAACCTTGACCTTGACAACTGATAACAAACATGGACTACCTCTTGGCAAAATTTTAGAACTAACTGACAGGTGCCCTGGGCCCAAGAATGGAGCGTCTCAATTTGACATATGCAACATTATAGGTAGAATGGATAGAATTATCATAAAACCGCCCACATATTATCAGAAATGAGCGGGCCACTGTAACTTGATAATGCCCTCCTATTGCTTGAGGATGGGCCATTATCAAGCCTATTGCTTGAGGATGGGCCATTATCAAGCCTGTTGTTAGGTAATGTCATATTGATGTTCAATAGTGACATCATCTGGTTTGTTCTGTGACTTTTTCATATTTGTAAAAGTTAGTCAGTGACATTCGTTTTGTGTTGATTGCAGTAAATGTTTCAAAACCGATATTGTTGTTGATTTTTATTTGATAACAAATTCTATCCACTTTAGCTATAACAACAGGAATGCTATATTTTCGGGGCATTATCATTTGCAGAAGCCCTTGGGCTTTTCAACTGCCCTCCTTTGTCGGGCAGTTAATGGAAGACCTCGGGCTTCTGTTAATGATAATGCCCTGAAAATAGCGCTACCGTGATACCATAAACAATCTTCATATCATTTGAAAAAAAAGACATATTCATATTTGGAGCAGATTGTGTAAGGCTAAAAGATGACCGGTGAATATAAAACTTTAGTCCTTGTTAATAGTTTTTGTAGATTGGCATATTATTCATATGAATTAAAAAAGTAATAATATTTTTTTGAAGCAAATTTGTAACAAATACAAAACATTTGGGACAGTACACAGCTATGTGAAGTCAACACTCAACAACACGTGATACCTGGCATAGAAACAAAGACATTTTCAAAATGGTAGCAACATGACAAATGGACTTGTGAGGAAGTCTTACATCTGGCTGACAACCATGGCCTCCCAGTCTGTCGACTACGGCTGTAACAAGTGATCGATGAGTCATGATAATACTAAAACATCTGGAACTATATATTCGATGTTGCATTGTTTGTTATGGACAACTGACACCCCGACTATACAACCAGGACTATTAGTGTTGATAATACTGCCCCTTGTGTAGCCACTGTTGTAGAGGGTCTTTGTGGTATGGTGTCTGCTTCATCAAGCTTTGGACTTTGCAATACTGTCTAGACTAGACTTGAAGCTGACTAACGTTCTTCTTTTCACAAGTCCGTTTCCTGAAATATAATGAACTAAAATAGTGAGGAATCATGAATATTTGTGCGGATGTTTTTTATAACATTTTGAAAAAAATATCTCCAAAAATATTCAAGATGTCGAACTTTTTGGGTTCAGTACTGTTTCCTTCCTATATTCTTTGACTTGAAGCTGACTAACGTTCTTCTTTTCACAAGTCCGTTTCCTGAAATATAATGAACTAAAAAAGTGAGGAATCATGAATATTTGTGCGGATATTTTTTTATAAAAGTTTGAAAAAAATATCTCCAAAAATATTCATGATCTTGAACTTTTTGGGTTCAGTACAGTTTCCTGCCTATATTCTTTGACTTGATGCAGACTTAAATCCGAGAAATGTGTCAGGATGGACTTGAATCTCTGACGACCTTATTTGTGATTTCTTCGAACAGCATTGCTTCATGAGCAAGTGAGGTTCTACACTGGATGCAGCACAGTTGTCTCTGGGGGCACCAAGAACATTCTTTACCCATCGCATCCTTCCTTGGAATCAAGCTCAAGTGTCTGGCAACACGCACAAAAACCCTCTTCTCGAGTCAACCCCGTGCCATTGGTCAGTTGAATCCTTCGCCCTGAACTATTCACAGAATCTTTGTTAATCTTGTTCTGAACTTTGCATCAATATGTTTATGTCACAAAACACTGGTGACCTTACAATTCTCTACGATATTCTCCCTTTAGTAGTTCGATGCTTGTCAGGAAACATTGATGACCTTACATTCACATCAACGATGTTCCTAAACACCCATGATCTTAAAGCTCGGCAACTTCAAGTTATCTGCTTCAACAATAATGTCACAAAATAATATGATAAATACAGCATGCTATGGGGAACACAGTTGAGTTGCTGACTGTTTCTTCAACAAAAGATGAAGCATGAAGATCTGGTCATGTCTTGGACGCCATGGTAACGAGAGAAACACGAGGCTGGCGCTGTTCCGGTCCGATGAGTAGAAGCAGCAGGTGAAGGCTGAAATGTTTTGTCTGTCCACTGGAAACTACGTCTTCTGTATTATCACACAAACAGTGTGATGAATAGAATGTAGAGCAATTGGTTACATTATGTCATGATAACTTCAACCAAACTTCATAAACAAACAAATGTAAACAAACAAAAAGTATGTCTTTAACCATTTTCACAATTCTCCAAAATGACCATCAGAGCCTAGAAAAATATTCCCAGACATTTGGCCAAGATTCAAATTCTTCAGACTGTTGTACAGTCTGTGTCAGCACAGTGGTAGCAATGATCTTGGGATGGCACCACAGCTTTAACACTGGGAATAATCTTGTTGCACCTGTGGAAACCTGCATGTAACTTTACTCTTCCGAGTGACCGATTCCGTTTCACAGAGGACCCAATCTGGAAAAAAGCTCCAGATCTTGAAGATGACCTCATGCTTAAGTTTCTTCAGAACTTGGACACTTCATGATAATCTCAATGAAAGCACTACACGTGTTAATTGCATCAAAGTACGAACCATGAAAAATGTTATCAGCTGATAAATAACGCACTGATCATATAAAATAGTTGACTTTGAAGGTGAGAGATAAGTTGTTGAGACAGTTGCGTCAAGGATGGGCTTCATCATCGTCTGACGGACCGTTGTCGTAACACTGATTCCTTGCTGGGTTCGGAGTAAGATTCTGATTGGCCGGGTTTAACTCGTTTGGACCGAGAATGTAGCTTTCGTAAGAGTTCTGGGAATTTATTGGTCGGAAACAAAGTCTCTAGTACTCCTTCAAGAAAAACGTACACAAGTCTTCGATTTAAGTTTTTGTGCTGGAACATGTCGAACACTCTGGCAACACCAATACGAATTGTCTCTGTCCCCATCAGATGGCGCAGCTCATCTGAAATGGAAATAAATGGTTGTTATTTTACATATTGCTGACCCTGGTTGGGTCAGTGAGTGGTCGGTGAGTGGGTTGGTGAGTGAGTCGGTGAATGAGTCGGTGAGTGGGTCGGTGAGTGGGTCGGTGAGTGGGTCGGTGAGTGGTCGGTGAGTGGGACGGTGAGTTGGTCGGTCAGTGATCAGTGAGTGGTCGGTGAGTGGGCCGGTGAGTGAGTTGGTGAGTGAGTCGGTGAGTGAGTCGGTGAGTGAGTCGGTGAGTGGTCGGTGAGTGGGTCGGTGAGTGAGTCAGTGAGTGGGTCGGTGAGTGGGTCGGTGAGTGGTCGGTGAGTGGGTCAGTGAGTGAGTCGGTGAGTGGGTCGGTGAGTGGGTCGGTGAGTGGGTTGGTGAGTGAGTCGGTGAGTGGTCTGTGAGTGGGTCGGTGAGTGGGTCGATGAGTGAGTTGGTGAGTGGGTCGGTGAGTGGGTCGGTGAGTGGTCGGTGAGTGGTCGGTTTCTTGTGTCGTACGTACCTCTGCACATCGAATTGCAGTGCCTTAGAAGTCTGGTGGATGAGTGGGAGGGGTTTGTTTGGTGGGCGAGTGATTGGAATGAGTGAGTGAGTGGCTACTCCAACACATACCTGACACACTGCCCAGCATCTTGGCTTTGCACAGAACCCGTGTTCTCATCATGGTGTTCTCGTCGCGTGTGGGGCGTGGCTCAGCCAGTTGAGCGCTGGGCCAGAAGGAATCCCTGAAAAACATCTTGGAGTGTTATTGAGTATTCAAGTATTGAGTTTTCAAGTATTGAGAATTCAAGTACTGAGTATTAAAGTATTGAGTATTCAAGTATTGAGCATTCAAGTATTTAGTATTCAAGTACTGAGTATTCAAGTATGAGTATTCAAGTATTGAGTATTCAAGTACTGAGTATTCAAGTATTGTTTACTCAAGTATTAAGTAGTCATAACACCAAAATAAATCAAACCATATAATCTTATATTGTAGTTAAACCATATAATCTTAAACTGTAGTTAAACCATATAATCCTATACTGTAGTTAAACCATATAATCCTATATTGTAGTTGAACCATATAATCCTACACTGTAGTTAAACCATATAATCCGGTCCTGTAGTTAACAATATATGCTTATTAATCTTATTAGTTAAACTAGCCTATATAATTTGACACTTTTGCTATTTTATGATTCAAATATGTATTCAGTGACCTTGAAAATCTAATAGTTTGAATTTTTCAAAATGAAATGTTATCTTTGTATTAAATTGAAGAAGACATGTGGAAAATGCTATGTAAAACTGACATTAATATGTTCAGTAGATGAGATTTTATGTTCAGTTCTAATGGGCGGACAGACTGACGAATACCCATAACGTAAGCTCAGGATGTCAAGGTGAGCTAAAAACATGTCCACAAGAAGTGTATGACAAAGGGAGACAATGCAGTTTACCTGAAAGTTTTGATGTACTCTGCCATCTGCTCTGCTGATGTCATCCAGTTCACGTGATCTACTATTTTCCTGAAAACAGTCAACATGACAATAGGTGTAAGAGATAATAACAAGTGGGATAGAGTGAGTGAGTGAGTTGGGTTTTACACTGCTTTTAACAGTATTCCAGCTTAACGTGGGAGGAAAGTCCGAAGTGATGCAGGTCTCAGACATTTACCACTTCGGTGAAACCAGGGTACAGTGCTGACAAAACCTAGAAACATAATCGGGGCGAACCAGGATTCCAAACCCACAACCATAGGTTTCTGGCTTGTCCAAGGGACCCAACTCTGCACAGCGAATTGCGGCATCTGAGACTACTTGGCCACCTGTGCCCCCAAGTGTGATAGATGACACATCACTGTATGCTATGACCAGTTGAGCAAAGCTGTTGTGTTAGACACAAAAGGGAATAGGGAAATGGCCACTACCTGTAACAACCTTCCTTGAATGCTGTCATGTGGTGCTATGTGACCTGCGCACATGTCCCGAACTGTGAAGACCCAGGGTAGAATGGGTCTTCAGCAACCCATGAGTTAGGACTTTGGTGTGGTAGTTGGGACAAATCCAAGCACATGGTTACAATGAGCAAACTTGGCCACAAATCCAAGCATAGGGTTACAATGAGCAAACTTGGCCACAAATCCAAGCACTGGGTAAAGATGAGCAAACTTGGCCACAAATCCAAGCACTGGGTTACGATAAGCAAACTTGGCCACAAATCCAAGCACAGGGTTACAATGAGGAAACTTGGCCACAAATCCAAGCACAGGGTTACGATGAGCAAACTTGGCCACAAATCTAAGCACAGGGTTACAATGAGGAAACTTGGCCACAAATCCAAGGATAGGGTTACGGTGAGCAAACTTGGCCACAAATCCAAGCACTGGGTTACGATAAGCAAACTTGGCCACAAATCTAAGCACAGGGTTACGATGAGGAAACTTGGCCACAAATCTAAGCACAGGGTTACAATGAGGAAACTTGGCAATAAATCCAAGGATAGGGTTACGATGAGCAAACTTGGCCACAAATCTAAGCACAGGGTTACGATGAGCAAACTTGGCCACAAATCCAAGCAAAGGGTTACGATGAGCAAACTTGGCCACAAATCCAAGCACAGGGTTATGATGAGCAAACTTGACAAGCGAGCTATGTTGCATGCTGTTGTGTGAACCAAGGTTGAGAAGATACAGAAACTCGGCAGTGCAGGTCACAGGTAAATAATCGAGTCTGGACCAGACAATCCAGTGATTGATATCATGAGCATCGATCCACGCAATTGGGATCTATGACATGTATCAACCAAGTCAGCGAGCCTGACCACCCGATCCCGTTAGTCGCCTTTTACGACAAGCATAGTCGCCTTTTACAGCAAGCATGGGTTGCTGAAGACCTATTCTACCCCGGAATCTTCACGGGTCCACTGGTTTGGAAGTATAAAGTATAAACAACACACAAGTGATCTGTGAAAGAGTTGGCGTATTGACTACAAAACTATGTAAAACTAGAACTAAAAGTACTTTTAAGCATGGCTTGGAAGGTACAGTCGTCTGCCTACCTGTTGATCATGTCCCCGAAGGTGGCCTTGATGAGTTGCCGTAGAATGGCCACCATACGGCGACGAAGCCACTGGTTCTTGTGCCGCAGGTCGAACACTTCATCCATTAGGAGCAGCATGATGCGGAGCGGGATGTTGTCTTCAGTCTGTTGGTAAACATGGCAACTTCTGTACCTTAACACCTCAATGTGCATTACAAGAGATTTCATGCTTCAGAATGATACTGACATCATTGCAAGATTTTAACAATCAAAATCTGTATGACATGAATGTGATGTAAAAAATTATCAGTCACCTGAGTGAGTGAGAGAGTTGGGTTTAACGCCACTGTTAACAGTATTCCAGTTATATCACGGCCTGTCAGGAGGAAAGCCCAAAGTGATGCAGGTCTCAGACGTTTACCACTTCGGTAAAACCCACGAGCACGGGTATGGTGCTGACAAACCTAGAAACATAATCGGGGCGAACCACAATCATAGGTTTCTGGCGTGCCCAAGGGACGCAACTCTGCACAGCGAATCGCGGCGCCTTTGACGACTGGGTCACCCGTGCCCCCCTCAATGAGCATGAGGTTGTGTCACAATGACCCTATGTGACTCACTTCAGAGCCTTGTAGTCCGGCCCCAACTTTACCACTGTTGAAGCCATCCCGCAGTTCCCCCTGTGGAAGAACCAAAAATATTTGTGCAAATATATGGTCAAACAAAACAGGCAATCACTTTTGAAAAGTTCAGTCTTCGTGATGCAGCTAATTATTCATTCTGGTGTCAGAAACTACACATTTAGTGTAAGGCAGAAGTAACATTCTTTAATGAAATAGAACATGAGGACTAACAAAATGTCATCTTATGTCTTCTTCCGAGGCTGGAAGAAATAGTTTTCTTATTCTATGTGAAACTTTCTTTATGTTAGTAAATGTTATATAAATACTGTTTTCTTAAAATATGCTATTATCATCATTAGCACTATTATTGTAAATACTTTCAAATTCGTATTCTGAATTATTTATTAATTTAACATTTTACATTTTTCCTTTCACCATGATTAGTTTTGTTTATTGACCGAAAGTATTTGACAAAGATGGTCGGACTACATGAAACGAGTTGCCATGGTTACTCTAAACCCACTCACATTATTGCCTGTCCTCATCCCATCGATACTCTTGACAGCATTGCTGACATTCTTCATGGACGTTTTCAGCGGGTTGACGATCGTGTCCATCTGAAACAGCCAGTGTTTGTTGGTTAACACTGCAATCAGCAATATTCCAAATGTATGACAGTGGCCTGTAAATAGCGCAGTCAGGACCATACAATCCAGTGACTGATATTGTGAGCAACGATCCATGCCATCAAGTGTGATGACACAAGTAAGGAGTATGAGCACCCGATTCATTAAGTGACCTCTTTTACTTCAGCATAGGTTGCTATTTTAACCTGGAATCCACACAGGGTCAATGGGCCTAGAACTGTGTACTTAAACATGCATGACTCACCTTTCTGGCAAGATCACTCTTGTGTTTCTCCCAGAGACCGGGTGCCAAGAACTGTATGACCAGTTCCTCCATTCCAGGAAACTTGGTCCACATGTCTGGCTTCAGCAGGCCCTGTAACAAAGTGAGTGAACGAGTGAGTGAGTGAGTTGAAGTAAAAGTACCAACCCTGGAGTAAGAGTACCCAACCTGAAGTAAAGATACCCACCCTGAAGTAAGAATACCCACCCTGAAGTAAGAGTACCCACCCTGAAGTAAGAGTACCCACCCTGCAGTACAGTTCTCATTCTGAAGTAAGAGTACCCACCCTGAAGTGAGAGTACCCATCCTGAAGTGAGAGTACCCACCCTGAAGTGAGAGTACCCATCCTGAAGTGAGAGTACCCATCCTGAAGTAAAAGTACCCACCCTGAAGTAAAGATACCCACCCTGAAGTTAGGATACCCACCCTGAAGTAAGAAACACCCACCCTGAAGTAAGAACACCCACCCTGAAGTAAGAATACCCACCCTGAAGTAAGAGTACCCACCCTGAAGTACAGTTCTCACCCTGAAGTAAGAGTACCCATCCTGAAGTGAGAGTACCCATCCTGAAGTGAGAGTACCCATCCTGAAGTGAGAGTACCCACCCTGAAGTGAGAGTACCCACCCTGAAGTATGAGTACCCACCCTGAAGTAAGAGTACCCACCCTGAAATACAGTACCCACCCTGAAGTGAGAGTACCCACCCTGAAGTAAGAGTACCCACCCTGAAGTGACAGTACCCATCCTGAAGTGAGAGTACCCACCCTGAAGTAAATGTACCACCCTGAAGTAAGAGTACCACCCTGAAGTAAGAGTACCCACCCTGAAGTAAGGATACCCACCCTGAAGTACAGTTCTTACCCTGAAGTAAGAGTACCCACCCTGAAGTGAGAGAACCCATCCTGAAGTGAGAGTACCCACCCTGAAGTAAGAGTACCCACCCTGAAGTGAGAGTACCCACCCTGAAGTAAGAGTACCCACCCTGAAGTAAGAGTACCACCCTGAAGTAAGAGTACCACCCTGAAATACAGTACCCACCCTGAAGTAAGAGTACCCACCCTGAAATACAGTACCCACCCTGAAGTAAGAGTACCCACCCAGAAGTAAATGTACCACCCTGAAGTAAGAGTACCACCCTAAAGTGAGAGTACCCACCCTGAAGTACAGTACCCACCCTGAAGTAAGAGTACCCACCCTGAAGTAAGAGTACCCACCCTGAAGTAAATGTACCACACTGAAGTAAGAGTACCACCCTGAAGTAAGAGTACCCACCCTGAAGTAAGCATCCAAAGCTTTTCTCCGTTTCTCCAGGAAGTCCTTGCTTGTGTTCTTCACTAACGTCTTGGGAGGCAGATGAGGTCCAATCCATTCTGGAAACTGAGAGAAATACCACGGCACTGTAGCCCACCTTCACAGTCAATGTTACATTCACTTCCAAACATTCAGCTGTTAAGTGAGTGAGTGAGTTGGGTTTAACGCCGCTTTTAACATTATTCCAGTTATATCACGGCGTGTCAGCTTAATGTGGGAGGAAAGCCGAAGTGATGCAGGTTTCAGACGTTTACCACTTCGGTGAAATCCACGAGCACGGGTATGGTGCTGACAAACCTAGAAACATAATAGGGGCGAACCGGGATTTGAACCCACAATCATAGGTTTCTGGCGTGCCCAAGGGACGCAACTCTGCACAGCGAATTGAGGCGCCTTAGACGATTGGGCCACCCGTGCCCCCTTCAGCTGTTAAAAATCAGCATTTTGTCTGATAGTGCAGTCAACAATATTCATGGTACATTGCATCTGTCGCAGTTCAATAGTAAATAATCTAATCTGCTTCAGACAAACCAGTGACTGTATGCATGAGCAACTAGAGTCATCAGGAGACGACATATCCCCCAGATCTGTTGCAGTTCGGAAATGGAGTTTGGATTGCCTATGGATACTTTCAGTTGAGTGAAGAAAAAATATTGCTGTTCAGTATTTTCAAAAATCCCAAATCATAAAAAGGCACCAGTTCATTAATACACTGATCTGTATTGCAAGTTTCATTAAGAAATATTCAACATGTTTGGAGTTCAGCTCTGGAAATGGAAAACGGAAGGAGGACAGACAGACGGATGGATGGAAATGCTGATCGCAATATCCCCCCTATAACAATTGGGATAGGCTGACACACAATCAGCCAAGTCACACAGCCTGACCATCTGATCCTACCTAGTTGTTTTGTTTGTTGTTTAATGCCACACTCTGCAATATTCCAGCTATATGATGGCGATGGCGGCTGTAAAAAATCCAGTCCAGACCAGACAATCCAGTAATCAATATTTCGAGCAACGATCCATGCGGTCGTTGTGTGACACAAAACCAACAAAGTCATCGAGTGTGACCACCCAATCCATTAAGTCGCCTCTTACGACCAGAATTGAGACTGGCATCCCCACATGGTTCCAACTACCTCATCTCAAAGTTCTACCTCCAATGACCTCTGTTTGACCTACCCTTTCTATGAGCAGCATGTTGAGGTCGTGGAAGTCGCTGTAGCGTCGATACACGTCCCAGATGTCCTCCTCCTCCACCCCCCTCATTCGTTTCTTCACCGTCACAGCAAACACAGCGTACGACTTGCCGGACTCCTTCACAATACCTGCAACAGCCACAATATTAAGTCAGAGCTCTTTTAGACTGTAACAGAGTTCAAACCTTAAACTAGTCCTCAGAGTTTGCAGCTAGTCCTACTTGAACAAGACAAAGATGTTAACTATGTTTACATTTTCTATCAACTTTATCCAGTCCAATGTGATACAGGTCCTGTACGTTATGTCCGCCGGTGTCCTCCAACAATCAGTGATTGTAGGCTATCCCTGGATCACCATTATACACATCAATGTGATACAGGTCCTGTACGTTATGTCCGCCGGCAGTCCTCCAACAATCAGTGATTGCAGCCTATCCCTGGATCACCATTATACACATCAATGTGATACAGGTCCTGTACGTTATGTCCGCCGGCATTCCTCCAACAATCAGTGATTGCAGCCTATCCCTGGATCACCATATACACATCAATGTGATACGGGTCCTGTACGTTATGTCTGCCGGCATTCTTCCAACAATCAGTGATTGCAGCCTATCCCTGGATCACCATTATACACATCAATGTGATACAGGTCCTGTACGTTATGTCCGCCGGCATTCCTCCAACAATCAGTGATTGCAGCCTATCCCTGGATCACCATTATACACATCAATGTGATACAGGTCCTGTACGTTATGTCCGCCGGTGTCCTCCAACAATCAGTGATTGCAGCCTATCCCTGGATCACCATATACACATCAATGTGATACAGGTCCTGTACGTTATGTCCGCCGGCATTCCTCCAACAATCAGTGATTGTAGGCTATCCCTGGATCACCATTATACACATCAATGTGATACAGGTCCTGTACGTTATGTCCGCCGGCAGTCCTCCAACAATCAGTGATTGCAGCCTATCCCTGGATCACCATTATACACATCAATGTGATACAGGTCCTGTACGTTATGTCCGCCGGCATTCCTCCAACAATCAGTGATTGCAGCCTATCCCTGGATCACCATTATACACATCAATGTGATACAGGTCCTGTACGTTATGTCCGCCGGTGTCCTCCAACAATCAGTGATTGTAGGCTATCCCTGGATCACCATTATACACATCAATGTGATACAGGTCCTGTACGTTATGTCCGCCGGCATTCCTCCAACAATCAGTGATTGCAGCCTATCCCTGGATCACCATTATACACATCAATGTGATACAGGTCCTGTACGTTATGTCCGCCGGCATTCCTCCAACAATCAGTGATTGCAGCCTATCCCTGGATCACCATTATACACATCAATGTGATACAGGTCCTGTACGTTATGTCTGCTGGCATTCCTCCAACAATCAGTGATTGTAGGCTATCCCTGGATCACCATTATACACATCAATGTGATACAGGTCCTGTACGTTATGTCCGCCGGCATTCCTCCAACAATCAGTGATTGCAGCCTATCCCTGGATCACCATTATACACATCAATGTGATACAGGTCCTGTACGTTATGTCCGCTGGCATTCCTCCAACAATCAGTGATTGCAGCCTATCCCTGGATCACCATTATACACATCAATGTGATACAGGTCCTGTACGTTATGTCCGCCGGCATTCCTCCAACAATCAGTGATTGCAGCCTATCCCTGGATCACCATTATACACATCAATGTGATACAGGTCCTGTACGTTATGTCCGCCGGTGTCCTCCAACAATCAGTGATTGCAGCCTATCCCTGGATCACCATTATACACATCAATGTGATACAGGTCCTGTACGTTATGTCCGCTGGCATTCCTCCAACAATCAGTGATTGCAGCCTATCCCTGGATCACCATTATACACATCAATGTGATACAGGTCCTGTACGTTATGTCCGCCGGCATTCCTCCAACAATCAGTGATTGCAGCCTATCCCTGGATCACCATATACACATCAATGTGATACAGGTCCTGTACGTTATGTCCGCCGGTGTCCTCCAACAATCAGTGATTGTAGGCTATCCCTGGATCACCATTATACACATCAATGTGATACGGGTCCTGTACGTTATGTCTGCCGGTGTCCTCCAACTATCAGTGATTGCAGGCTATCCCTGTATCACCATTATACACATCAATGTGATACAGGTCCTGTACATTATGTCAGTGATTGTAGGCTATCCCTGGAACGTCAATACATACCACAATGAGATATAGAAGCCAGGTACGTTATGTCGGCCGGCGTCCCCCCAGAAGAAGCGGAGGATAATGAGTCCAGGGACCGTGTCTCCGGGGAACTGTCATCGATGATATCTCCCTGATCTTCAGCCTGAGAAACAAAACATTCACAATATATCTACCTGAAAAGTGTAAACTTTATATCTCTTTACCCAGAATGACTTGATATGAGGAATGGTGTCTATATTAATGTATTAGATGAAATATATATCTTACATATGATAGGTATTATTAAATATTAAGAATCTTACAACCCTAACCCAACAAGTACATTTGAATTGTGAATATATAGGAGAGTGGTGTTTTTGTGCATCTGTGAGTTATACGCTGGGGTATGTTAGAAGCTGGGAATTGTGATATGAGGAGAGAAATAGAGGACAGGTTGTAGGTATGCAGTATTATGGTTCTATCCTTGTGTGGCTGGTTGTTATGGAGTTGACTGACAGGTTGTAGGTATGCAGTATTTCAGTTATATCCTTGTGTGGTTGGTTGTTATGGAGTTGACTGACAGGTTGTAGGTATGCAGTATTTCAGTTATATCCTTGTGTGGCTGGTTGTTATGGAGTTGACTGACAGGTTGTAGGTATGCAGTATTATGGTTCTATCCTTGTGTGGCTGGTTGTTATGGAGTTGACTGACAGGTTGTAGGTATGCAGTATTTCAGTTATATCCTTGTGTGGTTGGTTGTTATGGAGTTGACTGACAGGTTGTAGGTATGCAGTATTTCAGTTATATCCCAGTGTGGCTGGTTGTTATGGAGTTGACTGACAGGTTGTAGGTATGCAGTATTTCAGTTATATCCTTGTGTGGTTGGTTGTTATGGAGTTGACTGACAGGTTGTAGGTATGCAGTATTTCAGTTATATCCTTGTGTGGTTGGTTGTTATGGAGTTGACTGACAGGTTGTAGGTATGCAGTATTATGGTTCTATTCCAGTGTGGCTGGTTGTTATGGAATTGACTGACAGGTTGTAGGTATGCAGTATTTCAGTTATATCCTTGTGTGGTTGGTTGTTATGGAGTTGACTGACAGGTTTTAGGTATGCAGTATTTCAGTTATATCCTTGTGTGGTTGGTTGTTTTGGAGTTGACTGACAGGTTGTAGGTATGCAGTATTATGGTTCTATCCCAGTGTGGCTGGTTGTTATGGTTGACTGACAGGTTGTAGGTATGCAGTATTATGGTTCTATCCCAGTGTGGCTGGTTGTTATGGAGTTGACTGACAGGTTGTAGGTATGCAGTATTTCAGTTATATCCTTGTGTGGTTGGTTGTTATGGAGTTGACTGACAGGTTCCACCGTTCCAGCCATATAGTTCCTGGTCATGGAGGGAGTGGGGGTTTCATGTCAAGAGGTAGTGCAAGGGCTGAAGCAGACAAGCCTATGCTTGACTGTGTCCCCAGGATTTTCCTAGGACTCTAAACCAAGTGCCCGTTTTTATATCTTGTTCAGAACTGGGATTTTGTTAAAGTTCTTTATTGATAAATACAGTGGACTCTTCACATTGGTTTTAACATTGCATTTAATGCAATAATGTAAAATTGAGCATTAAGTTATCCTCTTCGTTGTGACCAATCTATCGTTATGCATGTTTATTGTGACATGTATGTGTGGCTGCTTGTACCAGTCTGGACTTATGCCTTTTTGTAAGTGCTACCCGACTGAGATACTATACTGCAGTTTAACACAGACACAGTATATCAATTCCAAGCCGACCAGTCCTGGTTTTATCCCCTGATGCCAAGCATGAGGCAGGGTAACAACCAGTACCCTCTTTTAACGTCTTTTGGTATTAAGCAGCCATGAGATCGAACCCATTGATCTTCCGTTCACTGGGAAGACCTCTAACCACCACACTAGAGAGACCGTCACATTTGCTTCAAACTTGGGGCAGAATATCGGCCCCTCAACTACAGGTGGACCAATACTGAGGTGGATGTGAGTGGAAAGTATTACTAAAGCCATGGAGAAGGGATGTGTGGTCTTTTGTAAGAACAAGAGTCGTCGGAATTCACATAACATTACATAACATTTGACATTATTCATGCCAAATTGAATTTCTGATGATACAACTGAAAAACATACACATTTTCACATCTGAATAAATTGAATTGATATTTAAATCCATTACAACTTTGAAAACAATATTAAAACATTCTCAATTCAAAGACATTGTCATAAGCAGAGGATGAAGGTGATTAAGCTGAGAAGGTTGTTGTTAATTCACATCTACTGTAACCATGGAAACAGGAAGCATATAAGTACAAGCTTCGATGAGCATTCTTTACAGAACATAAAATTCAGCTGACAACTTATAAATACTGCAGTGTGAAACTAAACAGTGCATTGAAGGTGATTACAAAATTGGGCTGGACAACAGAGTGATGAAACACTAGAGCTCTCTGTGACAAACATGTAAACTTTAACGATTACAAGACACCATTTAAGAAATTACATGACAGACAGAGGATTGTCTTTCACTTTTATCTCTGTTCAACAGACAGCAAATAAAAGAAGTTGAATGGATTGCTTAAATAAAACCACATTCCAATTAGAGACCAAAAAAATAAATTAGGATTTCAAATGTGTCAGCATGCAGAGTGACAAATGAGATTTGTGTTGACAGTCAACTAAAGTGCTGAACAATAAAACTGAATTCAAATACAATCTGCACAAAAACTGATGTTGAAAATAAACACATGGAATCTGGGCTCTTGTAGCCCTCACTGCATGAAGATTTAATATGATCTTTAATGAACAGTAACGCAAGTTAGATCTGTTGTCATAAAATTACAGTACAAGACAAATTTTGTTTCACAAAATAACTAACACTTTCTAGTTAATATTAAATCAATAATAATATATTCTAGACGTTTATAAAATCAGTACCAAAAAATTGAATTATGGGTAGTTGTACTTTTCTCCCAAAATTCTTTAGGACTGATTTGGAAGTTTTCTCTCGATATTTGTTTAGGATTGATTCGAAAAAAAATCCAAAGTATCTTTTAAGGGCTGATTTGAAAATTTTCTCCAATATTTTTTAGGATTGATTTGAAAATTTTCTCCAATATTTTTTAGGATTGATTTGGAAATTTTCTCTAATATATTAGGATTGATTTGAAAATTTTCTCCAATTTTTTTTTTAAGGGATTGATTCGAAAACTTAAACAGTTTCTTCCATGGCACGTACAGTTACTACTTGGAAAATTACTTTCGTGTAACTTTTCCTTCTGAGTTTTTGAAAAATGTTTCTTACATGGGATGCTGCAACTGATTGGAAATGGAAATTTCAAAGCAAAACAACATTCAACTAGTAAAACAGTTCGTCTTTGATAAAAATGCAAAAAAAAATCTAAAAAGATACACACACTGTTGACAGAGATAAACGTAGAAGATGTAGGATAAAAACATGAACTTACACTGCCCACCGAACCCGACCGTGCAGACAAGTCTAAGCAAAAGCAAAAAGAAAACACACTCACTAGTGTTTGTATAAGGTGAAAAATGCAATTAATGACATAAACGGCAATATATGAGATCCGGTTATAAGGCCATCTAGGAGCTAGATATAGTATCAAACACTACAGTAACAGTAACCTACTGACGTGGCTGAGTGTATCTTAACACGGAACACTTTATAAGTAAGACTTCAAAGCAGTGCACGGCTGATTATAATGTAAAACGTTTTGTTAACCAAATTCGACCTGGAAATGCTTCGTTTCAAAATTGTTTTGTTTATTTTGATTTACATTTAAAAAAATTTCAACTGTTTTTCTTCACAATTCTAAAGACAGAATTTCATTTTTTGTTTGCTTTCTAGAAAAGAGCAATGTGGATCCTTGGACCTGTACACTATGCTGGTGCCTTGCTGTTAGATCAGCAGACTCAAATACAGGTCAACCAAACCATGACCCCTTGCATTTTGTATTGAGACCAGATATTTTTTCAGCAACAGCTGCAAAACCAGATATTTTAATCAAAACTATGAGACAAAATATTTGTTCCTAAAAATCAGATTGCAGAAAATGTCATTTTTGTGGCAGAATTTTATTTTTTTTCAAGAATGTTTGGGGACAGTTTATTTGTTTGGGACAAAATCCCAGCCCCCTCTCCCCCACCAAATATCAAATGGTTGGCCCTATACAGGTGAATACCAATTGACATCTTACTGACGCCCATTCCACACAGTCATCTTCCAACTTCAACTACGACTATCGTCAGTCTCTGTTTGAGTACGGGAGTTATGACAGCCATAGTGCTAAGATCGCTCTGCGAGTGCAGGACCCAGAACATGTGTGTGGAATGGGGTTATGCTGTTTGGCGGGATGAGCTAACACTATAACCATTGGGCCACCCTACTACCTCAGTCAGCAAGAGTAAGTGAGTGAGTTGGGCTTGGAGCTGGTTTGAACAGTATTTCAGTTATATCACAGCTTGTTGTGGGAGGAACGTGGGAGGAATGACGTTCACCATTTTGGTGAAACCCATGACACCGGGTATGGTGCTAACAGGATATAAACCAATGATCAGAGTAAAGAATGTCTGCTTGAGTGATAAACAATCGTTTATCAGTGCGCGATAACAGACGAGGAGAGGTGAAATGGGGTTTAACGTCACATCCAAGATTATTGCACTTATATAGCGACGTGTGTCTGTGTGTGTGAGTGATAGTTTGTGTGTGTGAGAGTGTGTGTGTGTGTGTGTTAGAGAGAGAGAGAGAGTGTGTGTGTATGTCTGCTTGTACTAGACTGGACTGATGCTGATTTATAGTACTAGCCCACTGAGATACCATGACACAATTTAACATGAATACCACACTCAGACACTGTATACTGACTCCGAGCCGACCAGTCCTTGTTTTAGCCCCTTAATGCCCAGCGCCAGACAGGGTAACAACAAGTACCATCTTTTAATGTCTTTTGGTATGACGCGGCCGGAGTTCGAACCCAGGACCTTCCGCTCTCCGGGCGGACTCTCTACCACTAGACCATGGAGGCAGTCGTGCCATAACAGATGTTAAATCAGTCTGCTGTCCAAGGTCTTTATTGTTTCATGCTGCAATAGCAGCAGTCTATCTATACTACTCAAAAGAAGTTAAGCACCACCCAATTCTTTAATATAACAATAGTTAACCTTCCAAGCATAACTGTTGCTTTTGTGGAGAATCCCCCCAGAATCAATATTTTTTTATTTTTTTATTTTCTCAAATTCACAGATATCCTAGCATTTCTCTTAATAAACTAATATAAAACTGTGTTTTAAAGCTCTTTTCATCATTTTTACTGCTGTCAGTTAAATTCAAGTCACAACAAAAGTTACAACATTAATTATCATTGTTATTATCATAATAACAAGGAAATTCCAATTTAGGATTTTTACCAACCTTAACTACCGAACATAATCATTGGTCTCTGAGGACACCTAAGTGTATAAATATCTCAAAGTAATCTGACAATTATACTGAATAATGTATCAAAGTTTAACATCACAGACAAATCAGATAAAGAAATGACAGAGTATAACAACTGCCAGCTTCGTCGTAGTGATAGTCTTCATGCAACTAAAACATGAGTTAGTTCTACTTTCACTTCTCGGCAAACTGGTGACATCAGCAGTTCATTGTCAAGTGGTTTTACCTAACATGCAGTCTGGGGAGGAGACTCAGGTCTGGTTGATGCAATGGGCAGAGATTCAAGTCAGCATTATCAGTAACACAGAGTTATATGTTTCATGGTCCACACTAATTTCAGCCATGCATATATATACACTCAGCCATGCAGTTTCCGTGGTAACTTAAGTTTTGGCAAATGAGCATTTCTTGACAAGGAACACTAAATGTTTTAAGGCTTATTTTCTTTAATTGATGAATAACATTATTATTTTTTCATGAATTAATATAAAAAGGTATGAAAAACATATTTCATGATCTGAAATATTTTATATTTTTTTTAAGAAATTTATATAAAAAATAATCCATTTTGATGTGATTTTCAAAACATATTTTTGAGTTTTTTATTAAAGAAATAAAAAACGAATATATAGAAATAATTCACTTTCATGTGATTTTAGAAATCTAAGTTTTGAGTTTTCATCGAAGAAAGTAACGAACGATGCTCATTTTCCAACATGTAGAACAAACATTGAAATCAGAATCCCAGAATTCATGCATGAACGAACAATGGGACACTAGGGCAGAGTGCAACAGGCACCCAGAACTTCCACCTACTTTAAACCATATAATCCTTGGCACTGCAAAATAGGCATCAGTAGCTATCAGTATCACAATCCATTGGAATCTCCAAAATATTCAAACACAGGGATTCATCTAGGGTCTTAAACTAAGTATTGTGGAGGAGAAATTGGGAAGAAACATTTTTTTAATTTTTTTGCTATTAAAGTTATCATTCATGATAACCTGAATTAGGGTATCCTTAATTTAAATTTAGGAATTTTTCACCAACATTCATGCTGACCTGGGGTTGATTATCAGCCTCTGAGACTGTCTAGATAAATCCCTGCTAGAGACTGACAAATATTTATTTTTACTTTGTTTGTTGTTTAACGCTGCACTCAGCAATATTCCAGCTATATGACGGCGGTCTGTAAATAACCGAGCCTGGACGGGACAATCCAGTGATTGACATCATGAGCATCAATCTACACAATTGGATAGAATGACATGCATCAACCAAATCAGTGAGCCTGACCACCCGATCCCCTTCGCCGCCTCATACGACAGGCATGGGTTGCCGAAGACCAATTCTAACCCGGTCAAAGTATTGCACAGTAAGTGTATTACAGTGCCATCCTAACATGGCAAGATGGCTAAAAGTGACACACATTTATCACTTCAGTGTAATTCACGAACATAGATATGGTGCTTACAAAGCAAGGATTCCAATTTTGGGTTCAAACCCATGATCAGCAGATCCTGATGTGGTGAAGGGGGGGCAACTCTGCAGTGTATTGTAGAGCATGCCACCTGTGCTCCCTCTTAGTTTCAATTCTCAAGTACAATTCTCAAATTTCATTCCAAATAAGTTAAAAAACTAGGACATTGCTGGTCAAAATATTCCAAAATGGTCATCGTTTGAACTCCTTGAGAAAAACAAATGAGCAAATTTTCTTGAGGATAGTTTTACTACTATGCTTCCCTCACCAGGCCAATGTGGAACTCCCAACATTCATATTGGCCTCATTAATGCTACCCTAAAATTGAACCTGAAATTTTAAGTCTACAAGGGTACTCCGTTAACATAAAGAAAAGGATTCCTGCAATAATGGATGATAACTCACAAGATGAAATAGCAAATACTAAAAAATCCCAGCCAAGAGATTAAAAAAGGGAAAGCAAATTTTAACATATATTATGCAAAAACCACTCAATTTACCATAAAAGCCTTAAAGTATTGAACCCGTTTGTAAATTATAAGCAGAGTGTGAGCCACCATTGTTTAATCACTAACAGGGGCTCCTTTCATTTCCTATCAGTTCCCCAACAAACACCAATTCCATGTAACCCCGCAGTTAGAGTCAAGGGGTGGTGAGGGTAATACGCACCATCATCTATGCTGAGGGTGTCTCCATCCTCTGACTTGCTGTCTGGCAACATGCCGAGCTCCCCCAGCAGCTTCACATAGGCGTGGCTCTGTAGGAACTCCTCATAGTAGTTGATATGTAGGATCTGGTACACCTGTAGCGAGAAATAGAGAGAGTAAGATATGAAGGATCTAGTACACCTGGAGAGAGAGCGAGAGAGAGAGAGAGAGAGAGAGAGAGAGACACACACACACACAGAGGGAGGGAGAGAGAGACAGAAAGACAGAGAGAGAGAGGGAGAGAGAGAGACACAGAGAGAGAGAGACAGAGAGAGAGAGGGAGAGAGAGAGACAGAGAAAGAGGGAGAGAGAGACAGAGAAAGACAGAGAGAGAGAGAGAGAGAAAGACACAGAGAGAGAGAGGGAGAGAGAGAGACAGAGAGAGAGAGAGAGAGAGAGGTAGGGAGAGAGAGAGAGAGAGAGATATGTATGTAGGACTATTGCAAGTAAGAGACCTAACTTGGAGGCTATCTTAGTGAGGATTTTTAAGAGTATATGTTTATTCAAAATTCCTCTGATCAGACAAGCCTTTGCCTACTACACAAAATGGTTATTATGAGCCAGCTGACATTATCTGCCTACCCGAGCTTGCACGGTGTCGAACACATCTTCGGACAGCATCTTGCTCTTGATGTTGTTGAAGGTTCTTTTGCTAATGTCCGATTCAACCTTAATCCTTGAGCTGGCCTAGAACAGTCAAACCAACATCTAATTGACATCACAGACGACTTCTGTCACACTGTCTCATGATCTAATTGTCATCACAGACGACTTCTGTCACACTGTCTCATGATCTAATTGTCATCACAGACGACTTCTGTCACACTGTCTCATGATCTAATTGACCTCACAGACGACTTCTGTCACACTGTCTCACGATCTAATTGTCATCACAGACAACTTCTTTCACATTGTCTCATGATCTAATTGACATCACAGATGACTTCTGTCACACTGTCTCATGATCTAATTGACATCACAGACGACTTCTGTCACACCATCTCATGATCTAATTGACATCGCAGGCGACTTCTGTCACACTGTCTCATGATCTAATTGACATCGCAGGCGACTTCTGTCACACTGTCTCATGATCTAATTGACATCACAGACAACTTCTGTCACATGTTATTAATAAAATGAGAGATACTGATCATATATTATCATTGCTGGATTACCTTCTCAGACAAATACTGATCATATATTATCATTGCTGTATTACCTTCTCAGACAAATACTGATCATATATTATCATTGCTGTGTTACCTTCTCAGACAAATATTGATCATATATTATCATTGCTGTATTACCTTCTCAGACAAATACTGATCATATATTATCATTGCTGGATTACCTTCTCAGACAAATACTGATCATTATATTATTATTGCTGTTATACCTTCTCAGACAAATACTGATCATATATTATCATTGCTGGATTACCTTCTCAGACAAATACTGATCATTATATTATTATTGCTGTTATACCTTCTCAGACAAATACTGATCATATATTATCATTGCTGGATTACCTTCTCAGACAAATACTGATCATATATTATCATTGCTGTATTACCTTCTCAGACAAATACTGATCATATATTATCATTGCTGTATTACCTTCTCAGACAAATACTGATCATATATTATCATTGCTGTATTACCTTGTCAGACAAATACTGATCATATATTATCATTGCTGTATTACCTTCTTAGACAAATACTGATCATATATTATCATTGCTGTATTACCTTCTCAGACAAATACTGATCATATATTATCATTGCTGCTCTGCGTAGTGATTCCAGGTCAGGCTCTGCTGCTTTGCAGTTCTCGTTCTTTAACTTGTGGGCTTCTCTGATCTGCTGTTCCGCTGCCGCCCTGAAACCCTACCACACAGACATGGTTTTACACTACTGGTGCTGGAACCCTACCACACAGACATGGTCTTACACTACTGGTGCTGCCACCCTACCACACAGACATGGTCCTACACTACAGGTACTGCAACCCTACCACACAGACATGGTCTTACACAACTGGTGCTGCCACCCTACCACACAGACATGGTCCTACACTACTGGTGCTGCAACCCTACCACACAGACATGGTCTTACACTACTGGTGCTGCAACCCTACCACACAGACATGGTCTTACACTACTGCTGCTGCAACCCTACCACACAGACATGGTCCTACACTACTGATACTGCAACCCTACCACACAGACATGGTCTTACACTACTGATACTGCAACCCTACCACACAGACATGGTCTTACACTACTGATACTGCAACCCTACCACACAGACATGGTCTTACACTAATGGTGCTGCAACCCTACCACACAGACATGGTCTTACACTAATGGTGCTGCAACCCTACCACACAGACATGGTCTTACACTACTGGTGCTGCAACCCTACCACACAGACATGGTCTTACACTACTGATACTGCAACCCTACCACACAGACATGGTCTTACACTAATGGTGCTGCAACCCTACCACACAGACATGGTCTTACACTAATGGTGCTGCCACCCTACCACACAGACATGGTCTTACACTACTGATACTGCAACCCTACCACACAGACATGGTCCTACACTACTGATACTGCAACCCTACCACACAGACATGGTCTTACACTACTGATACTGCAACCCTACCACACAGACATGGTCTTACACTAATGGTGCTGCAACCCTACCACACAGACATGGTCTTACACTAATGGTGCTGCAACCCTACCACACAGACATGGTCTTACACTACTGGTGCTGCAACCCTACCACACAGACATGGTCTTACACTACTGATACTGCAACCCTACCACACAGACATGGTGCTGCAACCCTACCACACAGACATGGTCTTACACTACTGATACTGCAACCCTACCACACAGACATGGTCTTACACTACTGGTGCTGCAACCCTACCACACAGACATGGTCCTACACTACTGATACTGCAACCCTACCACACAGACATGGTCTTACACTACTGGTGCTGCAACCCTACCACACAGACATGGTCTTACACTACTGATACTGCAACCCTACCACACAGACATGGTCTTACACTACTGATACTGCAACCCTACCACACAGACATGGTCTTACACTACTGATACTGCAACCCTACCACACAGACATGGTCTTACACTACTGGTGCTGCAACCCTACCACACAGACATGGTCCTACACTACTGGTGCTGCAACCCTACCACACAGACATGGTCTTACACTACAGGTGCTGCAACCCTACCACACAGACATGGTCTTACACTACTGATACTGCAACCCTACCACACAGACATGGTGCTGCAACCCTACCACACAGACATGGTCTTACACTACAGGTGCTGAAACCCTACCACACAGACATGGTCTTACACTACTGATACTGCAACCCTACCACACAGACATGGTCTTACACTACTGGTGCTGCAACCCTACCACACAGACATGGTCTTACACTACTGATACTGCAACCCTACCACACAGACATGGTCCTACACTACAGGTGCTGCAACCCTACCACACAGACATGGTCTTACACTACTGATACTGCAACCCTACCACACAGACATGGTCTTACACTACTGATACTGCAACCCTACCACACAGACATGGTGCTGCAACCCTACCACACAGACATGGTCCTACACTACAGGTGCTGCAACCCTACCACACAGACATGGTCTTACACTACTGGTGCTGCAACCCTACCACACAGACATGGTCCTACACTACAGGTGCTGCAACCCTACCACACAGACATGGTCCTACACTACTGATACTGCAACCCTACCACACAGACATGGTGCTGCAACCCTACCACACAGACATGGTCTTACACTAATGGTGCTGCAACCCTATCACACAGACATGGTCTTACACTACTGGTGCTGCAACCCTACCACAGACATGGTCTTACACTACTGGTGCTGCAACCCTACCACACAGACATGGTCTTACACTACTGGTGCTGCAACCCTACCACACAGACATGGTCTTACACTACTGGTGCTGCAACCCTACCACACAGACATGGTCCTACACTACTGGTACTGCAACCCTATCACACAGACATGGTCTTACACTACTGGTGCTGCAACCCTACCACACAGACATGGTCTTACACTACAGGAGCTGCAACCCTACCACACAGACATGGTCTTACACTGCTGGTGCTGTAACCCTACCACACAGACATGGTCTTACACTACTGGTGCTGCAACCCTACCACACAGACATGGTCTTACACTACTGGTGCTGCAACCCTACCACACAGACATGGTCTTACACTGCTGGTGCTGCAACCCTACCACACAGACATGGTCTTACACTACTGGTGCTGCAACCCTACCACACAGACATGGTCTTACACTGCTGGTGCTGCAACCCTACCACACAGACATGGTCTTACACTACTGGTGCTGCAACCCTACCACACAGACATGGTCTTACACTGCTGGTGCTGCAACCCTACCACACAGACATGGTCTTACACTACTGGTGCTGCAACCCTACCACACAGACATGGTCTTACACTGCTGGTGCTGCAACCCTACCACACAGACATGGTCCTACACTATTGGTGCTGCAACCCTACCACACAGACATGGTCTTACACTAATGGTGCTGCAACCTTACCACACAGACATGGTCCTACACTACTGGTGCTGCAACCCTACCACACAGACATGGTCTTACACTAATGGTGCTGCAACCCTACCACACAGACATGGTCCTACACTATTGGTGCTGCAACCCTACCACACAGACATGGTCCTACACTATTGGTGCTGCAACCCTACCACACAGACATGGTCTTACACTAATGGTGCTGCAACCCTACCACACAGACATGGTCTTACACTACTGGTGCTGCAACCCATCCACACAGACATGGTCTTACACTACTGGTGCTGCAACCCATCCACACAGACATGGTCTTACACTACTGGTGCTGCAACCCTACCACACAGACATGGTCTTACACTACTGGTGCTGCAACCCTACCACACAGACATGGTCTTACACTACTGGTGCTGAAACCCTACCACACAAACATGGTCTTACACTACTGGTGCTGCAACCCTACCACACAGACATGGTCTTACACTACTGGTGCTGCAACCCTACCACACAGACATGATCTTACACTACTGGTGCTGCAACCCTACCACACAGACATGGTCCTACACTATTGGTGCTGCAACCCATCCACACAGACATGGTCTTACACTACTGGTGCTGCAACCCTACCACACAGACATGGTCTTACACTACAGGAGCTGCAACCCTACCACATAGACATGGTCTTACACAACTGGTGCTGCAACCCTACCACACAGACATGGTCTTACACTACTGGTGCTGCAACCCTACCACACAGACATGGTCTTACACTACTGGTGCTGCAACCCTACCACACAGACATGGTCTTACACTACTGGTGCTGCAACCCTACCACACAGACATGGTCTTACACGACTGGTGCTGCAACCCTACCACACAGACATGGTCTTACACTACTGGTGCTGCAACCCTACCACACAGACATGGTCCTACACTACTGATACTGCAACCCTACCACACAGACATGGTCTTACACTACAGGAGCTGCAACCCTACCACATAGACATGGTCTTACACTACTGGTGCTGCAACCCTACCACACAGACATGGTCTTACACTACTGGTGCTGCAACCCTACCACACAGACATGGTCTTACACTACTGATACTGCAACCCTACCACACAGACATGGTCTTACACTACTGGTGCTGCAACCCTACCACACAGACATGATCTTACACTACTGGTGCTGCAACCCTACCACACAGACATGGTCTTACACTGCTGGTGCTGCAACCCTACCACACAGACATGGTCTTACACTACTGATACTGCAACCCTACCACACAGACATGGTCTTACACTACTGGTGCTGCAACCCTACCACACAGACATGGTCTTACACTACTGGTGCTGCAACCCTACCACACAGACATGGTCTTACACGACTGGTGCTGCAACCCTACCACACAGACATGGTCTTACACTACTGGTGCTGCAACCCTACCACACAGACATGGTCCTACACTACTGATACTGCAACCCTACCACACAGACATGGTCTTACACTACAGGAGCTGCAACCCTACCACATAGACATGGTCTTACACTACTGGTGCTGCAACCCTACCACACAGACATGGTCTTACACTACTGGTGCTGCAACCCTACCACACAGACATGGTCTTACACTACTGGTGCTGCAACCCTACCACACAGACATGGTCTTACACTACTGGTGCTGCAACCCTACCACACAGACATGGTCTTACACTACAGGAGCTGCAACCCTACCACATAGACATGGTCTTACACTAATGGTGCTGCAACCCTACCACACAGACATGGTCTTACACTACTGGTGCTGAAACCCTACCACACAGACATGGTCTTACACTACTGATACTGCAACCCTACCACACAGACATGGTCTTACACTACTGGTGCTGCAACCCTACCACACAGACATGGTCTTACACTACTGATACTGCAACCCTACCACACAGACATGGTCTTACACTACTGGTGCTGCAACCCTACCACACAGACATGATCTTACACTACTGGTGCTGCAACCCTACCACACAGACATGGTCTTACACTGCTGGTGCTGCAACCCTACCACACAGACATGGTCTTACACTACTGATACTGCAACCCTACCACACAGACATGGTCTTACACTACTGGTGCTGCAACCCTACCACACAGACATGATCTTACACTACTGGTGCTGCAACCCTACCACACAGACATGGTCTTACACTACTGGTGCTGCAACCCTACCACACAGACTTGGTCTTACACTACTGGTGCTGCAACCCTACCACACAGACATGGTCCTACACTACTGGTGCTGCCACCCTACCTAAATGTTTTATATTATGATTATCATGATTATTATTATTATTTCATATGTAAGTTACTGTAAGTACTTACTTCCACATTTAAGTAGAAATATAAATACTGCTGCCCTCCTTTACTGGTCATGAATTCTGCAAATATAAAACAGAATAGTCATTAAACAGTTTTGTTTGTTTGTTTGTTATCTAATGCCGCACTCAGCAATATTGCAGCTATATGATGTCAGTCTGTAAATAATCGAGTCTGGACCAGATAATCTAGTGATTGACATCATGAGTATCGATCCACACAATTGGGATACAATGACATGCAGCAACCAATTCAGCGAGTCTGACTACCCAATTCCGTTAGTCGCCTTTACGACAAGCATAGTCGCCTCTTATGGCAAGCATGGGTTGCTGAAGACCTATTCCCTACACAGGTCCATCAAACAGTTTGTACCCATATTCGTGAGTGAGTGAATTAGGTTTAATGTCGCTTTAAACATGTTAAACAGTATTTCAGATAAATCACAGTTTGACAGCTTGAAGTGGACAGATAGCCCGAATCGTTGCAGGTCATGACAGAGATTTATTTTCCTAAGCAAGAAACTGACCTATGAAAGACTGAAGAGCGATGTTGTTGGCCATGATGTCGTCCAGGCTCAGTATATACAAGTTGTGGTACTTCAGAAAATCAGGCTCCTGCAAGACAATGAGTTCACATTATCTTAACATCAAATCGTTTTTTTAATTTGAAGTTTACACGATATACGGCTTTTCCATTGGACGAAAGATCAGTCACATGACCGTGAAATTGACGTTCATAAGTGTATGAACAACACAATTTGACGTTCATACGTTTTTCACGAGACCGTGTTCTTGAAATGACGTACACACTGACGGACTACTTCCACATTCCTGGGGAACCCCTGGGAATTCCCTAGCACGAAAAGATACAGAAGCGTTCTTTCTGATCATTTAGAACCTTTAATCTTGAACTCAGCTGAGTGAGTTAGTGAGTAGGTTTTTACGCTGCTTTTAGCAATATTTCAGCAATTTAACAGCTGGGGACACCAGAAATGGACTTCATACATTGTACCCATGTTGGGAATTGGACCAGGGTCTTCGGCGCGATGAGTGAACACTTTAACCACAAGGCTACCCAAGAGCCCGCCACAAAAGAGTAGATACAGACAGATCTGGCATTGGTAGCTTGTGCAGTGCCATCCTTCTTGACACATGACACATGACACATGACACACAGTCACCCAGGTCATATTTCAATCACTGCCCGATTCCACACTTAAACTACCCTTCAATCCCAGAATGGCCAGAGGGGTATATTAACATATAAACCATGGGTTTGGGGTAAATGACTCACACAAAATTGAGGGCCAAAAGGTTCTGAAGCTCACCTCAATCATGAGTGAGTGAGTTTGATTTTACGCCGCTTTTAGCAATATTCCATCAATATCACAACAGGGGGACACCAGAAATGGGCTTCACACATTGTACCCATGTCGGGAATCGAACCCGGGTCTTCGGCATGACGAGTGAGCACTTTAACCACTAGGCTACCCGACCACCTCACTCATGAGGAAATAGTGACGGCCATGTCAAAAATCTGATCAGAATTCTGTGAGAAACTTTAAGACACACCATTGCTGGGTTAATTCATGCAAAGTTTCAGCTCCATTGTCCTTGTAGTTTTAGAGTAGACGGTGAAAATGCAATAGCACTACAAACATAGGGGTATTTGAGGGCCAAAGGTAAAACAGCATTATATGTGATTCTGCATACACCTTTCTTGCTGCATATCAAATTCCATAATAAAATGGCAATAGTAATCGGCAAAAAATATATTTTCAAAATGGCCACAAAGGTAGCCATGTTCAATTTGGGATCCGATTTCTGTGATCAATATCAGGACAACCGGACGGATGACTGACAATGTGCCATGACATCACTTGACTCTCAGTCAGGTGAGCTAACAATTCTGTATAATGTTTGGATGAATATTTATAAAATAATCATGTTTGAATTAAACATGTTAACACAGTCTGAACTGAACTTTCAGACTAATTGTGTACCTCATCTTCTGGTAGAATCTCTGGCTCTGTCGGTCCTTCCTGTAACCGCTTCTTGCGAGCCTCACACGTGTCACGGACAAACACTAAACTGTTCAGGTTTTGTTTTATCACAGCATCTGAAATGGAAGCACATGCACCCATAATTTCAGGCTAAATTTTTGGTAAAAAAGATGATATGAGCTTTAAATTGCGTTTAAATAATTTGTAATCGTACTTATATAACGACGTGTATGTGGCTTGCTTGTACTAATGCCAGTTTTATAGAGCTAGCCCACTGAGATACCATGCTGCAGTTTAACATGGATTCCACACTCATACACGGTAATTGCAATAGGGGATATATTTTTCACATTTTATTGGCTTCCAAGAAGTGCCTTGTTATTTCATTAGGAATATTTTTATTAGTTAGAGTGAATGAGTGAGTTTGGATTAACGCCACTTTAGAACAGTATTCCATGTATATCGCGGCGTGTCAGCTTAATGTAAGAGGAAAGCCCGAAGTGATGCAAGTCTTGGACGTGAACCACTTTAGTGAAACCCACGAGTACAGGTATGGTGATGACAAACCTAGGAACATAATTGGGGCGAACCTGTATTTGAACCCAGGGTTATAAATTTCTGGCATGCCCAAGGGATGCAACTCTGCACAGCAAATTGAGGTGCCATAGATGGCTAGGCCACCCATGCCCTGTCATCAGTTAGACCAAAAGGTTCAGGTTTCAGATTCTTAGTTGGATGGGTACATACATAACGTTTCATAACCAAACTTGACCTTTTATTAGTGAGTTAACTTTCGAATACTTCAATTAGTGTAATATCTCCATGGTGTTGTAGAGTCCAAAGCACTCACCATCACTGCCACCAGTATCCTTAGATCGCCACTTGGCTATCTCAGACTCTATAATGTCTTTCACAGCGTCAAGCTCGGCCTCAGTATCGCTTGTCTTTATCACAGTCAGAAATGTCTCCTTAGTAAAGGATGGTTCACGGCACTGAAGGAAACATACATATACACTTCTGACACAATTCAAAGAATTAAAAGCATTGTAAATTTCACGCCATGCTTTATGAAGATATAATGACCTTCAAAATCATAACATAATAGACAATAGTATATAACATATATTATAGTATACAACGCACGCACGCACGCACGCACGCAAGCACGCACGCACGCACAGGACTAAACTGTTTCGAATATTTTTTAGTAACCTTTGGAAAGTCTTTGCAAGGTACTAATATTGGTAGTCATTTCATAAATAATATTTGGTTTACTAAAATAATATATGTCCACATAATTACTTCTTAGCTCCTCAAAATATTTACATGAAAATAATACACAATTGCATCATCAATACCATCAAAAGGATAAAGATTACATTTTCCTTCCATTAAAGAATTATTGTGAATTGATTTAAAAGGCTTAACATTAGTGGAGCAAGTGGTAACAGTGAGAATAGGTTGAAAATTATTCCAGTGCCTGAACATTTCTGATGTAAATTTTCACTTTCAAAATAATATAAGCGCCATTCTACCTATTGTGATCTGAATGACTCCTGTACAAAATATCTTGTTTTGGGCTTCTGATCAGAATGTTTACTTGGATTGGTGTAAGTGAAACTGTTTTCCGGTACACATGCACTCTGAAGCCAAGGTGTAATGGTCTAGTAAAGTTCTGTTTGATGTGGTAAAGTCAGCTAATAAAAATCCATATGATACTAAAATATACTGAAAAGAATGCTAAGAGCCAAGTTCAGGCAAGTCGACTCAGCTAATATAAATTCAAAATTTGAGTTTTTCTATCTTGGAAATAAACTTGATATCAGAATTGTAAGGATTTGGTTTGGTTTGTTGTTTAATGCCGCACTCAGCAATATTCCAGCTATATGATGGCAGTCTGTAAATAATCGAGTCTGGACCAGACAATCCACTGATTGACATCATGAGCATCGATCCATGCAATTGGGATATGATGACATGCATCAACCAAGTCAGTGAGCCTGACCACCCGATCCCGTTAGTCGCCTCTTACAGCAAGCATAGTTGCCTTTTACAGCAAGCATGGGTTGCTGAAGAGCTATTCTACCCCGGAATCTTCACGGGTCTGAACTGTAAGGAAAATATTCCTCTATGATAGACCTGCCCATTACACAGTTTGTCACCAAACCATGATCTGTAACCAGTGGGAATTATATATCATTACTCACCAGCCATGCGATATATTGGTTGATGTAGTCTGGATCTGACAACAGATCTATTGTTGGCATAAAAACTCCATTAACTAAAACTTCCTGAAACAAGAGAAGAAAACATGATGGCAGTGAGGGGAAGGACTAGACGTAGGGAAGGACTAGACGTAGGGAAGGACTAGACGTAGGGAAGGACTAGACGTAGGGAAGGACTGGACGTAGGGAAGGACTAGACGTAGGGAAGGACTGGACGTAGGGAAGGACTGGACGTAGGGAAGGACTAGACGTAGGGAAGGACTAGACGTAGGGAAGGACTGGACGTAGGGAAGGACTAGACGTAGGGAAGGACTAGACGTAGGGAAGGACTGGACGTAGGGAAGGACTGGACGTAGGGAAGGACTAGACGTAGGGAAGGACTGGACGTAGGGAAGGACTGGACGTAGGGAAGGACTGGACGTAGGGAAGGACTGGACGTAGGGAAGGACTAGACGTAGGGAAGGACTAGACGTAGGGAAGGACTGGACGTAGGGAAGGACTAGACGTAGGGAAGGACTGGACGTAGGGAAGGACTGGACGTAGGGAAGGACTGGACGTAGGGAAGGACTGGACGTAGGGAAGGACTAGACGTAGGGAAGGACTAGACGTAGGGAAGGACTAGACGTAGGGAAGGACTAGACGTAGGGAAGGACTAGATGTAGGGAAGGACTGGACGTAGGGAAGGACTAGACGTAGGGAAGGACTGGACGTAGGGAAGGACTGGACGTAGGGAAGGACTGGACGTAGGGAAGGACTAGACGTAGGGAAGGACTGGACGTAGGGAAGGACTAGACGTAGGGAAGGACTGGACGTAGGGAAGGACTAGACGTAGGGAAGGACTGGACGTAGGGAAGGACTAGACGTAGGGAACTGTACAGGGAGGTCAAGGTCAGAAAGATTACTGTGTGTGTGTTTGTTGTTAAACGCTGCACTTAGCAATATTCCAGCTATATGGGGGCAGCCTGTCAGGACTGACAATCAAGTGATTGATATTATGAGCAACGATCCACAATGTCTGGTATGTTTATACACGATTAACCGAATCATGGATCCAGGCCACCAGATCCACTAAGTCGCTTCTTACAACATGCAGAGCTTGCTAGAGACCAATTTTAACCTGGAACTTTTACAGGTTATGAATTCAGTTTTCTCTTACGACTAGCAATAGGGTGCTGGGGTCACATTCTACCTCGTGAACAGTACAGTTACTAATCTGGACACATGTTATACATAACATAAACGTAAACGACACAAGTAGCACCATGTTAATAACTGTCAATTTGATGGCACAAAAAATGATGGACCATCCTCGTTCATCCAGTATTATCTCCATTCCGCTACAATAGTTTCGACCTCAATTCAAATGGCATAGCGCTATAATAGACGTCCAATCAAATCACAGTCATGTGCTATAGAAACAATGGAAGTTAGAGATATGAAAGATGGACATTATGATGTCACTTAGGTGAATAGGTCCAGGCTATTCTCATAATAAAATGGAGAACACAACGGAAAGTTTAAGAAATTCACTTTTTCAAGACCCGCCCAGAGCACTAGTGTAAACCTTATTTCACTGGTCCTAGTATTATGCAGCTATAGTATGGAAGGTAATTTAAGGTACCGACATTTACTACAATATCTGAAAAACTATTGGACCTACTCCAGTCAAAATTGGTATGAGATTGTTAAACAGTCATACATAACTGGATATTACATTTAAAGACAATCGGTGCATGAATAAAAAATCTGTCTATTTAGCTATCACTATATTTCATCAACAACCAGACCTGTTCGTCACGGGTGGAACAGCCATCTGCATAATGCTACCCCTGCATCACAGGGCCATATGACACAGTTGAACCAATCAACTCAACTGGAAAGGGTGCACAGGAATCACGCACGCATTTAGCACGGTGTTAGCGTTGGGCGTCTCAACGTGCGTGAGTTATGTATGACTGTTTAATAATCTCATACCAACTTTGACTGGAGTAGGTCCGATAGTTTTTCAGATATTGTAGTAAACGTCGGTACCTTAAATTACCTTCCAGACTATAGTTCTGCTTGAACAGGACAAAAACGTTCACCATGTGTACAGTGTCTGTCAGCTTAATTCATTTCCAATTTGTAACGAAACTAAAGCAATGAGAACTGGTTCAGAATTCTAGTACTGCTAGTCAATGAGGACTACCCAGCATTAGAAAATTGGCACTAGTCATATTGTCCTTGCCAAACTGACAACAGTTATTGTATCATAAGGACTAGTAAAAAAAGAAATGCCATTATTAAGGGCTTTGCTACATGTTATCATTATAAGGACTAGTGGACTAGACACATAGGTTCAATCGCTGCTAGCATAATTGGATTTGTATTGTCTTCAGCAAAAGTTAGTAGCCTCAGGCCAGTGGACTAGCGTGAATATTGAAGGCTGCTGGGTAATGGAGATTGTGGACTGTGCACAGTAACCATGGTAACCATGGTAACCTGTATCTGCTGTTCAACATGACTGGATCGTCATGATCAAGCGAGGCGAACTTTCCTCCATCATCTAGTTCACACATTGTAAGGCAGATGACTTACCCTAACTACATATCTAAAGGGTTTGTTGTAGAAATCATCTTGTGGTAAAAGTAAGAATAAAATAACTTCGATCAGGTCTTGTAGATATTCTGAAACAAAGAACGGCAATGTAAGTAAACCATGATATAGATATAAATAGTAGGGGCGACTTTTGGGGCTATTTTCACGTTTGGGATTATAGTAAACCAACTTTAAGGTTGATATTTACATTAATCAATGCAATAGAAATAAATAAAGTATTGCTGACAATGTCAAAGTCAGCAATTTTCCTCCCTGTTGTGATTCAAAACAAACTCTATTGTGTATTACCTTTAAGGTTGATAATTATAATAATCAAAGAAATAGATATGATCACAGTTCCATGGAAGTGAATGCTGTTTTACAGTCTGTAAATATGGGCCCGACTAACACTTGGTTAATTGAGTAACTGTACTTACGCCTTTCTGCCTCGGGTGACAGACATACAAGATCACGACTCATGTTGTTTTCCATATTAACCTCAAGGTCAAAGAAAATACTTTCAAGATCGGCTGTTTCTCGTTCTGAAATAGAATTATCGCATAGGTAATAGGTTTTAGATTATAGACTCCTGGTAAACAACTAGAATAAAAAGTGACACATGTCTTATATAACGTCTGATACCACTGTATTAACAGGACCAACAAACAAGACAGCAATGCTAAAATACAATGATGAATTACATCTGAATTTTCGAGAATAAGGACTTAAATCCCAATTTTAAACAAAATAACACTGTTTTCTGAATTTGCCAGCTTAGGGTGCTTAGTTCGTAGTCCTAGATACATCTCTGTACATCTTCCATATGGTCAGTTCTGCTGTGGTAGGCCATGGTTTACTGTTCAGACTCACCTTCTTTGGGCAGTCTTGCCTTCTTGTCCACCGCTCGCCGGAACAGACGGATGTGTGAGGCAAAGTCGTCGACAAGTCGCTGGGTGAAGTGGGGCATCCAGTCTATCTCCTTCGCTCTGAAAGTCACAATGGTTGTTTACATATATTTTATAGTGGTCTCTTGTGTGAAAAACTATTAGCCAGACTTTGTCGGACATACAGGGTCTGAGACAATCATGTACCCACCAGTTGGAGAAGGTGATGATGGCCTTCTGGGCACACTGACATAGAGGGTCTGAGACAATCATGTACCCACCTGTTGGAGAAGGTGATGACAGCCTTCTGGATACACTGACATACAGGGTCTGAGACAAGCATGTACCCACCTGTTGGAGAAGGTGATGACAGCCTTCTGGACACACTGACATACAGGGTCTCAGACAATCATGGACCCACCTGTTGGAGAAGGTGATGATGGCCTTCTGGGCACACTGACATACAGGGTCTGAGACAATCATGTACCCACCAGTTGGAGAAGGTGATGACAGCTTTCTGGGCACACTGACATACAGGGTCTGAGACAAGCATGTACCCACCTGTTGGAGAAGGTGATGATGGCCTTCTGGGCACACTGACATACAGGGTCTGAGACAATCATGTACCCACCAGTTGGAGAAGGTGATGACAGCTTTCTGGGCACACTGACATACAGGGTCTGAGACAATCATGGACCCACCTGTTGGAGAAGGTGATGACAGCTTTCTGGGCACACTGACATACAGGGTCTGAGACAATCATGTACCCACCAGTTGGAGAAGGTGATGACAGCTTTCTGGGCACACTGACATACAGGGTCTGAGACAATCATGTACCCACCAGTTGGAGAAGGTGATGACAGCTTTCTGGGCACACTGACATACAGGGTCTCAGACAATCATGGACCCACCTGTTGGAGAAGGTGATGACAGCTTTCTGGGCACACTGACATACAGGGTTGAGACAATCATGTACCCACCAGTTGGAGAAGGTGATGACAGCTTTCTGGGCACACTGACATACAGGGTCTGAGACAATCATGGACCCACCTGTTGGAGAAGGTGATGATGGCCTTCTGGGCACACTGTCATACAGGGTCTCAGACAATCATGTACCCACCTGTTGGAGAAGGTGATGATGGCCTTCTTGGCACACTGACATACAGGGTCTGAGACAATCATGTACCCACCTGTTGGAGAAGGTGATGATGGCCTTCTTGGCACACTGACATACAGGGTCTGAGACAATCATGTACCCACCTGTTGGAGAAGGTGATGAAGGCCTTCTGGGCACACTGACATACAGGGTCTGAGACAAGCATGTACCCACCAGTTGGAGAAGGTGATGACAGCCTTCTTGGCACACTGACATACAGGCTCTGAGACAATCATGTACCCACCTGTTGGAGAAGGTGATGATGGCCTTCTGGACACACTGACGTACAGGCTCTGAGACAATCATGTACCCACCTGTTGGAGAAGGTGATGATGGCCTTCTTGGCACACTGACATACAGGGTCTGAGACAATCATGTACCCACCTGTTGGAGACGGTGATGATGGCCTTCTGGGCACACTGACATACAGGGTCTGAGACAAGCATGTACCCACCTGTTGGAGAAGGTGATGATGGCCTTCTGGGCACACTGACATACAGGGTCTCAGACAATCATGTACCCACCTGTTGGAGAAGGTGATGATGGCCTTCTGGGCACACTGACATACAGGGTTGAGACAATCATGTACCCACCTGTTGGAGAAGGTGATGATGGCCTTCTGGGCACACTGTCATACAGGGTCTGAGACAATCATGTACCCACCTGTTGGAGAAGGTGATGATGGCCTTCTTGGCACACTGATATACAAGGTCTGAGACAATCATGTACCCACCTGTTGGAGAAGGTGATGACAGCCTTCTTGGCACACTGACATACAGGGTCTGAGATAATCATGTACCCACCTGTTGGAGAAGGTGATGATGGCCTTCTGGGCACACTGACATACAGGGTCTGAGACAATCATGTACCCACCTGTTGGAGAAGGTGATGATGGCCTTCTGGGCACACTGACATACAGGGTCTGAGACAATCATGTACCCACCAGTTGGAGAAGGTGATGATGGCCTTCTGGGCACACTGACATACAGGGTCTGAGACAATCATGTACCCACCTGTTGGAGAAGGTGATGATGGCCTTCTGGGCACACTGACATACAGGGTCTGAGACAATCATGTACCCACCTGTTGGAGAAGGTGATGACCGTCTTCTGGGCACACTGACATACAGGGTCTGAGACAATCATGTACCCACCTGTTGGAGAAGGTGATGATGGCCTTCTGGGCACACTGACATACAGGGTCTCAGACAATCATGTACCCACCTGTTGGAGAAGGTGATGACAGCCTTCTGGGCACACTGACATACAGGGTCTGAGACAATCATGTACCCACCTGTTGGAGACGGTGATGACAACCTTCTTGGCACACTGACATACAGGGTCTCAGACAATCATGTACCCACCTGTTGGAGAAGGTGATGACAGCCTTCTTGGCACACTGACATACAGGGTCTCAGACAATCATGTACCCACCTGTTGGAGAAGGTGATGACCGTCTTCTGGGCACACTGACATACAGGGTCTCAGACAATCATGTACCCACCTGTTGGAGAAGGTGATGACAGCCTTCTGGGCACACTGACATACAGGGTCTGAGACAATCATGTACCCACCTGTTGGAGACGGTGATGACAACCTTCTTGGCACACTGACATACAGGGTCTGAGACAATCATGTACCCACCTGTTGGAGAAGGTGATGACCGTCTTCTGGGCACACTGACATACAGGGTCTCAGACAATCATGTACCCACCTGTTGGAGAAGGTGATGACAGCCTTCTGGGCACACTGACATACAGGGTCTGAGACAATCATGTACCCACCTGTTGGAGAAGGTGATGATGGCCTTCTGGGCACACTGACATACAGGGTCTGAGACAATCATGTACCCACCTGTTGTAGAAGGTGATGACCGTCTTCTGGGCACACTAACATACAGGGTCTGAGACAATCATGTACCCACCTGTTGGAGAAGGTGAATATGGTCTTCTTGGCACACTGACATACAGGGTCTGAGACAATGTTGTACCCACCTGTTGGAGAAGGTGATGATGGCCTTCTTGGCACACTGACATACAGGGTCTCAGACAATCATGTACCCACCTGTTGGAGAAGGTGAATATGGCCTTCTTGGCACACTGACATACAGGGTCTGAGACAAGCATGTACCCACCTGTTGGAGAAGGTGATGATGGCCTTCTTGACACACTGACATACAGGGTCTCAGACAATCATGTACCCACCTGTTGGAGAAGGTGAATATGGCCTTCTTGGCACACTGACATACAGGCTCTGAGACAATCATGGACCCACCTGTTGGAGAAGGTGATGATGGCCTTCTGGGCACACTGACATACAGGGTCTGAGACAATCATGTACCCACCTGTTGGAGACGGTGATGACAACCTTCTGGGCACACTGACATACAGGGTCTGAGACAATCATGTACCCACCTGTTGGAGAAGGTGATGATGGCCTTCTGGGCACACTGACATACAGGGTCTGAGACAATCATGTACCCACCTGTTGGAGAAGGTGATGATGGCCTTCTGGGCACACTGACATACAGGGTCTGAGACAATCATGTACCCACCTGTTGGAGACGGTGATGACAACCTTCTGGGCACACTGACATACAGGGTCTGAGACAATCATGGACCCACCTGTTGGAGAAGGTGATGATGGCCTTCTGGGCACACTGACATACAGGGTCTGAGACAATCATGTACCCACCTGTTGGAGAAGGTGATGACAGCCTTCTGGGCACACTGACATACAGGGTCTCAGACAATCATGTACCCACCCGTTGGAGAAGGTGATGACAGCCTTCTGGGCACACTGACATACAGGGTCTCAGACAATCATGTACCCACCTGTTGTAGAAGGTGATGACCGTCTTCTGGGCACACTGACATACAGGGTCTCAGACAATCATGTACCCACCTGTTGTAGAAGGTGATGACCGTCTTCTGGGCACACTGACATACAGGGTCTCAGACAATCATGTACCCACCTGTTGGAGAAGGTGATGATGGCCTTCTGGGCACACTGACATACAGGGTCTGAGACAAGCATGTACCCACCTGTTGGAGAAGGTGATGATGGCCTTCTTGACACACTGACATACAGGGTCTCAGACAATCATGTACCCACCTGTTGGAGAAGGTGAATATGGCCTTCTTGGCACACTGACATACAGGCTCTGAGACAATCATGGACCCACCTGTTGGAGAAGGTGATGATGGCCTTCTGGGCACACTGTCGGACATCTAGGGGGAAGCGGTCATGGTCACTGAGCTGTCTGTACCAGGTCTTGATGTAGTCTCGGATGGTGTAGTCCAACACCTGCACACATGGAAACATATCCAGCATGCATGTTTTGTTTGTATGTTTCATTTGTTTAATGTCGCACTCAGCAATATTGCAGCTATTTGACTTCAGTCTGTAAATAATCGAGTCTGGACCAGACAATCCACTGATTGATATTATGAGCAACAATCCATGCCAGTGGGATAGGATGACATGCAATGAATCAAAGCTCTGTTCATTAAGTTGCCTCTTACAACCAGCAAAGGTTGCTGGAGACCTATTCTAACCTGGAATCCCTACTGGGGAAGGATGCATGCTCACTATTCACTTGAGCAAAAAAATGAACAATTTATTAAATAGTGAGTCAGTTCTGACAAAAGGCTGACCATGTAATAAACATTTGCAATAATAAACATCTTAAATGTTTATTCTACCAAATTTACCAAAGATACATACAACAAATCGCTGTATCGTAACAAGGATAACTGACAGGAAGATATCATAATGCTTGACGACCTACCTCTTGGAGGGCATCGTCGATGATACTGGCGCCTGTCATTCTTTTGTCAAAGTTTTTCAACTTCGTTGTCTGTTCCATCCTTGCTTTTATCTAAAACATTTAAAGAATTGTTTCTATTCTGGAAACTTTAGTCTCAACTTAAAATGAAGCCTCAGCTCAGTGAGCAGTCTGTCCAAGGGTATTCAATCTGGTTTTGTTTGGAGTTGATTCGTAATCTAGCAGTGTTTGATATAACGGGCAATGATCTATGGTATCGGGGAATGAGAACACACCATCAACCAACTCACTGAGCCCAACTACACGATCTATTAAGTCACTTTACGACCAGCAAATAGTTGTCAGGGGTCCAATTCTACTTCCCCCCCCCAGGGGACTGTGGTCTGAATTTAAGGCTTGATAATGATATTAATCAATGTAATATAACTGAATAAAGTACCGCTGACAAACTCAAAAATAATAAATGACAGGTAAAATAGAACTTGACTCCGGGAATTACAGTGACATAGATCATGTGGGCACCGGGCTGATAGTCAGGATTTCAGTTTGGTTCATTTTCAAGGATACTGCCTGAGCTGTCATCGAAAATGTTCGGAGATATTTTGCCAGGTAGGCAGCATTGTTTACCTTCTGCACAGCCCTCTGCGGCCGCCGGACACCTGTGACCGTGTCGTCAAGATCCTCCTGGGACATCACCTTGCCGTAGGCGTAGACGATCACCATACTCCTGCATACACACAACAGCATGAAGCCAGCAGTACAACTGCCGCATTCGACGTAATAAGCGCCCCGCTCTAATAAGCGCCCACGGCGATATTACTTAATATATTGGCTAGTGAACAACCCCAATTAGCACCCCTTCCGATTGATCAATGAACACAAGACTTACTTATTCGTGTATATTACGCACTCGTGCATTATATGCACCTTTAATTATGGGCAATTAAATTCTGGAAAATACATCTGTCATGTATAATACGCACAGACTTTTCTTAAGTATCATTTCAGGCTGTCAGCATAAACCACAACATTTACGATCTTTCAACTCTGTTTTTTTCTCACTAAAATTATATTCTAATAAGAGTCCCCTATTTCTAATTTTGAGAGCACCCTGGGCGCTTATTACGTTAAATACAGTATATCAGTCAACATGACACAGACATTTGTACCAAGTTGTCTGGGATGTATCTATGATTCTAAGCTAAGTGCCCATGACAAAGTAGACACAATTTATGGATAACAACTTCTTTATTTACTTTGAAGGCGACTGCCACAAGTCCATGCAGATGACGGATGAATTGTTTGATGGGCATTACTTAGAAGTTTACGGATGACAAAGTAGACACAATTTATGGATAAATTCTGGATAAATTCAGTAAACAAAGAAGATGCACAGGTGTACCGTTGAATCGCAACATCACTAATATTCATGCTTTTGAAAAACGCAATATAACAGTATTTTCCTAACATGTTGTGATACATATTCATTTGTATTTCATATCGGTGTATATTGGTAGTACCACAACACCTCCATGAATGAAGCTTGCCAAAACACTTTCATAGTGAGCTATTGTGCAGGGTAAGGTGGTTTACCCCAAACAAGTAATTGTTTTCATTGAGGCCTTGCATGGCCATGTTAGCAGGAAATTAACCTGTTTCTATTGGCTCATGAAACTTACCCCAACCCGTGTCAGTGAGGTGAGGTGAAATTGGGTTTAACGTCGCGTCCAAGATTATTGCATTTATATAGCGATGTGCATGCATGTGTTTGAGTGTGTGTGTGGGGCTGCTTGTACTGGTCCAAACTGATGCCGATTTATAGTGTAGGCTCACTAAGATATCTTGCCGCTATTTAACATGAATACCCCACTCAGACACAGTATACTGACTCCGAGTTGACCAGTCCTTGTTTTAGCCCTTTAATGCCGAGCGCCAGACAGGCTAACAGCAAGTACCATCTTTTAACGTCTTTTGGTTTGACGCGGCCGGGCATCGAACCCCGGACCTTCCGCTCTCGGGGCGGACGCTCTACCACAAGACCACGGAGTCGGTCTCCAACACGTGTCAGTACTGTTACAATACTTGTAACAACACAAACATTCAAGTTCAGGTCATCAAGTCTGTTGCATATTTCATAAGTTTACATTAGCCAAAATGTCAGCCCGTCAATGCCAGGACGTGGATTAATTGAGAAGTCCCTTACATGCCTAGCACTATCATTGTTTGTATTAGGGGTGGTTATTGGCTCTATTTTCACTATTGTGATTCTATTGTACTCGTAGCCCACACTAGTACAATAGTATTTCAACAGTTGTCAACTATTATAATAGTATTGTGATAGTAGAAAGGCTAATCAATGTAATAGAAATGAATAAAGTATTGCTGAAGTCAGCCATTTTCCTCCCTGTCACTAAAGGGAAGTACCTCTAATCTGAAATAGTCTAAAAGCATGCAAGGAAACACACAGGTGGGTTTGAAATTTGCATAATTTACGTTTTATTTAAAACTAATTGCAACTATCGAAACTAGATTGTAATGCATTCTATCGACAATACTACTGACATGGCAAAATACCTATTAATATAGTACTATCGTAGGGCAAAGAATTGCAACAGTTCGATAGTTCAATATCTTGTTACAGTCAGGTTACATTCCAAGTTGAATACTAAATGAATAAATGTTGTCTGACTTACCCCGCTGCAAAAGCAAGGGCATAGACGGCAAACAGCAGCCCGACACTGCCGAAAGACAGCAGAAACAGTCCTGCAGCTAGCGTCAGCCATTTCCAGCCACCTTCCAACATCATCATCTGAAACAACACAACAATCAGTCAACACCTTCATCTGGAACCACACAACAATCATTGAGTGAGTGAGTGAGTATTTTCTTGAGTAAAGTGCGCACTTTTCCCCCCAAAAACACAGCTGTGTAGAAGGTGGTGCGCATTATGCACGAAATAATGAGTTTTGATAGTTTTTTCCCCAAGGAAAGATATTACCATGAGCACGTAACACCGGAAATACCATGTCAACAAATCCATACTGAAGTACGCAAATTAATCATGTAATTACACTGCCTGGCTATGAAAAGTGTTCTTTTGTATATCTGGACTTATGTATGTAACTTATTTCATTAATTTTATTCAAAATTCCTTTTAATATTAATGCTTAAATTCAAGGTACTTTTCAACGTGTCATGCACAGGTTTGTATGAACCTGAGTGAGTGAGTGAGTGAGTGAGTGAGTGAGTGAGTGAGTTAAACAGTATTCCAGTTATATCACGGCGTGTCAGCCTAATGTGGGAGGAAAGCCTGAGGCGATGCAGGTCTTAGACGTTTACCACTTCGGTGAAACCCACGAGCACGGGTATGGTGCTGACAAACCTAGAAACATAATCGGGTCAAACTGGGATTTGAACTCAGCAATTATAGTTTTCTGTTGTGCCAAAGGGACGCAGCTCTGCACAGCAAATTGCAGCGCCTTAGAAGACTGGTTTACCTCTGCCCCCCCTAATAATTTATGAACTTCAGCCAAAGTCTGAACCACTTTTATGCTTGTCTAAACCAAGTGTGAAAAGCGTCTGAATTAACGTTTCCTTGCAAATACTCCGGGCTGGTGAATCATGAATGTAACTAGCCCGTCTTGAAAGTTGCAGGTCACATTTATAACTACCTGCTTCAGAGGATGAGGTGAAATGGGGTTTAACGTCAAGTCCAAGATTATTGCACTTATATAGCGACGTGTATGTACGTGTGAGTGTTTGTGTGGCTGCTTGTACTAGTCCGGACTGATGCGGATTTATAGTGCTAGCTCACTGAGATACCATGCCGCAGTTTAACATGCATACCCCACTCAGACACAGTATACTGACTCCGAGCCGACCATTCCTTGTTTTAGCCCCTTAATGCCGAGCACCAGACAGGGTAACATCAAGTACCATCTTTTAACGTCTTTTGGTATGATGCGGCTGGGGATCGAACCCCGGACCTTCCGCTCTCGGGCGGACGCTCTACATCAAGACCACGGAGGCGGTCACCTGCTTCAGAAGATACCAGGAATCATCATCAATAGTCTCAGATCTAATTTACTCTCTGCCCTGAACATTTACAGCCTGATAATCACAAACATAGCCCTTGCTCCAGGTAAGTCACATATCAATGTCTCCTTCAGCAAAATGTTGCTACTACAGCGTTAGAAACAAACAGTTTTTGTCTACTTGTCCTTATAATGATAACATATAGCAAAACCCTTCAAAAGGGCAAATTTCTACTCGTCCTTTTGATACCTTAACTATTGGGCAGTATGGCAAGGACTATAGGACTAGTGCCAGTTTCTACCGCTGTACTAAATAGTTTGTCAGATAGGACTAAATATCATCTACTCTGACAGAAATAACTTCTTTCAGTGGCATTTAGAAGTTGGTGTGATGAAGAAAGACAAGTTCTATGGATGAACAACTTCTTTATTACAATTAGTGCGACGTTTCGGTGTAGATCCTAACACCTTTATCAAGCAAGTGATAAACTTCCTCACTTGCTTGATAAAGGTGTTAGGATCTACAACGAAACGTGGGCAGGCAGGCAGCTATTTGACACTCAACTGAAGTCCACACAAAAGCAACATTACCATTACTTGATGAAACGTGGAGCCCAGCTGAAGTCATTCTACTAATACCTGCATCACTGAAGCTGACTTTGTATAGCAGGCACAGGTATTGAGGTAACGCAAATCAATAAAATCAATAGGCTCTCCTTAAAGTGAGATCTGCAGTTACATGGTTCAGGGAATTCATATACTTCAATCATTTGTAGGAATAATTGGCCTAGTTTAGTTAATCATGTTGATGGCGGTGACGGTAAACATAGTAACGGTGCAATTGTATTGAAAATAAATATCAAAAATATTAATCTATGATCAAAAGATGAGCCGGCCATGCTGGGGCCATTCCATAGCCATGCTAACCATGGCAATTTCACACTGGCTTAGAAACACATATACCACTCTTACTTCCTTTGTTGTGATATTCCAGCCACTTGAACCAGACAATCCAGTGATTGATATCATGAGCAATGATCCACGTCATTGGAGCACCATGACACATACATAGTCAACCAAATCATCGATCCTGACAGCAATATCAGTTTCGTCACCTCGTACTACAATGAGTGAGTGCGTATGGTTTTACCCCGCTTTTAGCAATATTCCAGCAATATCACAACGGGTGACACCAGTAATGGGCTTCACACATTGTACCCATGTCGGGAATCGAACCCGAGTCTTCGGCGTGATGAGCGAACGCTTTAACCACTAGGCTACCCGACCACCCCTCGTACTACAAGCATATGTTGCCGGGGACCACTTCTGACCATATCTCCCCACGGGTCCATACACAACAAAATACCTCTCACCGGTTGCTGGTAACATTATTCATTACAGAGGTCAGAGCTCCAGATAACTTTTTGAGCAATTTTTTCACTCTTTTCATCACTCTATTGGGTTTTTCCCCAAATTAGTGAACATATTAAGATTTAAAAAAAAATTAAAATAAAGAATGGGTTTTATTGAATATATTTGTTTCAGGGTCTGTATGACAGACTAAGGCCTTTTCAAGACAAACTCTTAACTTCAAGGCCTTTTCAACCTCAAGCTTTGTGAGCACCCTGAGCATGAAGTATCACACTCAGAATTGAAATTAAACCAGTCTTACTATGGACAATAGAAAAAATAACGATATAGCAAAATGTCTCCTGTGAAGTACGAGTAAATCAGCACATGAGTCACACACAGAGCCCAATCAGCTGTCAATAGGTTGGTAAACATGACAAATGCTTCACACCTGTTATCGAGATATAATCAATATTGCCATGTGCTAGTGATACCTGTTTCTACAACAATATGGAAATGCATTCATTTCCAAATCAAATCTGTATATGTGAAGTGTATCAGGGAGTAAATGGAGAATTGACTTGAATAATCAAACATCTGCGTCACACTTGACAAAAGTACATTTTACTCAGAAATAAGCTTGAAACTGGCTGCAGATAGACGGCCAGAGCCATTGGGTATTTGAATCAATGATTCAACCAATATGGGCCAGATTGTCTGACAAGTGTTTTACTTTTAATCCGACTACAAACAGGGTTAGAAACTAACAGTTTTCGTCCACTAGTCCTTATAATGATAACATAAGTGAGTGAGTGAGTATGGTTTTACGCTGCTTTTAGCAATATTCCAGCAATATCACGGCGGGGGACACCAGAAATGGGCTTCACACATTGTACCCATGTCGGGAATCGAACCCAGGTCTTCAGCCTGACGAGTGAATACTTTAACCACTAGGCTACCCGACCGCCCTTATGATAACATAAAAAGCAAAACCCTTTGAAATGGCAAATTTCTTCTAGTCCTTATGATACCTTTACCATTGGGCAGTTTGGCAAGGTCTATAGGACCAGTGCCAATTTCTAATGCTGCTACAAAGATGACTTCCACTTTTCTGGATCAAGTTCATTGGTATTACCTAAGTCTACATGATCAAGTAAAATAACAAGTCCATAAAAACTAAGCAAGGTCTATCATGACTTAAAGTGCCAAGGAAAAAATAGTTTCTGGCAAACAATTTGTGAATGTGACACAATAGAGGAGAGCGAAATGGGGGTTAACGTCACTTAACAAGAGTCATCAGAAAGATGACATATCCCCCCGGCAGCTGTCTGTAAAGTAATCACAAGTAAATGTGCAATTCTGTATGTAATGAGTCAAGAGTTGAATGTTCTTGAAGAAGCATACATTGTTTACCCACAAAAGATCCACCATGGTCGCATCCAAATGAAATGGAAAGTAAAACAAGAGTGTTTTTTTGGTTGTTTTTTTATGCAAACAAATGACAAATTACAAGAAACAATAACTAAACAAGCACTTAGTCAATGAAGTCATCTATATCCCCCACCCATTTAACACGTTATGGTACCAAACCAGGTAACTGACCCAACATTTTTCTTAGCCCATGTCAAAATAGCAGCAATGGAAATTCTAAAATTATAAACATTTCTAAAACTCCTTAATATCAAATGGCACCAGTTCAGTATGTGCTTTATATACAGACATGCAATGTTTGGCAAGGAAATATTTATCAGTTTATTTGTTATACTCCATAAGTGAACCCACCCTATATTAAAACTTAAATCCAACTTGTTGCCATGGAAACGTAAAAAAATAAAAAATTATAAAATTCCTAAATAGCAAAAGGCACCAGTTCAGTATGTGCCTGGTAGACATGCAAAGTTTTGTAAGAAAGTATTTATCAGTTTATTTGTTATACTCCATAAGTGAACCCACCCTATATTAAAACCTAAGTCCAACTTGTTGCCATGGAAACGTAAAAAATAAAAAAAATAAAAATTCCTAAATAGCAAAAGGCACCAGTTCAGTATGTAGTTTAAACCTATGAAAAGTAACATGGAGAAATATTCAACAGTTTTTGAGTACTGTTCTAACAGTTCGTTTTACCCGTTTGTTCGCAATATCCGTGTTTGTTATATCCGTGATCTACTGTATTTAGTTTATCACCATGTATTATTTGGTATAATGCCTTCATGAATATAACTTGTACTGGAGAAGTCTAAACATAAGCCTTCTTGGCTTGTTAACCTATCAAGAGATCATTGATGAAAAATATGTTTAAACCAGAAGATTCTTGCTGTCAGTTGATACAAAACATAATAAGTACCCTGGGTGCTTAGTGTGGCTTTACCTGGGCAAGAGCAGTTTGCCAATACAGGTTGCAAGAAGTCTGCCAACTTAAGCTTTC